GAGTAGAGAGTAGAGAGTAGAGAGTAGAGAGTAGAGAGTAGAGAGTAGAGAGTAGAGAGTAGAGAGTAGAGAGTAGAGAGTAGAGAGTAGAGAGTGGAGAGTGGAGAGTAGAGAGTAGATGATAGTAGGTAGACAGTCGAGAGTAGAGAGTAGAGAGTAGACAGTAGACAATAGACAGTAGACAGTACTTGGTGGGCACTTCCATAATAAGTATCGCGCATAACGCAGGCACAGGCACAGGTACAGATACAGGTACAGATACGATGTAAGTATATAGGTATGTAAGACGGAGCCCCCAGCTATATGTACTACTCCGTACAGTGGGTAATTCTTGTAAGTGTGCCAGCCCGACGACGGCATTAGTGCTTATGTACAGTTACAAGGAGTGAGTACAGAGTACCTTTTTTGACCGACCTGTGCCTGGCCTGGCCGGAGCTGATCTGAGCTGTTCTATGTACATACCTGTCCGTGCTGCTTACCTAGGTATCTGTTTACATTATTCGTACTTGCCTACGGGACTCATTCTTTGAGTGAGTGCGCCTTTCGTGACATAGAGAGGAAAGGAGAGGAGAGTGTGCCCCTTTGAGTGCGAGAAACGGCAACTCACTCCTCGCCAGAAGATAGCACCGGTCGCCGCTTTGATTGCAACGAACTGAGCGGGAAACATCTGTTTACCATTCGCAGTTCACACCCTCAGTTCGCATTCCTCCGTTTACACCTCCGTTCACACCTCCATTCACACCATCGGGTACACCTCCGGTGTGCCTGGTCTTGTCTCCCACAATGGGCTCAATCAACACTCTCTCCCCAGAGCACTCGCTCCTCGAGACCCTCGCGCAGGAAATCAGCACGGCCGCCCACCGCCTCACCGCGTTCCTCCAGTCCACCAACCCTGCAGCCCTGCAGGATGGACAAGCAGGCAGCCATGACATCCCGCGCCAGGCTCCCGCAGAGGTCAGCGCCGTCAAAGCGGCCCTCATCGAAAAGACCATGGCCGTGCAGCAACTGGTCATGTCCGCGACGGACGTGCAACAGCAAATGACGCTGCGGACCCAGCACATGGCCTCGGTCCGCTGGATCTGTCGCTTCAAAGTCGCCGACTTCGTCCCCGCGGAAGGGTCCATCTCATACGACGCCGTCGCCGCGGCGGCAGGCGTGCCGGCCGACCAGCTGGCCCGTGTCTGCCGCATGGCCATGACGGCGGGGTTCTTCCGCGAGGTCGCCTCCGGTGAGATCGCGCATAGCCATACGTCTTTGGACTTACGGTCGTCGTGTCCTGTCCATGATGCGTTCAACTTTCTGACCGAAACGGGGAATGCGGTGGTGGGCAAGATGACCGAAATGACGGAGGCGCAACTCGCGGCTTCTCGAGAATCGGGGGAGACCAAAAAACCCATCACGGCGTTTAGCATTGCGAAGCAGACTGATGTGCCGTTCTTCAAGTATATCATGTCGGATCCGGAGTTGGCGAGACACCAGGCCGCGCACATGAACAGCGTGGGCGCTGCGGAGCAGTCGCACGTTAGGCATGTGCTGAACGGGTATGCCTGGGGACATGTTCCCTCGGGGGCAAAGGTTATCGATGTGGGCGGATCGACGGGCCATTGCTGTGTGGCTCTCGCGCAGCAGTCTCCGTCGTTGAATTTCGTGGTGCAGGATCTGCCGCCGGTGTTGGCGCAGGCCAGGATCCCAGCGGAGTTGGAGGACAGAATCTCGTTGCAGGCCCATGATTTTCTTACGCCTCAACCGTCAAGCTCACAGGGCGCCGAGGTCTTCTTCATTCGTCAGTGCTTGCAGAATTGGCCTCACACAGATGCAGTCCGGATCCTGCAGAACATCACACCCGCCATGGACCGCGCGAAGTCGAGGATCGTGATTATGAGTGTCGTGCTTGCCAGTCCGTCGGATCCTTCGATCGGGCAGCGGGAGAAAGGCATCAGTCGGATGAGAGATCTGTTCATGATGCAGGCTATGGGCGGCCAGGAAAGAGACATGCAGCAGTGGGAGACGGTTGTCAAGGATGCTGATCCCGAGTTGGAGATTGTGAGTGTTGAGAAGCCAAGGGGAAGTGTGCTGAGTGTGATAGATGTGAGGTTCAAGCTAGGTACGTGAGTGTTGCGCGAGAGGGGTGCTGTAGAATTCGAGCTGTCCGGCGATATAACGATGTAACGTTCTCAGCTCAGGTGAAGACCTGTGTGGTGACGACGCATTTCTCCCATGACCTGCTCGTCTCTTCGAGTTACTTTTTCAAGAGTAGAGCTGCTTATAGCAATTGCTCTCGGTGATGGTCGGAGACAGTGAGAATCTCTACATACCAACCCACTGCCTTTGAAGGATCGACTATTAGTGTTGTGGGTACGCATGTGTAGCTGTCATGCGATTGTGGTATCCAAAGATTGAGGCATAATCACCACTGATCGTCAAATACTTCACGAAGAGACCACTCACCACTGCAGAATCATGCCAGGCGTCTAGCTCTTCCCTTGGCTGCTTGCGTTCTTGGCTGATCTCGCACGGCTTGAGATCACCTCTCAGTTCTGAGACTGCTAATTGTGCATCAATGAGCTTCATGTGATGGCGACTGTCGAGGCTGATCTCTGTTGCGGAGGCGACATATGTTGTGAACATGACTATGTCGACAGAGAACGGCGAGTGACAACCTTCGTGCCATCGCCCGGCACTTCCAATGGCAAGAGTGAGTACTCCATTCTGCGATCAGGAAGCTATACTTCGTAACTGATCAGGCTCGCAACAAAGCGTATCGTCCTGCACTTCATAGCGATGGTCGTCTGCGAGACACCCTCTTAGAGGAGACTGTCGGTGAATGTTGCATGGATTGTTCTCGTGTCAGCCACCCTATCAAGCTCACCGTCTTAGGATGTCGACAACGTTGGTCATTGTTGCAAGTGCGGCGTATTAGCTTGTCTCTCAGAGCTCTTCTATCACAAGATGTCGTGGCATCAGCTACCAAAGGACAGTTGTGCATCAGGGGTTTGTTGGCTTGGAGCCACACCTCGACCGGGTGGCCCTCGCAAACAATAACGTGGAAAGTAAGATGTAAATTGCCCAGGTCTCGGCGCAGGTGGAAGCGGGTCCACACAAAGTTCTCTTCAACATCTTTTTCGTCGTCGTGAACAACCACTTCTTTCTTCACAACCACAACTTCAAGAAAGCGACAGCAAGATGCCTCGACGTGCTCGCTCCTCCTCTGCTCGTGAGGGTAAGTCTAGCGAGCCAATCGGCGTGTGCTCATCTTCTCGGGCCGAACCGTGAAGATCGTCATCGGCGCTAGAGATAATCCGGCCCCCGATGTCCCCTCTCTCAAACTCTCAGATCAAACTGACCTTTAGGTGAATGCAGACTCACTACGAACCCCTCTATCACTTCCTCCCCTGACTGGACCAATCCTTCCTGACCTTCCTCCACTCTTCGAGCGTCATACCCGTGCCACCTCTACTCCTCCAAGCCGTCGTCGTTCGTCAGCCAGTCGAGACCGCCGCGCCTTGGGAAATGAGAACCGACCCACGCGCCGCTCTTCTGATTCTCTCCGCCCGGAACGCTTGAGCCAGAACGGTGGTGTCGCTGAGCACATCCAGCTCTTGCGACAAGCCGTCGACGGCCAAGAAGCCAGAATCCTTGAAGAGTGGTACGAACGAGCCCGCCAGCGCGCTGCCTCACGGAGCCAAACTTCCACACCCCTACCCTCAGACACAGCCGACCCTTCTACGCCGACCATGGCCTCCTCAAACGCGTTCCCCGCTCTCGATACCTCCATGTCACCCACTGGCAACCGCTCCGCAGGCGCATCTCCCACCAACTCCTCCATGAACGGTGGCAATGGTGTCAACGGTCCTTCCGCTGCGGCGGCTGCGGCGTACATGCCCCCATTGCCAGTCGGACACCAGCAAGACCTGAACCACCTTTTCAACCAGATCCAAGAACTGGGAACTCTGCTCCGCAGCAACCGGGACAAGGTCAACAGCATCACCAAGAACGCCGAGGAAGTTGCTAAACGTGCCAACGGCGCGCTCACCAACGGTGAAGAGTCAGGTGCGGTAGAGAATGACAGTAAGTCACCCCTCACCGGACATTGCCCAACACTTTTACACGCACTCAACTGACTGCTTTTGCGCTACAGAAGCCAAGATCCGCGAACTCGAGCTCGAACTCGCCAAACAGAAGCACCTCGTCGAACTGTACAAGCACGAGCAGAAGGAAAACACAAACTTGATTGCCATGTACGAAGAAGCAATGGGAACTGCAGTCGAGCAAGTGCGAAACTACTGCGGAGACATCGAAGGCCGCTTCCTTCGTCAGCGCAGACACTACAACGATCTCTTGCAGCAGGAGAAGGACGAACACCTCCAGAGCAGACTGGACCGAGACCACTGGCACGCGCAGACGCTCAAGGTGTGTGAGATGATCAGAACGGCCCACAGACTCAGAAGTGAGGAGTGGCACGAAGAGTACACAATCATAGCGGCCCTGCAGGGTGAGGTGCGCATCCTGAGACGCGTGATCGGGATGGAGGCAGAGAAGCCAGAAGAGGAGACGGGCTGGCCGTACCTGAAGGATTTGTCACTGCCAGAATAGGCGGCTTGGCTGCGTTGGGGGGGTGGGTGCACCGGCGTCAATGGGACGGCTTAGGAACAATGCACAGCGAAGGCGTACTGGGGTCAATGAACATAGCATTGGCATTGAATGGCTGGGAGCAACCAGCAGCATCGAGCATCGATGCTTGAACGTCGCCCAAGAGACGACCTGAATCAACAATCGTCATGAAACATACTGCGTCCTCTCGTTCCATCGTATTCTCGTTTCAGTACCCTGGTGGACTTCAAGCCGACCGACGTTGGTACCCGTTACCTACTAATCACTACATCAAATTGCGGACGACAATCACCTAGCACAGCGTCGCAGCAGGTAGCGACACCCACCTCGAGGCTCCCGTCGGCAGCGCCGGAAGTGGCGTGTCGGGCGGCGGTCCCGACGGTGGGCTCCGTGCCCGCGCCGACACCGACAACGACGGCATACTGTTCTGCCTGATGATCTGGTCTCTGGCAGGCGGCCTCTTTGTTACCTTTAGAGGTGGTGGCTGGTCGATGGTGGTGGCGGTGGTGGCGGTGGCGGCGGCGGCAGCGTCGTCCCCATCCTCTTCCTTCCCCCCGGACCAGATCGAAAAGGGCACTTCTCGCGCTGAGGCGCCCCTGGGCCTCGGATCCACCGGAAGCATGCCGCGTCTCTTGAACTTGGTCCGTGAAGGGGGTCTCGAGCCCGTGCTTGTCGCTCTTTCGCGTGTCGTTGCGGGGTCTGTTAACGGTGGCGAGGGGGGCGCGCTCGCCGAGTCAAGTACTGCGCTTGCTCTTCCTCGTTCTCTGTCTCTATCTCTTTCTCTATCGATTTCACCTCCACGCTGGGGACCCGTGGTTGAGCCGGTGGCCGTCGCCGATGGGGACGAGAATGTCCGCCTCGACGGCAGATCTGGCTGTCTGGACGAAGGCGTTCGGGGAAACAGACTGTACGAGGCGGTCCGCTTGTGCGTCTCGCATGACCCCGAGGTGCGCGACGAGGTTGTGCTTCTGATACTGCAGGGCCGCGAGCCCGGAGACGTCGGCGTGCTAGGTTCGGTGTATGCGCCGCCACGGGTTTCGCATCGGTAGCGCGCCGAGGTCTTGCGGATGTGGCCTGGTTCGGGCAGTGGAGCGACCGTGGAGATTCGTCTGCCGGCGTCGTCGAGCTGAGGGACGGCCGGCAGTGGCTTCTGGATGCGTGAGTCGGTTCGGGAGAGATTGAGCGGATTGTCCTGAGAGGTGGTCTGCCTTGGGAGAGGCACGGGACATTTCTTGGAGATGGCACCTTGGTGGATGGCGAAATGCACGGAGGGGCCTTCAAGGTCATGCTGGGCCAAGGCCAGGATCCGTGATCTGGGGTCTGGTGGTACCTGGGCTTCGTAGCTGTCTGTGCTGGAGAAGGATGAATCTGGCGTATGAGGCCCATAGCTGGCGTGGCTGGAGAAGCTCGTGTGGGTGGTAGAGATGGAATGATTGTCGGAGAATGATCGCTCCCGCAGGTGATCGGGGATGTTCACTGTATGGACTGACGAGTCTGTACTTGGTCTGGACACGTTGCGTGCCGCGGTTTGTTGGCGTCGCGGCATCGGCATCGGCATTGGTGGTAGAAGTACTGGTGGTGGCAGATACAGCTCTTCCGCGGGGGGGTGCGAGGACAGCTGGAACAAGTTTGGCAGGCTCTTCTGAGCCCGAAGCATTCGATTTTCCCTTCCACTCCGCCGAGACAGGCCCAACTTCCGACTCGGCCATGTAGAGTCACCGTTTGAGTGGTGCTGGCGAGCTACTGCTGCTGGACACTGCGAACCCTCTGGAGGACTCAGAGCTTGGTGTTCAACACTGAGAGCGTCGGCCGGTTCTGTGCTGTATTGTCTTGTGAACTTTTCCGACTTCGTGCGACCGAAGAAAGCTTTGAGGCGAGACCTCTCACTCTTGTCCGAGGGCCACCACCCGGAGACTTCCTCGGCTGTCGCCACCGACGAGGTTTGTTCATCAGGCATTTTCACACCGAAGAAGAGATTTGACCAGCGTATGACGGTATCAGGTCCAAACCTCGAGTATATTGAGGATTGCTGGTCTGTTGCTTCGTGCTTCGTGCGCCACGCTCTTCTCCCTCAAGAACCGACCCCGTACACGTTCAGCTTGACGATCCTCGACGATTCCTGACGCCGGGTCTGAGATGAGGCGGTGCGATTGGGTGAAGGAACAATGTTGCGTCGATCTCCCTAGCATCAAGCTTGACGATCTCTGTGTTGGTATGTCGGATGTTTCTATTTTCTTGGTGAATGAGTGCTTCCGTCTGGTTTGCTATGACAGATCGTGTTGGAGAACAGTGGCAGTCGAAGCGACAGTGGTATTATCGTTAAGGGAAGAATCGAAAGAGAACAACACGAGCGGTGTAGGACTGCCCATAGACAGGGACAAGCAAGCTGGAGCAAACAGCGCGGCTGTGAAGGGGAACCATTTTGGCGAGTTTTAGTTGTTGTGATTGAGAGGTATGAGGAATTGGGCTGGGGCCGTGCTGCACACCATAACAAACTTGAACGATCTGGGCCAACAAAGGCATGCATGGCATCACCACTGGTTAGATGGGAATAACGGGGTATGTGCTGTGTTGACAGCGACTGACAGAATGCAAGGAGACGGACCTTGAGCTTGAGGGATGATGCCGCATGTGTATACACTTACATATTCTGGACGGTCAGTGTGTGCCAGTTGGCCCACTAGAACACGCTACACCCTAGGACAGTAAAGGAGAAAGACGTCCTGTAGAGACGAGTCAAGTGCTGGGCTGGAAGACGGAGTTGCTCTGCCTCAAGCCCCAATGATACAGTGCAGGAGAGTGAAGGGACAAACGAAACACAAACGAGAGACAGGATGGCATCTGTGAGGGTGTCTTGAAAGTCATGAAGAAATGGGTCACAGCCGAGTCGGCCGTGTACAACACTGGTAGATACACTGACTCAGATCACCTATTAGCCTAGACTTTCCCTGCGTTCTTTGGTGAAACCACCGAGTATAAAAAATGCAAGGAGATCGTGCACGCAGGAAGGGAGGACGACGTGGTACCATGTTTGACTGGTGGGAGCGTTGTCAAAGGACATGTCAAGTTTGCTGTGAGTGTTGGAGGAAGGGCCAGGCAGCAATGGAACGGGCGCTCTTGGCTGAGGCATAGCAAACAGAGCCCTGGTGGAAATTAATCCTGTGTGTCTCCTTGAATACACCGGAGTTCTCTCTCTTCTCTGACGGAAGAAGTGAAGATGAGCAAAGGGTGAGAAACCTGTGTGCTGCGCTTGATGCAGAAAGGCTTCGCCCTACCGCGGATCCCACCAGTGCCCCGCTAATTACGGCGGGTTTTAGCCACAGGCTTGCGATGCTCTGAGTCCCGCCCACATCTTCCAGCTGCATTCGAGACCTGAATTAGTGGTACAGTATTCCGTATGAATGACCAGCTATCAGCTCAGATCTGCCAAGCCGTCCAGCTCAAAATGTATCTGAACAAGCAGCCTCTCGTATCGATAGTCTCCTGTGGTATGGACTCGAGTTTCAGGCAGCAAGTATCCCAACAACAGTTGTGACAGTGCATCTATCGTGGGCACATGCAGATGTTTTATAACGTTCACCATCTCCACGATCGCCCATGCCCTCGCATGGAGCTGCAGCTGTGGTTCTTCTTGCTGGGTCATAAGGATTGACCACACCTTTTCGAGCGAACCTTCTTCGTCGAGTCGGTGGTCGATCAGCCGTCTCTGGGCTCTGAGCAGGTCTTTTCTCCGACCCCGGGCTTCTTGGTGAGCACGATCCGTCCCTCCGAGGAGGACGTCAAAGATGAAGAGCAAAATTGCTGCCAGTGCTACAGATTTGCGCAATCTGCCCATTGGGGCCGTCTTGCCAGCGAGCGTTTGTCGCTCCACGTTCAGTCGAAGCAATGTCTTCCTCAGCGACGAAAATGATTCCTCGTGTAGGATGCTGGATAAAGAGTCGTGCGACGACATTTGCCGTTGGATGTTCGAGAGTGTATCGAACAGCCGCGTCAAGAAATAATAGCCATCGGCTTCAGGTTGTGTTGGTCGAGTATTGTTGCGTGCTTGCTTCATCGTTCGATTATCAATCGGCCAGTATCCCGGCATCGTACTCACACACCAAGCCAACAGCCACAATGTTTCCGATGATAGGTTCTGTACCCCGCCACAACACTTGATTGATCTTTGGAGGCCGTTCAGGTGAGTCTGGATATTGTGAGTCACGGACTTCGGGAGCCTCTGGTTCTCGGTGGGGAAACCCATGGACAAGGTCACCTCATACGCCCACAGATTGAGCACCGTCAGAATGGCGTCTTCAGATACGGCATCCGACCTCTGAATGTGTTGTTGAAGCAGGCTGATGCCCTCGACGACCAACGCAAGAGTGTCCGAGGTCGGTTCTCGATGTCCTGTTTCGATGTCGTGGTTGAGGCTGGAAATGGCAAGAAGTATCCGTGACGACACCGGCCGAGTCATTATATGATGTGCCATTGCAGATGCAGGTGATATGCACTGGCTGGACTCCTTCGTCCCGTACAATCTACTAATAACTCCTGTGTGTACTGATTCGGAGTCAGACGCAATCGGGAATCAATACCGGCATTACTCGACTTACCATTTGTGACAAGATCCTTGGGAGGGTGGGAAGTCTTCGGTGCGGTGTCTGAAATCCCGCCGAACTCAATGTTGGACCCGGAGGAACTGAAGGTGGGAGAGGAATGCGAGTCGCCCACTGTGCTTCCCGCCGTCCGTTGAGACTGTTGGGGCGATGACGGTCTTGAACTGGTGTCGCTCAGGGAGTCCGAAGACAGGGCCGTCTCTGCCACAGACCCATCTATTTGCAATGCGCCTTGTTCCATATCTTCTCGCCGCAACCACGGAAGGACCCGCCTTTGGGATCGGGAGGCCAGTTGCTTCTGACGACGGATGGAATCGCGTTTGCGAAGGAACTCTTTCATTACGTGCCTGGATTTGCCTGTGCCACGCTGACAGTCACCCGAAACGAAAAGATACTTAGGGGTATAGTCCACACCCGAGGTCTGGGTGAGAACCACACTCATTTTGAACCAGGAATGAAGATTTGTGTTGGCGGGAGAAGGGTTATTTTCAACGAAAAGAAATGCGACCAACTCTGGCGAGTGCAGAAGGCGCAGTTTCTCCTTCTTGTAATCATGGAGCTGCCAACAAAACGACAGGAAGGGCTCGCGGCTTCAGGACGGTTCAATAAAACTATTCCCGTCATCTTGCCCACCATGTCCACTCGTGCCACTCAACCCTGTAGGGCGACACGGGGCTGCATGACCAAGGGTCACTCTGGGGGCCGATGACTCGCAAACAGAGAACGGCCGAGAGCCATCGGTCTGATTGGACGGTAACCGTTATCCCAAAAGAGCTCGCAGTTTGGACCACTCATAGAGTCTCATCACTCGACGCTTTTTCAAGCCTAGTTGCAGGGCTGAAGTCGGACTCCCTGACATGGGTTGCAAGTGCTTACCAATAGCGCGCTGGGTGGGTGGTTCCAGCAGGCCTGGGCCCAATCAACCTTCGATTGCCGAAGCTACGGATCACACTAATGTCGGTTCGAGGTAACGGTAGTTTTGGGAAGGAAGCACGAGAAACACAAAAGGGGGCAAAGGGTTCGGGGGATTGGACTTGATTTGCGCAGTCGTTGGTTGGCGGCCGGGCGCAAACCATCCTGGGCGTAGCGTGTCGCCGGTGGCTTTGCGACTACACCATTCACCCGTCCATCAAGGTCGAGAGCCATCCAGATCCCCGTCCTGTGGCAGAAGAGTCAGTCCGTCAAGGCTTGCAGAGGTAGGCCAGGGAACGTGCCCTCGCTGCGGAGCCCGTCTTCACCAGCTCAATGAATCATCTTTGCGTTAAGTCTTCCATCCGTACATCCGATATGCCGCTTTGAGCATGGATGAACGCGCCGAAGCGGCGCACGGTGCTGGGGGAGCAGTACATAATCCTCCCAGAGCCGACAAGTCACCCTCTTTGGATGATGGAAGCGAGGCAGGCGAGTCGTCGAATAAATATCGAAGGATCGATCGGGAGGGCGCCAGAACTTCGACAGCGTCCGGGCAATTCAGCCGTTTCCTGTTCGTTGACTCGTCCTCTAGTGGTCAAAGACCACGTTCTGATCAGCGAGCCATTAACGCACATATCCAACACACGGCTCACAGGAATCGCAGACAGGCCGCCCAGAAGCAGAAGACGACAGGAGCGGCGAATATCGGGCGACACCGACCTAGACCCGTGTTGCAGCCACGACCGGTCGAAGCTCTTCGCATCGCCGACTCTTCTGCCCCTCTTCAGCAGCGCAGCTCTCCGGAAGCATCGTCCTTCTCCAGCGTCGCGAGCTCTCCGGCATCGTCCTCATCGGTGAGCGTTCGAGCGGATAGTCGCACTCCCGAGCCACAAGCACCTGTTCTCCGGCGGGCATCTGCCACAGCCGACCGGGAGCAACCTGATCGAGAGCAGCTGGACCGATTGCGACATTACAGCAATGTCCGGCGAATTGAACTTCACGAAGCTGTCAATGCTCAACGCAGTGAGCAAAATGAGTCAACCGAAGTGGCTCGACGAGTGAGCACCGAAGATGAGACCAGCTCCGTGAGATCTGTACTCAGACAGATCCTGCAGAGACTGGATGCTGGTCATCCAGGAAACTCGCTGCAGAGCCCGCCTAATTCCTCGCTTCGAAATACAGTTCTTGACCCCTTTAATATCAGCTCTATTCATATTACCCCGAGCATGAACACTGCCTTGCGCCATTGTAAGTCATTTCTGTCCCTACGCTCCATTTTCTATGCTGTGGCGCGATTACACCTGTGGAAGCAAGGGGCTTCCGGGACATGTCGAGAACCGGAGATCAGGAGGCTCAAGCTGACCTGGCTGGATCTCTCCCTGCAGCGGACAAAAGCTACCAAATGCAGAGCTAAGGAGTAGATTTTGTGTTTCATTCTCTCTCTGGAAGATCGATTGCCAATGTGACAAGAGCCTCCATCGTGCAGAGAAGCTGACCTCTCCTAGTTTCTGATGTTATGATTCCCGGTGTTTTCCCAACTCGACACCAAGCTGAAATCCAGACTCGCTGGGCTTTTCAGAACGCCGCACAGGATCCATTGGTCTTGTACGCGCTTTTGGCTGTAGCTTCGGCAGAGCGAAGCGCGAGGTTGGGAGAGTTGAGAAACGGGTCGATCGAAACCACATTCACCGAAGCCGACCTCGAGAACCGCGCAGTTCCGGATTTTGTTTCGTACAAATTGAACGCGGTGAAGCTTGCCAATGAGACAATGAAGTCAATGGAGACGGCGGCTCAAGCTTCTACGATCTTTGCCATGATGTGTCTGCTTTCAATTGAGGTGTGTACTGCGTTTCCAGCCGAGGTTTTGGGTCGAGACTCAGTGGACTTGCGCAGGTCATCACGGGAAACCAAAAGGAGATCATTGCACACGTTTCGGGACTGCAGAAGTTGATTGCCTGGCGTGGTGGATACCATGGAATACCTCCTCACGCAACTGAGCTGATCCTGTCGTGAGTAATTGGATGATATTCCGTGGACGCCTGGTAATGTCTGACCACCGCGAGCAGGGCTTCCTACATGTGCGCCGCCATGACGCGTTCCTTACCTGCGGCACCTCCTACCTCTTCATTGCCTTCCCTGCCGGCGAGATTGGTCGAAGAGATTCGGCAGAACGTCAGTGACGATGTCAAGAAAATGGGTACTGGGATTCTGACTCCGGACGTGGACACCCTCCTCGATTGGAGGATATCGCAGGCCTTCCGCGACATGCGAGATGTTGTGCAGTACCGAGAATACTATCACGAGAAGCAAGAATTGCCGGTGCAAGAGGAGAATGATTACATCAACGCCAGAAGCTACCAGTTTCGGTATGCTGCCCTGTCGGCGCCCTTCGAGCCACGGGCGCCGGCCAGCGACAAAGAAGAGGCATGTCGACTGGCGCTGCTGATATTCTGGTTCAGCAACTATCAAGTCACGGCGCCCGACTCTGCGCTCAACCGGACTTTGACCGCTCAGCTGAAGACGGCTCTACAGAGCTCGGATCTGAAAGGTCTGTGGGGCCCTCACTTCGACCTGCTGACATGGGTCTTGATGCTGGGTGCGTTCATTTCAGCAGGGCAGAGAGAGCGACCGTGGTTTGTTTTGAATCTCGCGAAGGTGTCCAAGGTACTCAGACTGCGGGGCTGGGATGAGCTTCGTGAGATGCTGTTGAAGTTCTACTATCTCGATCGGATCTATGCCAAAGGCATGCGAGACATCTGGGACGAGGCATCGTTGTTGGCAGAAGGTTTGGACTGAGGAATGACTATGCGTTCAACGAGCTGGCTGGACCACGGTAATGATGTTACGGCCGATATTGTTGGCATGTGTCTGCTTCTCCAGCGTTTGATACCATTATACCAGCCGAGACTGGGCTTTGACCCACGAAGACCCGTCTTCCAGGAGATACGGTGTCCAAAAAGTCAGTGTCGTGATTTTCGAATCTGTCTTTGAGGAATACTCAATTAAGAGCTGCGCAACTCAGCTGATACTCACGTTGCCCCCCAAGTCCAGTTACTGTGAAATGTCGCCGGCAAGGACATCGCCGTCTGATAAGAATCGTCACCAAATCATTCCTACCTCACCGCCAAATCAGCCCACTCCAGCTCACTCCTGAAACCGTCGTCTTCCTCCGCATCAAGGCGATAACCGCCACCTCTCGCCAAAGACTATTTGATCTGAGCCCAGCCTCGCCATGATGTCGTGAGAGCAATGTCAACTCACGAGAACCTCACCGAGGACGTGGGACTGCAACTACAGCCCCTACACGTAGCTGATTGATAAGACCACCATCAAATTATCAAGCCCGCTGTCCACATGGCGGCACACGAGAGATCGGACCAACCTGATCGTAATTCTCTCGAGGGTAATTTTGTTATATTGCCAGACCAGAATGACATGCCAGGAATCTTCCGAATACCCTCCTGCAACAACCTGAACCTCCACGAAATCTCCGTCGACGAGTTACAGCATCACTATGCGTCCGGTGCGCTGTCCGCCTCTGAATACGTCAATTTCTGTCTGGACAGAATCGAAAAGGTGCCTGGTCAACCATGTCTGCGGTTGGAATTGATTTTATCGGTTGCTAACCGCTGGAAAGATCAACCCGTACCTCGAATGCGTGATCGAGACGAACCCCGATGCCCTTGAACACGCCGCAGCCTTGGATGAAGAGCGGAAGCAGCAGAGAGTACGAGGCCCGCTTCATGGCATTCCCGTGCTCATCAAGGACGTAAGTATTCAATACTCCTGAACCCACTAGAGTTCCCGCCGACTGACAACCTACTCTTCTACCAGAATATCGCCACGGCGGACAAAATGCAAACAACGGCTGGCTCATGGGCACTACTGGGATGTATTGTGCCCAAGGACGCACACATCGTGCATCTGCTACGAGAGAGCGGTGCGGTCATCATAGGCAAAACGAACTTGGACGAATGGGCCGGCATGAGAGGTAGCATCTACGCATTGGGCTATTCAGCGCGCGGAGGTCAAACTCGGAATCCGTACATGTTGAACCGCTCTGCAAGTGAGTACATCTCTGGGGAGCCGGCCGTTACAGTGCGCTGAGAATATGGTCCTACACAGACGGCAGCAGCTCAGGCAGCGCAGTGAGCGTGTCAGCCAATATTGTGCCCCTCGCTTTTGGCACGGAGACCGACTGTAGTGTCATCTCGCCGGGCATGGTGTGCGGCGTGGCTGCGATCAAGCCGACCGTCGGCCTCACATCGCGCGGCGGCGTCATTCCCATCTCCGAGACCCAAGATTCCGTTGGCCACTACGGTCGCTGCGTCGCCGACGTGGCTCGAGCCCTAGACGTTGTCGCCGGCCCAGATCCGGAGGACAAGTTCAGCACTCAGCCCGGAAGACGTCAGCCCAAGAGTTACTACGACTGCCTCGCTGATCGGCACGCACTCAAGGGAGCAAGGTTTGGGCTGCCCATGAGATGTTTCTGGGACGTTGCGCCTTTCCCCCAACGACTCGTTGCAGAGAAGGTGTTGGGCCTCTTGAAGCAGGCCGGTGCTGAAATTGTGCCCGTCGACATGCCGTGCGCGGAAGAGAGGATGGGCAAAGACGGCATATGGGACTGGTAAGTCATGCCATGCCATGCCATGCGCTCATAAGTCCACCGCATTCTAACATGCAGGATCTGCTCTCAGGGAACGATACGGTGAAGACAAGCCCGAGATCTCCGAAATCACAGTCAGCAAAGTGCAGACCTACGACCTGATGAACGCGTACCTCAGCAAACTAAAAAACACGCCCATCAAGACCCTCGAAGACGTCGTCCGGTTCAATGACGAAAACCGCGGCAGCGAGGGCGGCCAGGCCGGCGACCTCCCCATGTTTCCTGACGGGCAACGGCTCTTCCGCAAATGCATCGACACCAAAGGCATCAAAGACGAGACCTACTACGCCGCGTTGAAGCATATTCAATTCCAGTGCCGGGAGAACGGCATCGACGCGGCGTTGAAGGGATACCGAGAGGAAAGTACAAAACCCTTTGTCGGGTTCAACCAAGCCATGAGCTACGTGATCAAGGTGAAGGTAGGCGAGATGTGTTCTGTCCCATACCCTTGCCCGCGAGTGAACCCACATATACTGACCCCCTCGTCTCAGACTCGCTTCGCTACGCAGCCCGAAATCTACAAACAATTCCTAGACCTCGTGCAAACCTACCAGCGGGAATCAAGACCGCGAAGCGAGGTTCAACATGAGATTGCGCGACTATTCACGTCGGCGTCGGACTTGGTGGCCGAGTTTGCAGAATTCCTCCCGGAGCCACCATGTCATGTGGATATAGCTGGAGAGAAAAGCAAACCGATCGACGCGCTCCTCTTCTGCGACGTCAAAGCCGGCGGCATCCAAATCGCCGCTCAGGCCGGGTATCCCGTGATGAGCATTCCTATCGGGTTGGATCCAGACGGCATGCCTGTTCCGCTGACGCTCCAGCACACGGCATGGCAAGAAGACAAGCTCATCAGGTGGGCGAGCGCGATTGAAGATCTGCTAGCCGATTATAACGAGGGGCATGGCATCCCGGCGACCGAGCGGTGGAAACGACTGGGCCGGGTCCCGCCGACGTACATGAATCATCTGAGGAAGAACATCCCGACGGATATGGATTACCGGTGGCCTGGACGGCATCGTGACCATGCTGGTGTGCCAAGCTGGGTGGGAGAGTAGACGCCTCGCCGTGAGGTAGGTCATGGTCAGGTTATAACCACATGAACATCAACACCGAGAACATGATATGAGGATGTATTCGTCCTAAATCGCGCAGGATAGACATTCTTTTGGATTTTTGAGGGTATGCTATGGTATGATATGATGTGGTGCGAGGCGAGGCGAGGCGTAGGGTGATTAAGGATCAAGAACCCTGAATCTCGGCCACATGGACTCGGATGGGGCGCGACCTCCGCGCGCAGTGTCATATCTTGCCTTTACCTGCCTTTACTTGCCTTCCTTGGCTCTTCCTTCCCGTTGCCTTGAAAGATCTCAGAAGCTGAGCACGGGCGCAGACGACACGAGGCAGGTCAAGTGAGCGCGAATAGCAAAAGGAGCGCGATTAGCGCAAGGAAGGAGGTCGGGCCAAGCCATTGATCTGTCCATCAATATAGGCACGCACGCAGCTGACCGAAGGAAGGAATCTAGAGACGGGGATGATGGAGAGGACGAGCACGAGCACGAGCACGAGCACGAGCACGTAGGCGGCGACGGACCAAATCGGACGGCGAAGCGTGCCGTGGGTACAATACAATACATACAGAGGAATTAGTGTCTGATCTCCATACGGGTAGACGGATGCAGATGCATTCCATACATCCAGTCATTCGCCTGTGATGTATTCGTGGAATGATGATCATAATGATACATCCAAGACCCGGCGCGCGAGGAGACGACGATTCCGAATGAGCTCGGTCCAGCAACACGTATCGCCACGCCGCACCACGCCGCACCGTAGCCTTGTACATATGCGGAAAGCCAGTCCAGTGTGCCCGTCCAGTGTGCCAGTTCAGTCCAACTGGTCCGGTCCGGTCGAAAAGAGTGTATGTACTATGTACGCCGCAAGTGGATCGAGAGCAGCCAAGAAGCCGCTCGAGTCCGCTCTTGCATGAGGCGACATGCATATGCACCATCCACAAGCGTGAACATGCGTGAACTTGCAGAGATCCGTGTACGTACAGGACAGTACTGGGCACTTAGACACGGGTGTTCGTTTAGTGAGTGTACTGTATCAGCACCACTCGGACAGCGGGCGCTTAAGCGACTGACTACCCACCACAGTATTGACTCCGCCTGCTACAGTAAATACAAATCCGAGTAATACACGACGGCGATCCGGACAATGTCCACTACGTACTCCGTATATCTTCTCACATCGGATTATTCGCTCTGTTTTCGTCCGCGTGGGCGGTCGAAGAAGGTTGGTGGCAGTACGAGAACGTATTGCTCCGAGTTCAATGCGAGTACCCCACGGTAGAGCGTGTGGTTATATAGTACTAGGTATATGTAGACCTCTCAGCTCCCAGCAAATATCCCGAGCGCAAGACCATACGACAACCCCGGACGTCCTCGCCAGCACATCTGACATCTGACAATCTCCCTCCCGTCACCATGTCGAAGCTGATCGTCGTCCTCGGCGCGACAGGCACACAAGGCGGCTCCGTGGTGGACACCTTCCTGGGCCAATCTGGCTGGAAAATCCGGGCCCTTAGCCGCAACGCTAACGGCGCGGCGGCCCAGAAGCTCAAAGAGAAAGGCGTGCACGAAGTCGTGACGGCAACGCTCGACGAAGTGGCTTCGCTCACCGAAGCGTTCAAGGGCGCGCACACCGTCTTCAGCGTGACGGATTTCTGGGGCCTGTATCGCGATCCGTCGAACACGGAAAAGGCCGCGGCCACGGGCCTGCCGAAGAACGTGTGGGCCGCGCGCGTCGAGGAGCAGCAGGGCAAGAACGTCTTCGACGCGGCAGCCCACACGGCCGGGCTGGAGCGGCTGGTCTTCTCGGGCCTGTCCCACGCCACAAAGTGGTCCCGGGGCAAGTATTCCCACGTGTATCACTTTGACGCCAAGGCCCGTGCGGCAGAGTATGGCCGGGAAAAGCATGTCGAGTTGTGGGCCAAGACGAGCATCCTTCAGGTTGGATTCTATCTGTCGAATCTGTCGACCTCGCCGTTCATGAGGCCGCGAAAGGTGAGTTTAATTGGAGTCCGATGGGTCGAATTACGATTCTTGCAAGTACATGACTGCTCTGTGGGGATACCTGCTGAATTGAAGGGATACGCGTTGGACAGGATGAAAACGGCGTGTACGTCCTCCCACACAATTTCCCCATGGCCGTCAAGTTGCCCTTGATCGCCACGGAGGAGGACACCGGGCCTTTCACCAGGGCTCTGGTCGAGGTGGCGCCAGGGAAGAATCTGATCGCGTATCGTGCCTGGATGACGCTGGATGAATACCTGGACATCATACGTCGAGTCACAGGCGTCAAGGCCGTGAGTAAACAGGTCCCACTCGACGCATCTTCGGGATCAATCCCTGAGGAGTTGGTCGCCGAGTTGACGGACAATGCGAACTATTTCGAGGAGTTCGGGTATGAAGGCAGAGACGACCCGACGCTCGTGCATCCCAAAGACGTGAGTCTAGAACTAAGCTGTACAGAGACTGACACTGATCATGACGTTCATAGCTTGGTGTGGATGTACAACTCCCGTCTGTCGAAGATTGGGTGAAGAAGCAGGATTGGAGTAGCGTCTTCACCTGAAAACCAGGCAGCACCGGATGGGACGCGCCCATGGACGGTAGATCTTGTCTTGCGCATCGTCTGATGGGTGTTCGTGGAGTGAGAGGTCCAGGATGCGGATGCTCAGCCGACGGTCATGCCCTCTGAGCCCTCGAACAGTTTCAGATATTCATCTACCACATGTCAGCCGGTACATATTGCCTGATAATCAGCTACAGCTACTCACCACAAACTCTCCATTGATGTGCCATACACTTCAAGGCAGTTGCAATGGTGTCAAAGGCATACTGCATTTGTGGGCTGGGATCTTCGCGCACAAACCACGCACACTCGCCAAGAGCCTGATACATGCAATGAGCCAGCAGGGGCGGATGGCCTCTCACGCCCGCCTCCCAGTCTTGCTTGAAGCGCTGGGCGATCTGCGCAACCGTGAGCGCGGCTGTCGACAAGCCCTCCACGGAGATCTTCTGCATATCTGTTTCTTGGCCCAGCTTGTAGGCGCTGTATCGTTCATTGCAGGCGTAGATATTGTACAGTATCAACCGGGCCGTGCACACGACCGCCCTGGGCAGATCACATGTCTTGATCTCCTCACGGGTCGCTTCACATGTAAAGGACCGCTCGAGCGACTGGAGGGCTCGATGCAGTTGGAACGCTTCTGCCAGTTTGTCGGCGAATTCCAAGATATGGTCGCTTTTGTGTCGTAGCACGCGTCCGAGCATGTGTGATGCACGGCAGAGGGTCGCGAAGGATATGCCAGGAGACGCTAACGACGGACTGGCCGTGAAGAGAGGATCATTCGATCCGACCAGTCCTTGAGACCAGTCGTTGTCGTTGCAAGGTAGAAGTTCACCCTGGAGTGGTTCGCATGTGGCGAGCGACACGCCTGTCATTCCGCATTGCACATAGCTGGGTCGTGTCAGTACGGCTGCATCACGATACGTTCTAGCATTCCGACAAGTTCACCGATCGAGAATGACGACCGCCCACCATGTCCGACGCTCCTCCTCGCACAACGTCCATGTGTCGGGCGCCTTGAACATTTGAGTAGCATGGTCTTTGTCGTGAAGGCCCAGCAGATGTCCGATCCTTGCCGCACGGCCGATACTGAGATAGGCGGCCGGGTGAATGGCATGACCGAGCTCGTAAATGGCGGTCAGGATGATGGCCTGCACCAGAAGAAGGTTGCTCGACCCAGCGTTCTCGATAGCAGAAAGATACTGTCTGGTCAACTGGTAGAGCGGCGTCTCCGGCGCGTCGTGTGCTTGCAGCGGCTCTGTCAACAGCTTCATACAAAGCAGAAGCAGCGCAACGGCGGGATGCAACTCGGACGAAGACTTCGTCAGACTCTGTGCTAGTCGCTTCCTACTGAGCATGGGAAACCACTTGTACGCACTGGCAAAGTACGTCTCGCACATGGCCTCGACGTCCAAGCCAAGGCTGTCGAGGACCTCGCGCGGGGTGTTCCATGCGATGTTGTCGTGCATTCCAGGTCGCGGCAACGGTGTGAAGAGGTCCGCATCGAGGATGATTGCCTTTGGAAAGGTGAATGGCCCTGTTGCAGCGAGCAGTCGGTTGCTCGGATTCCCAGAGAGAAGAGATGCTCGCGACCCGGATGGAGGAGTCAGAACCCCCACCACGCCCGCTGTGGTGCCCGACTGTGCGACCTCCAGTCGGTGCTCGAGTTGCTGAATCTTCTGTAGCAAGAAGTCGGTATCATCCGCTGTATCCTGTTGTTGCTTGAGTGGATAGCCACACGGCTTGCCCAAGCGAAGACACTGTCCACCCGACGTTAGCCACGCAGGACATACATACTGTAGGGAGGAATCAACAGCTCTTTTCTTCGCGCAACTCCCCGGCCGCAAGGGTGCTTACCAACCCACACGAGGGCAGTTCTCGGTTGCATTTCCGTTTGAGCCTCCTTGTCTGCATGAGCGGAAAAGGACAGTATGTACTGGGAGTGCTGAGGGTACCTGCAGGGACGGCATGCTTGCGAAGCCTTTCCTACGCCAGAGCTCGAGGTTATTATTTCCATCGTAGATGGCGAAATCTGCAGATGCCGGTACGCGCTTTTCCGGGACGATCAGGTCGACAGGTGCGACGACGAAGCCGTACACATACGATCGTTCACGAAGCGGCGCCTGAAGAATCCATGTAGCGGATATTTGTGTGGGTTAGTCATCGCCGCCTTCGTCTAAGCAGCATCCCTCCCACTCCTGGCTTCACATTCCACCTCGAAGCCTGAAATTAGTATTACTGGGGCAGGCGGCTGCAGGATCGCCTTCATACGTGGCATGGACGACTTTGAGAGCTACCTGGAGTCTAGATACGCCTACATCCTTGGCCCGAGTCTCACGGTGAGCCCTGGACTCGACCTTGGGAGGCAAATGCTTTGCCAGCCGACGAAAAGGTAAACATTGTACTTCAGGATCATCATCGCCCAACCTCGATATCATAGTTGTTCCTGATGGACATTCGACATCAAGGAGGATCAGTCTCTTTGGTCCACTTGAGCTTGATCCTTTCAGCATCGACGATCTTCAACGTCACTTCGACTTTGGCTTCTTCCACGATTCGAAGGATCCTCGCCCTGACAGCTTGCTCGCTTTCCCCGGGTTCCCTGACCAACGTCACCCTCGAACCGTTGGCAAACAGGGTGAATATGATGCGAACAAATTCCACCTGGGAGAACTTCTTGCCCGGGCCTATGAGGATATTAGAGCCAACCTGGGCATGACGAGAAAGTCCCGGTCTCTTCAGAGAAGGTACCGTGTCGTACAATATGTAGCTTGTAGATGCTTGAGGGTGAGGTCGACTTACAGACTCTAGGCCCCGGATTCCACGCCACAAAGGAACCTGGGGGTGGCTGGAAGAGAGATGGTTCGCCAGCCTTCTTTTCTCCCGGCACAATCCATCTGTCGGGCCGAAAATCCAGCGCATCGCGTCCCCAGTAGTCGGGATGGGTGTGTAATCCCGCGAAATTCAATTGCACTGATGTCCGCGGAGGTATGATATATTCCTTGTCCAGGATTTTAAGGCTCTGCGCGGCGTTTCCCGTGTAACGAGGCATCATGGCGACCGGTCCGTAGAGCCGGACGGTCTCATACTACGAGAGGTCAGCGGGTCCTCCACAGGACGATCCTTCTTACCATCAACGCCAAACATCTTTCGAGCAAGGGGAATGTCTCCTCGTAATACCACAGCCCCGAGGGATCCGCCTTGCGTACACGGTCGACCTCTTCGGCGATCCATTTCTGCCACTCGGGGTAGACGGCAAGCAGCGTGATCGCAAAGTGGAGAGTTGCTGCCGTCGTGTCATGGCCGGCTAGATTGTAGATGAACAGATTGCCCAAGACCTCGTCGTCGGACAGGCCCGCCGCTAACACGTCGGACGACTCTTTCGACGTCCTGGCAGCCTCTCGTGACTGTTCGGATGCTCGCACAAGGGCACTCATCAAGTTATGCCGGGTGAGGTCACCTTGTGCGAAGGCGGTCTTCTCTTTCTCCAGCATCTCCATCATGTACCCTTTAAACTCTTCGTAGGCCAGAGCTACCTTCCGTATACCACCGAAGAACATATACTGCGGAATCCCCGCCTTCTTCAGGAGGCTCCATAGAACGAGCTGTATGATGTTTGCCAACAGTATCTGTAAACTTTGGCGATATCCCAACCGAGGCTGGGAAGTGCCATCTACACCTGGTGATCTGGTGTCAAGGAAGCTACTGTGCATTCCAAACCCTGCGCCACACAGCACATTTAGTGCCACAGCATGAATGTCGGGTTGAGTGGTTGTGACATATTCTGCCTTGGACCAGACCTCCAGCATCTGGTCTGCTTGTTCTGCCGATTCTCGCCACACCAAGGCACTGTTCTGTTCACTGAAGGGCGGAACGGTGATTTTGCGGTGGCGGTCCCACACCTTGCCATTGACAGTGTCGAGGTTCGGTCCATAAAAGTCGAGCATGCCGTATACCTCTGGATCCTTGATGAAATCGTTTCTCCGTCGCATGATATCTTCGGCGGCGGCGGGTTCAGCCATATAGATCTCGTTGCTGCCGGGAGAGACAATCGTGAAGGCCTGGCCATATTTGGCATGGACGGAGAATCTCGGGTAGAAGGTCCACCCGACTTCTGCTCGGTCAGCCCATTCACCCAGACCAAATGGGAGGCAAGATATAATGGGTTTGAGACTGTCTTTCGTGAGCAGCCATAGGGGATTGCGCGGATCGATTGGGCAGATCAAGATCGGTAACCCAATCTTCTTTGCTTCAATGTAATTGTTCGTGAATCGAAACACTGACCATACTAGGTAAGGCAGCGCCAAAGCTAAGCCCGCGAAAATCACGAACATCCTGGCTATGGGCAAGAGAGATAGGGTCAAGAGACACCGCTCAACGGCGATGGTGCGGCCACAATGTCAGATTCGCGGTCGGTGAGATTCTGGTGGGGACCATCTGCCATGGGATGTGATTGGCTGTCTGGCGCACATGAAACTCGCTTACCGGAGGTCGATCTACCCTAGAACCCCAGCGACATGAGGGCGCAGTGACGTCCGCATTCAAGCTGATGGTGCTGATGCTCGTTCTGTCCGGCAGGCTTCGAGTTCTCGCCATGCCATCAGATGCTTGGACGTGGTCTGGCAGAACTGTCGACGTACAAAGATTGGAGCTCGGAAATCTGCGATACACTTGCTGAGGACCAGGCGTTGTGGTTCAAATATGCGGTACGCTCACTCCGGTGAGTTCTTCCAGTTGTCTGATCAGCTTTCGCTGTACAGCATCTTCATTTGCCTCTCTTTTGTGTGACCTCGGCTCACAGTGATACCAGTACGTCCCGGATGCGCCTTTCGCCTTGCCCGAGCCTTCTGCCAGCATGACATACGTATCAACGGCAGCGTCAATGTCCCCAGTAGCGCCAGCACCCCCCATCTTAGTAGCAACCCAGCCCGGATCCAGTGAATTGCTTTGGACGTTGGGCCACTTCTTGGCGAAGAAGCACGCAAGGAGTATGTCATGTAGCTTTGTGTCGGAGTAGGCTTGAAAGTCCCGGAAGCCTCGCTCGCCGCGCTCTTGCCATGTGATGTCCTTGCACGATGCGTCTCCTCCACTGTGAAGTCCAGACGACACGAACACGAGGCGTTTGGGCTTCGGGTTGATCAGGCAGGTGAGTATAAACGGGCTGAGGGTATTGACTGCGAAAATGCTTGGCCACCCCTCTTTCGTCTTCCGATAAGGGCCGGTGTAAAGCCCGGCGTTGTGGATGACGGCGTCGAAGGCTCCCAAGTGATTGATATCTTCCGCCAGCTTCTTCGTCTGCGAAATATCGGAGAGGTCGCCAACGACACATGTCTCGGCGTCTGGGCATGCAGTTCGCGCGTCTTGCGCTCGTTGATCGTTTCGGGCGTGCAGGACCACGGAATGACCTTTTTTGACAAGGGTACGTGCGGTCAGAGAGCCCAGGCCGTCTGAGGAGCCCGTGATGAGTATACGAGCCATAATGGACGACAACTAGACCACGACGACAGGACATGCGAGTTGCAATTGCGGGGGGGATTAATGCTTCGGTCTCGTCATTGTCGCCCCGCGGCTTTTTCGATCGCTGTTCCAAAGCGGCTACAGCCTCTTTTGGCCTCGTTGCTTGGGGACAACGCGGGGACGCGGTCGCGTAAAGTGCTACGCGACATCGGGGACCCTTCTGCTTCTGCGCACCCAGAACGGCTTCTCCTGTTTCCTTGTGTATGTGGTAAACCAAGCCACGCAAGCCCAGGCGAAGTCGAGCGCAGTGCTTTGCCGCCCTTATGGTAATCGGCGTGCTGTTGTCCTTAACCCCCATCTCCCCTTCGAGATAGGTCGGTTGCAGTTCCCAGGACAACCATTCTAAGATATTAGTTTGCACGCCATATATGTCTCTCCGTCTCCTACTTGTGCCATCACCCTTCGTCCTTATCGTAGCGACTGTCGACAAACCTGAGCAAGATAATGTCCTCGCAGAACCCTTCCCAGACTACCACGTCTTACTGCTTCCGGTGCCAGCATCACCCGGGCCCAGACGATGAGCCTCTGAAGCGTTGCGGCCGGTGCCGTGCCCGACACTACTGCTCGACTGACTGCCAGCGCAATGACTGGCCGAGACACAGACAGGAATGCCGTGTTCTAGCTGATGGAGGAGAGGTCCCTACACGGAACCGCACAACCGTGCGCCTGACTGGCCCGCTCCGCACCAACGACTTGCCACGATCTCCCGACCCGGATGTGATCTACTACCTCAAGACTTCGATGCCGAACACGTTAGATGTCTCCATGTCGGGCCCTTCCCATCCACTAGAGGAGCTGCCCAATCAGTTGCACAGTAGGATGGAGATAGAAGGGAGTACCGGCGGAGATATGCTCCACGACCTCGTCTCCAGCGGGATGTTCGCAAGCATGGAGCACTTCAATGCGCCGTTGCCGGATGGCAACATCATGAAGTTCCAGCTGTTGAAGGAAACCAACCGGGATGTCGCTACGGCCTTGCCGTGCAAGGTGTGGCACGCCGCCGTTGCGCATCCAGATATACGAGGAGGTCATTTTGACCTGGGAGGCCAACACCCACCGGTTAAAGACATGGAGATGCACGGGACTTTCTTGACGTTGCAAGCCGCGAATAGTAAAGCCGAGAGAGTGCTTGAAGAATTGAAAGCTGAAATGGGGAGAACTGCTGTCATACAGAAGTCGTACCTTGATGGGGTGGTAATGGGGTTCGTCCTGTCTGGGCAGGGTTCATCGGTTGATGCGAAGACGGTCCAGGTCGCATGTGATGATGGGCGGATCCAGCAGGTGGACAGGTCGGGCAATCCTTTACAAACTTGAGTACTCCGTAATCCCTCGAGTGTTGGGACTCAAGTCGGAGAGTGGTCCATGAGGTCCGCATTCAACAACCTTCCAGGTTGTCCAGATCCGATCACCGCAACACCGTGCACGTGTCTAGATTCAACGCCATCTTGGCAAAAGCCATACTACTACCGTGTTGCTGGGGTCCGCGTTGGAGTGGGAGGCCATCAGCGCCAGCGCCAGGACATTGAACTTTGCCTGTTTAGGACTAGTCGATATCTCGAGGAGTTGCCAAGGAAGAATTTATCTGGTTCTTGACGATCGACTAGATACTTATGGTCGACCTCGCACATTTATATTTCCACCTAGAAAGAGAGACGTCGTAATCTGAAGTCTTTGTCAATCTCAGAAACGAACTGTAGCGATGGGCGGCCAGGCGCAACACGATTGCTCCGCTCTCCCTGCCTACTTGCAGACGATTCTGGACCAGTTAACAGACGACCATAGTGTTGCCCTCAGCTATCTGAACGGCCCGTCAGTAGCAGAGATCAGAAAGATTACTGATCGGCGGAGGAGATTCGCATACCTTTTGCTGGCTCGGCATCGCTTGACTGAACGATTAGCGAAATGTCCCGGTCCTTGTCCCGAGCTGATACTCAAACGGGCAGAAGTCTATGAGGCCTTGGGCTACAGTGAACTGGCTTTGGCAGATGCGTATGTCTCGTATACATTATGCTTGGTTGCTCTTGACGGGCCTGATATTTCCGATTTGGTGCCGGTCGATTCGGATGGCGAGCCCTGGCCGTCAAACGAGCCTGAGCAGGAAGAGCATGAGTCCACTGCTGTGGCCCTGAAGCACAAGTACTGGTCTCTCGTTATAATGTGTCGTTCCGCCATCATTTTGGGCGTTCAGATCCAAGCGAAGCTCTGGATCGACGAGATCCTGGCGGTGACGAGAGCCATTCGTGGGCTGGAAGGAGACGAGACAACGGACAAGGCCAAAGACATTGACGAAGTGACGGAAGATTTCTGCAAATACTCGACCGTGTATGAGGATGAGTCGAAGTTCAGAAAATGTGTGGGGATACTGCGGCAAGAGAACCATAAGCCAACCGTGTTCGGCTGGTGTCAGCGGCAAGTGTACCCCTGGAATGAACACGAGCCGGAAAGGATGTCCAAAGAGGCATTAAAAGAGATCAACGACAAACTCCACGAGGCAGCCCCAGACCTGGAGGTGGAAATATCCACGCTACCGACGCTCACGCCGTCCCTCGAACTGGGCGTACAGAGGCTATCCGTTGGCGAGAAAGAACCCAGCGTATCTACCCACGCCAATTGCTCCTCGCAACTCGGCCTATTTGCCAAAAAGCAGCTAGCACCTGGAGCCACCATCCTGAAAGAGCGATCAGTCTTGACGGGCATACGACCGCACGGGGAAGCACTTTGCGACGCCTGCGCAGCTGATCTGGAAGGGGCTGATCAAGCAGATCGCAGGTATTGTACAGGATGCCATATCCCGTTCTGCTCTGAACACTGCCAATCAGCTGCAACGCAGCGATATCACCAGCCGAATGTGGACGACTACGAGACAGACGAAGGCTATCCCCCAGCCGAAGCACCCTTCTGTGCAGGGACGAATGGCAACGACGACATCCACAATATCGGCCGGGCTGAGAGCTCGACAACTCCAGAATGGGACTTGTACTTCCTCCTGCTGTCTCGGACGATGCAGATGTCGGAGACGCAGAAACTGCATCCACTCGACCTCTTTGAGACCAAATATCTCTGGGGCGATTTCTCTCCGACGCCCAATGTTGTTGATCTGTCCATCAAGAGCGGTCCAAAGACTCTGCCCTACAGCGTACGGCATCATGTCGAACTGCCCCTGCAGTGGTTTGAGATTCTCATGCATTCGCGCGACAGGTGCAGACCCTACAGTGCCGCTTGGCTGAAGAAGTATGACTGGTGGATCATCCAGACACTGTTCGCCAAATTCCGGGGAGTGGCCGACGCCCAACAGTCGACATGGACCGGTAAGCCTGAGGTAGCTGCTGTTCACCCACTCTGGTGTCTGGCAAACCACAGCTGCAACCCGAACGTGACCTGGAAGCCGTCTGGGGTCAGAAACCTGACTGTCGTGAAGGAAAGAGTCTGGGAACGCCCTGACAAGCCCAGCATACTGCCGTGGGAGGGGATTCGTGCCGGTGAAGAGATCTGGAACCACTATACCGATGTCCAAGAGAAAGACCACCGGGAACGGCAAGGCCGCCTGCAAGCTGTACTGGGAGGTGATTGCAGGTGTGAGAGGTGCACATATGAAGCAAGACGGCACGCTGCCACAAGACTGGGCGAATCGGCTCGACACCATGCAAATACTTCGTCCAGGTCGATCGGAGGCTCTCGTTCCTCGGTCGGCGGCTAGCATCCCCGTCACGCGCAGCGTTTAAGACCCTACGAACATGGTCTTGGGGACATGGATGAGTCGACCGGCACATATATGGATTCAAAACCGTTGATCGCTGAGCAATGTTTCGCTACGCCTCGTTCATTGCATTCTCCTCCTCCCCATCTCTTTTGCTTTCTCACGAGGAGCATTCTCTCGCGTCTTCGATTGTCAGCTTCCTCTTGAACTGGATAGTCATCCCTCTTCTCGACTAAGGCTACCACAGCAGGCATGACTGGTGTCAACTGCAGCCACCACAGGTCGCTGCTGCCAATGACTGAGCCCACAGCCCGCAACAGACGATCAAACGATATTGCGAAAATCACCAGCCCATGTGTGTTCTTCGGAAGGCATCGTCCCCGAGAAAGCATTCCATTTGTATATGCATTCCCATAGAGACTGGGCCACGGGTCCAACAGCATTCATTTTGTCTTCCTATCCATACCCATGCAAACCAACAAAAATAATGAGCGACATTCAGGGCCCACCCATTAAACCATCTCGTGCTCAGCTCTCAACCCACCTCTACCAATCCCTCTCCCACCTGATCCCACGCAGAAGGGCTTTCCGCCGTCTCGGCCGCTACAGCAGAGCCTTCTTCCTCGACCACTGGCCAGACTTCCTCCTCGTCCTTCTTGTCACCGCTGTTGCAGGGGCGGTACGCGTCTCCTCGTCTCTCACTCGACCTGCGATGGTCAAGAAACTTACCATCACCCATAGGTCTTCCTCATCCCGACGCGGCCACCTCTCCTTTTCCCGCTCCTAGACCCCACTGGCGCCGTCTACAGCCCCTCCCTGGCCTATCCTTACCGACCTGCAATCTTCAGCTCCCTTACGGCGGGACTGCTGGGCTCCCTCATCCCGTTGGGCGCAATCCTCCTTTCGCAACTCATGATTCGATCCTTCGCTGATTTCTCTGCCGCGACGCTTGGTCTCTTCTACGCCCTCGCAACTGGCACGTTTTTCCAAATGATCCTCAAAAAGACCATCGGAGGGCTAAGACCGCATTTTCTCGCCGTGTGCAAGCCGCGGCCTGTGCCCCTTGGGAGCGGCGTCGGTTTCAATGGGATCATGTACCGCGCGCAAGACGTGTGCACGGGCAGTCCCGGTGAAATCGAATGGGGGATCCAGTCCTTTCCGTCAGGACACAGTGAAATCGCCTTTGCAGGATTCGGCTATTTGGCCATCTACTTCGTCACGCACCTCCACCGTGGCGACCATGACTGGCGTGCCGGAAAACTGGGCTTCTGGAGAATGCTGCTCGTGCTGATGCCGATCTTGTTCGCGACGTATATCTCCTGCACGTTGTGGTTAAGTTACCATCACCATGCGAGCGATTGTCTGGCTGGCGCGACCATCGGGATCCTGACAGCGTTGTTGGGCTTCAGAACCACGTACAGGAGTTTGACGGACGGGACGAGGAATTGGAAGCCAAGAGTAGGTAGGCGGCTGAAGAGGGCGTTGGAAAGGGAGAGGGAGGAGCAGACGACGTCAGGGCAAGAGCAAGAGCAAGACGAGATCGAGTTGGAACAGAGGCACGGCATCGATGGAGCGGATGACACAGGAGACGTAGAGAGGGCGTGAAGCCGATCAGGCTGGAGTACGCCGCCTCCGAGCTTGAATCGGCGTGGTAGTGAGAGCACGCAGAACTGCGAACGATGATAACGGTAGAGAGCCGGGAGATACTGTATCTAGTCGGCCTGCGCTGACAGTGACCGCTGAACACCCAATACCAATGCTTGGATACGAACACGGTAGCAACAGCAATAGCAATCACTTAGGAGACATATCCTTCGTGTGGCGGGTCATCAATATCATCATTGCAATAGTACATTGCCAGATGGGATGCTCCCTCTCTTGGTCATCTCCATCTCTGCTCTATCATGGTTATCCGCACACCCCAGCAACTGCACCTCCAGCCTCGTCTACAGCAAGGACTGTCCTCTCAAAGCTCCGCCTTGATGGTCCCGTCCTCGTACGCCGCGGGGGCAGCTATATCTAGAGAAAAGGCCTCGCCGTCATGACCGTTATTCATCGGCGTGGTTGGTACACTACTCTCTCCGGCGTCATACCCCGCCGCGGTGGTGGCCTGGTTGGTCTCGGTCTCGTCTGTGCCTTCGACCTCGTCTTTCAATTTACTCTTGCCCTTGCCCTTGCCCGTGCCCGTGCTCTTGCCCTTACGCTGATGCTGAAGCTCATGTTGGTGGTGATTGGATTCCCCTTGTCTTGTCTGACTTTCCCTCTCGACCTCGGCCATTTCTTTCTCCCTCTCCCTTTCCTTCTCCTTCTCCCGTTCCTTCTTGGCCGCCTCTCTTTCCTTCCGCCTTCTTCTTCGCTCTTCCCTCTCGTCCTCGGCGCCACCGCTCATGCTCATGCTCAAGCTCGTGCTGGTCAAGGGACTCAAGAGCGGGGATCCCGTCGGGGTGCCGTCCTTCCTGTCCCGCGTGGTCTTGCGCCTCGCGCTCGCGGTGCTGGAAACACTACTCCCGCGGCGCATGCGATCGGACAGCGGACGTTCCGTCGTGCCGTCAAACTCGAGATGCGGCGTCGACGAACGGGACGACTGGCGGCTCCTGCTGTGCGTGTGGTTGTGTTTTTCCGAGAGAGACGCGCGGTGCGATGAGCCGTGTAAATGGTGGCCGTGCGGATGTTTCTCCAGATCCTGGTGCTTACGCTGATGAGGGTGTCGTGTCGACTGCAGACGCCAGGCGCCCGTCCACCACTTCCACCCGCCCGTTTCTTTCGCCTTGGACCGTCGCTGGGCGTGGAGTTTGCGGCGGAGGCCCGCGCGCCGCTCGTTCTCCTTGTCCCAGTACTCGGTGCGGTATTCCTCCCAGTTCTCGCGAAATTCCGGGGAGAAGGACTTGGGGAGGAGGAGTAGCATGATGCCGTCGCCGCCCTTGGCGAGGTCTTCTTCGACGATGATCCCCGTCTCGTGTTCCACCAGATGCCAGTCGCTGCCGCCGGCTTCGCGCCAGAGGCCGAATGGCAGCAGGAAACTCAGGTGGCCGAGCATCTCGCGGACGAAGCGCTTCTTGGTGATGACCACGCGGAGGTTGAAGGTGCGAAGCCCGCGGTTCGTGGTGCCCAGCCATTTCCGCGGCCATCGGATGCCCCGCTCCCATTGTCCTGTGCCCCAGACGAGAAGGACGGTCACGACGCCACCCATCAGGGCGAGTTTCTCGCCCGTCTCGATAACCCAGTATACGGAACCGCCCAGGCCGGTGCCATCTTCTCTTGGGCGCAGGAAGAGCGCATAGAAGAAGAGCCCGTTCCAGGCTGCGAGGAGAAGGAGGAAGAAGGTGTTCAGACGCCGTCGGGAGACCAGGTGCAGGTACTGTGCGCGGAGAGAAGATTCGAGGATCAGGAGGTTCAGGTAGATCTGGGGTGGAGACGACGGGAGGGTCGAGAGATGGGGGTCTAGCGAGGACTGTTGTGCCTCGGATGACTGTCTGCCTAGGGACTGTAAGGGAGGAGGTATGGGCGAGGCGGCGATGTTGGTGGTGGGTGCGCCTTTGACGATTTGGTTGAGACGGAGCTCGGGCGAGGGGGAGGTCATGGTGGCCGCGGCGGAGAGGGCGAGGCTGTTGGTGTCGTTATCGGCGAGGGCTTCTTCAGCGTGGATCACTGTAGGGCCATGGAGGAATGTGAGGCCTGCAAAGTCCCGCTTGCTCATCTAGTCATTTGCATGGGCGCGGACTGGTGGAGGGGAATTGAGAGACGGGGATGACGAGGCTGGATGGGGCCGAGCAGCTGGGAGGGACACAGTCGTCGCCAGGCAAGGACACAGGGGCACGAGATGGTTCCTGCAGAAGACTGCGACGCCAGGCAGCACAATTTAATTACCTCGCCCGTGCAGCCGACTACTGTATCTCAGATAAGCAAACAGTCACGGCAGCAGAGTGGTGACCTGGCGTGCCTGGTAAGCGGCGGGCTGCACGAGGCCGGAGGAACCGAAGCGAGAGTCAAGTGAACGTCAAGTGAACGCCAAATGAGCGACAAGTGAAGCACGAGGCACGAGGCACGAAGCACGAAGCATGCTTAACTCCGCGCCCCCGAGTGACTGGCGGCCGAATGAGGATCCGAGTGGCTGATCGTGCATTGCTGCCCCTTCGCATTTGCGCGGATGACGATGTCGGCGTGGACAATCGTCGACCGTCCGACTGACCGGACTGGACTGGACTTTTGCTCTTTATTTCCTTTCTGCATAGCGGTGCTGCCTCTGGGGGGACAAATCGCTTTAGTTCATGCTGTTGCATCAATCCTTCTGCCTGGCCTCATCTCATCATAGACCGATTAGACACGAGCACCGCTTCCCACGACGTCAGTGTTGACTTGCATTGAAATACTTGTACCGACCGTCCCTCTCCATCACCTCCATTTCACTGGGAGGCAAATGTCTCGTACATGAGACGCACTCTTCCTTCAGCACTCCCACTCCTAGAGGCAGCTCCCAGAGTCCGATACCTTTCTCCCCGCCCTTCCCCTCGCTTCCAATCCTCTTCCACACCAGCGGCACTTGCCAGCGACCCTGAGGAGCTCCTCATCGCTCCGACATCCCACCATCTGCCCGTCATGTCCTCTTCCGCGGCCGACTCCGACGGAGAGATTCAGTCCCGGACGCAGAGAAGTCTTCTCGCCTCCCAGCACGCAAGGGAAGAGAAGCAAAATCCCCGGAAATCGCGCCTCGAAGGACTGTTTCCCCTCTCATACAAGCAAGGCTTCTCGCAGTGGTGGACGGCCCTGCCTGCCGCTCAAGCAGAACATCGCGTCCTCTCCTTCATACCCTACCTCCAACAGCCGCCAACTCACGCGAAGACCGGGTCTGAGCCGCCCACGCGGAACGCCTCAACGGTCTCAATAAACCAGGACGCACCCTCAGAGCAGGTTGCGACTACGAACTCGATTACTGACCCCTACGGACCGCGAAGATGGCACTCCCGCCTCGTCCCACTGTCGGGGAGAAACCGCGCTCTCAATGAATTCTCCGTCGAGCGCACAGGGGAAGAGGTCGAGAACAACCTGGTAATTATCCACGGCTATGGCGCTGGACTGGGCTTCTTCTACAAGAACTTCGAGCCCCTCTCCCGAGCAAAGGGGTGGCAACTGTACGCATTAGACATGCTCGGTATGGGTCGCAGTTCACGTCCACCTTTTAAACTGAGATCCAAGACGAGGGAGGCGCAAATCACAGAGGCCGAGGACTGGTTCATTGACAGCCTGGAGGAATGGCGCGTGAAGAGGAAGATCGACAAGTTCACCCTGATAGGTCATTCCATGGGCGGCTACATGGCTGTTTGTTATGCGCTTAAATACCCGGGCCGGTTGAATAAATTGATCCTCGCCAGCCCGGTGGGCATACCCGAGGATCCCTATGCCACGCACGCAGCTATGCCACCTCCACCAGAGCAAGACGGAGACCCCGACTCGTCTCCACCGACGGGCGATAACAATAACTTCCTCAATGCACGGAAGAAAGCAGAACAAGAAGCCCAAGTGAAACAAAAAGCGAACCCGAACCGCTTACCCGCTAATGACGACGCCACGGATTCCGATGCGTCAACATCGGCGCCACCGCGGCGACCCCTTCCCAAATGGCTCACATACCTTTGGGACGCAAATATTTCACCCTTTAGTTTCGTGCGCTGGGCCGGTCCGCTTGGTCCCCGGCTCGTCAGTGGGTGGACGTCACGGCGATTCTCGCATCTCCCGGCAGAAGAAGCCCTCGCTCTACATGATTACAGCTACTCGTTATTCCGGCTTAGGGGCTCAGGCGAATATGCACTCGCCTACATCTTAGCTCCGGGTGCATTCGCCCGGAGTCCCTTGATCAGGCGAATCGGCGGCGTGGGTCGACAACCTCTAGAATCGAGAACCCACGAAGTCAACGACGCCGGCGTGTTGGAACAACATCCCGGTGCATCCTCACCTGCATCTCCTGAGACGGACGCTTCCAAATCACCGAAGCAACAATACGAGCCCGGTCTCCCCGTCGTGCTCATGTACGGCGAGAACGACTGGATGGACGTCAAGGGCGGGTACGCGGCAAAGAAGAAGATCGACGCCGAGACCCAGCGCAACCTTGCCAACGCTTCGGCTGAAGAAAAGGAACGCGATCAGGGTAGTGCCAAGGTCGTCATCATCAAGGACGCCGGACACCATTTATATTTGGATAACGCGCAGGATTTCAACGATATGATTTTACAGGAGATGGAGGACGTGAGGAGAAGAAGTCGGAAGGAGGCAGGTTCGGCAAGTCAATGAGACGATAGACGAGCGTGATGATTGGTTTTTATTGGTTCACATTACAGCCGGCTTCATTCGTGATTTGGATCGGATCGCGGTACAACTGTGCTAGAGCTACATCGTCACAAGGGATACGTCGGTGTGGGTATGGACAAGAAGCTTAGAAGGATTCATAGAGCACTAGGCAGCATGCCCGAGTATGGTAGCATTTTAGAGCCCAAGCAGCGCGAGATAGGCCAAAGTCTAGGAGCAAGCGAGCAATCGACAGACGCCCCGGTTTTCGTTTTCTGACTACTCAAGAACCGAACTCACTCGAGTGCTGTTGTCGTTGTCGGTGGTGCCTTTGCCTGTGTGAGTTCTGAAGCCAGAAAGAGGAGACCGGGCCAGGTGCTTTTGAGCGCCCTGGAACACGGAACACACCCTAAAATCACGATTCAGATGTCGAATATTCTCAGGGATCGCGGACACGCGCCGTACAGTACGTTTCCAGTCGCATGCTCGACGTCCTTGAACGCCGAGTGTACGCCTGCGCTCTTAATAAGGCCCCGCAACGTCGTCGTAGCGTGAAGATGGAATGTCTCTCGAGCGAGCGGTTCGTAGTCCTCTCTCCTCTACATGGAGGCACCAATCCTCGTCCTCGCTGGGCAGTTCGACTCCGTCCACGGTGAGCAACCGAGTATAGCGTGTGCATGTGCAGCATAGGAAAGGACAGGTACAAGTGTTGCATCCAAGGATGGCAGAATATTGTGTCGATTGAATGAATTCGATCGCTGGACCTTATGTCCTCTCATTATGGTGACGCCTGTTTCAGCCCCGGATTGCAGTGACACAGGTGTACAGTATACAAACATGTTCTCACGAGAATGAACGCCTGAAGCAAGTGCGACAATATGTCCAGGTCTTGTGCACACTCGCTTAACAAATGAGTGACGGAGGACTTGGTTGTTTAAGTACTGTCATCGATTCGTACCGTTATGCTCTTCCAACGCTGTGCTCTGTGCGCTGTACAGTACGAAGGACCCGCCACTCCTCTGTTGTTAAGTACATACTGTGTAGGCGCTGGCAGCGTCCAGGCGCCACGCCAAGTTCTGCATAGGTCTGCATAGGTTTTCGGCTTCTCCAGGCTCATTACGGTTCAGATTAAAGAGGTCGCCTTTAACGACGGTGGTGACGGTGAATCTATCCCGTCAACACCGTTAAGAGACTCGATCTTGGGGGGCTGTCGTCAGTCAATCAGGATTGACGGCAACTATGTCGGTATATATGTACCATTGGGCCACGCAATACGTGGACACTTCCAGTTCCCTCGTAATGTTCATCACCAGTCTCCCTTCCCTCTATCTCCCATTCCTCTGTCTCTCAGTATCTAGACCATCACGGCGTCTCAGCCACCCGATAGACCAACTTCTCCCCACTCACCTTCCCATTCTTCATATCCTCCATGCCCTTCAGCACACCCTCCAACCCATCCTTGCCCACGGTCTGCTTGTGCGCCTTGATCTTCCCCTCCTTCAACAGGCCCTCGGTCATGGCCAGGAACTTCTTGGCGTACTCAAAGTCCTCCCCGATGGCCGGGAATTCCTGGGGCCCGAATTTGAACGACTCGCCAAAGATGGTGTACATGAGCGTGCTGACGCTCTCGACATCCTCGCGCGGGCAACTGACCGGGAGGATGGACCCGTACCGGCCGCCGGATCCGGTGGAGAGGGCGTCGGCACAGAACTGCGCGCTGTCCTTTTCGCTGATCGTGTCCCACGCCAGTTTGAGCTTGTCGTCCGTGAGTTGGCGGATCTTGGCCGCGGCCTCCTTGTCGTTGTAGTCGAACACTTCGGCCGCGCCGAGAGACTTGACGTAGTCGAAGTTGCGCGGCGAGCACGTCGTCAGCACGGTGTATCCGGCTCTGTGCGGTAAGCAAGCAGGGGGTTACTGTCAGTAATGATCGTATCCGAGTGTCGTCACTCGTGACGATTTGAAGGGGAGATAAGGACGAACGAACCAAAAAAAAAAAAGCACGCAAAAGACCGAGGGGCAGAACTTACAGATTCGCAAACTGAATGCCCAGGGCGCCAGTAGCCGTGCTGCCGCCGTAGATGAGGACGTAGGTCTTCTCCTTGATCGGATCGGTCGGCCAATTCAGCTTCAAGGCCTTTTGGAACAATCCCTGCATCACGGTCGTCGTCCCCAGCGGCAGGGTCGCCGCGGCTTCGAAACTCAACGAGTCCGAGATCTTGATCTGAATGTCCCCCTTGGCGAGCACGTACTCGGCAAAGGCACCGTCGTCGGGCTGGACGGCATTGCCGCCGTGCGCGACCCCGGCGACGCGGTCACCCTTGGACCACGACTTGGTCACGGCGGATCCGACCTCCTCGACGGTCCCCGAGAAATCGCACCCGACCAGGCCGCCCTGCGCGCCCAGGCCAAAGGCGACGTGTTTCCAATCCGTCGGGTTCAGCGCCACGGCCGCGGTCTTGACGAGGATATAGTCGTCGCGCAGTTTGGGCGTGGGCCGGTCGCGGTCGACGGTGGCTTCTTTGCCCTTGATCACCACGGCCTTCATCTCGGATGGGGCCGGACTGACCGACGATGGACCTTTAACAGTGCTGATAGGGATCGGGCTTGAGATGTTTCACAGTCGTCGTTCAGATCTAGAGAAACAGAGTAGAGTCTATGTAATCAGAACAGGGCAAGCAGAGTAATTAATTCCGAAGAATGAATCTCTTCGAAAACGAATGTTCAAGAAACTCGGAGATAAAATTCACAGGTGGAGTAGCACAACATGACATTCTGATGATATCATTGACCGAAATACAGTATCTAGTCCCTAAGCTACTCGTAGAAATCGACGCGTACGGCCAGAAGGGAGCAGTGAGGAGTGAGCAGTGAGCAGGTGGCCGGAATGAATATTATCCCGGCCGAATGAGAACAACACAAAGGCGCCAACGGTCCAGATGGACTCTGATGTCGAGGTGTGTGAGATGGTGGGATTCGTGAATCGTGAGTCGTAAATCGTCACCATTACCTCGGCGTTGCTCGGCCAGTCGTCGAGTGGAGCTGAGGAACATAATCCGACAACTGTGACCCGACAACAGCCTGATCTGGATAGGTGCAGACAACATGGGGCCGTCCTCGAAGCCAAACTGCCGGTTGGTGGGGGTGCTTCCATACCGAACGCTCTCATTCCGTTCTGTGTACGATAGGCTAACGCAATTGACGGAGTTAGTCAGTGACGCCAATCTGTCCCTGCTTGGCTCGAGCCAGCCTGGTATTGAGTGTCGTGAAGCATTCCTTCTTCCGATATCGTGAACACATCCGTGGAAAGTAGGCGTTCCTCAGGTGACTGGTGACCAGACCCGTAGCAGCCAGTCCCGAAAGCTCTCCGGTCGAACCGAGACCAGCTGGTTCAAATTGGTGTTGGCAAAGTCGTAGCGACCCTCAGCCGTGGTGATCAAATGATGGACCCGAGTTTCTCGTGCACGATCGCCCACGGCCCTCGCATATGTCAGCGCGTCCTGCAGCGAGCTCCTCGTATGCCCAGAGATCTCAAATGCTCGACCTGCGTTCGTCCTCGAGTCAGTCTTCTGGTCCCTCGAACTGACTGATTGCAAAATACCTTGAATGTCTTCGGCAATAGCCACGACCTCCCTTACAGTCAACCGTTCTCCTCGGAGGCGGAACTCTCGCGGCCACGATGGAAGATCCAGGGCTGCAACTACAAACCGGGCGACATCGGCGGCCGAGGTCATGCATATCGTCGCTGGTTGTCCAGCAGCGTTGAGATAAGGGACCTGCGCTCTCCTTCGACGGAAGTCCATCAGATAATCCCCTTCTTGACCGATGTTGCTTGCAAGGCCAATCTGAGAGGCCGCCATCCCACCAGGAGCGAACCGCTCATAGAGCACACCACACGTGAAGACCGTGAACCTCATGCCTGACGACTCGTGTTGGTGAAGCCGCAGAATGGCTGCGCGTCGATGATGGTCTAGGAGATCGTTTTGCGGTCGCAGGGACGGGGGCCCGCCGAATTCAGAAGGCACGAAACGTCGCACGTGAGCTGCCGCCGCGGCGTCAATCAACGCAAGCTGCGCATTGCCGCTGATTGTTGAGATGACCGTGTCCACACCGGCCAGCTTGAATCTGAGGTCCGCAGGGTTGGAATAGTCGGCCTGTTCAGTAACGGAGTGAGTGATCAAGGTATCCAACGACTGCTCGGCCTTGGACGGGGATCGACTCCCCAAGAGGGGCCGTCGCAGGCATCATGCGCAGGAGGATAAGATGACTCACCTGAAGTACCTGCCATCCCCTTGCTGTTAGACCTGGACTAGGCTTGGTAGGTCAGCCACGGCGCACGGACACCTCGGGAGCTCACGTACCCTTCGAGATAGGACGACGAACTGGTGGGAGGTCTGCGTTGCTATACCGTTCGCAATGTACTGCGCCAGTCCGTTGGTACCAACCACGGCGACTTTGATCATGGCTGCGCTCTGCCCAGGGGAATGCCGTCGTGAGTCGAACATTGGGACATATATCTGCCGTTGCGCGGCATGCTGGCCAGGGTTGCGAGGCCGAAGAGAGTCATTTAAACGGCAGCAACATCATGAGATCGTTCATTCATGCATATATGCATTGTGATGGCTGGCTTGCCTAGACAGGTGTATATCTCAGTGGATGAAATCTGTGTGTAACTTGTCTTCTCAGCCGGGATAGGGTCAAGCAGGAGTATTAAGGCCCATACGGTGGGCCCAGAATGTGGCAGTAGACCGCCAATGAGACCTGGATCCGGGGGTAGAGCAGGATCAGTACGCTACTCAAGGCAGACAGGTCCAGAAGTTCCCGATCACGGCTTGCCAATGACGGCGATCGTCTTCGGAGTCATCCCAGGCAGAGCAGGCATCGAAGGAAGTGGTACCCTCGACAATTCTTGCCAGCAGTCACGCGGGAGATTTCCCGGTCGACTTATCGCCATATCGCCGCCTAGAAGAGCTTGAACGGTGCGTATCATACAGCGAGGGCAGGACTCGAGGGAAATACTGCCCGGACGAAGGAAGACTAACGATGAAGGGGGCCCCCGCTGGAAATCAGGAATCTGGCAACATAGCGGCGGCAGCAGATGATTGGCGGATTGACCTGACCGGCGGTGCTTATGCCAGCGATGTCGTAGACTCCAGGCCCACGCGGTATACCATGACGGTTTCCGGGTACTATGGAGAACATTTGGAATGTACGATGTGCTTGGTGCAAGGCTAGTGGTATCCCCGTCTCCTGGATGGACGTTTTCCGCATAGTTGCCTTCAGCCCTATTAGGCGTCAGGCGAGCCGTGGGAGTGGATATGCCGCAATGCAGGGACCGTTCGGAGCAGCTTCAGCCATTCTGACTTGCTGACTCGTAAGGTGTAGTGACTCGACGGAAACAAAAGGATTTGCTGCCTGTCCTACCAACTGGTGCCTTGGCCCGCATGTGGCATATAGATGGCTGGAGCTTCTGTGGGACCGTGTACTCTTGTCGACGAACCCGTCGAGATCGTGATAGACTTTCGATCCTGGCGAGGGCTGATGCTCGAAAGGCGGTTCGGTGCTGGTGGTTCGGGGGCCGAATGTCATTCGACGCTTCGAGATCAACGTCCCCGACGGCTCAAGCGACCACTGCTGTCGCTGCTTGCTGTCTGCGCAGAAGCCGGAATCGATGTGACATCCGCGCGCACCATGCAATTCTAGTCTTCGACGGCTGAAGAGCTCGGCGGAGCGCCGGTCCAGGCATGGTTGAGAATTGGTCCTGTCTTGGAAAGCTTTACACAGTATAGCGCAGATCAAAAGTTCGAGCCCATTGCGACGAGTGGCTTCAGACTACAGGCGATTCTGTGTATTTATAAGGAGCCTCATATGTGTGCGTACTCAGTAACTTCGCAGCAACGCAGGACCGTGGTCGAGGGTCACGTTGTTTCGTGTCGCTGTCGCGATCAACGGGGTGTGCCTAAGCCATTTCGCATGCGAGTCATTGTTAGAACCTTCCGTCAGTTCAGCTGCCTCCCACGAGACTGATGCATGTAACCTGAGGCCTAATCTCACCCGACACCAACTCTGATCCTCTTGGATTTGATCCTGCGGCGTGGGACCATCCCGCAAAACTGTGAAAGTTTTGACGATTTTAGCATCGGCAGTCCGAGTACGTGTCAGCGCGCAGCACTTAGGGACATTTGTCGCTTCTCTTAAGGAAGCGACGTTGGTCCACCTGGATTGCTGGATAGAATGGGCTACTATCAACCACACAATTATGGAACGTCACTGTCTGTTTGAAGATGCAAACCAAGCCGAGGTTGATCGCTGATGATCGTTGTGACTCGCGATGGCGCGCAACGCAAGGGCGCCAGCATCAACCAGGTGGGGTCAAGTTGATCTCATTTGGCTTGGCAGACTCGTTCAACGTGACGCGCTCTGCACCGCATCCGCATCCGCACCCGCGCGCAACCAACACACGACACTCAAACATTGACCTCTTCGCGACTTCTGACCCTAGTCCTTCGTTTTGGCTCAGCGGACAGCAAGGATGGGGGAGGATGCCCAGAATACGACGGAGGCTGCCACCGCTGCTCCTCAGCACGCTCATTATGCATTCCAGATCCATCCCACTAACATGTCCCCTTCAGCGCTCGCTGGAGGCGCGGCGGGCGTGAAAGCAAAGAGGCGGCGAACAAGGTATGTCGCCCATACTCACCACTCGTCCCATGATGTCTTGTCTGACCGTTTTCAGTCCGCAAGACCACGCCATCCTCGAAGCCGCGTACCAAAAGAACTCCAAGCCCGACAAGGTGCAGCGTGCCCAGATAGTCAGTCAGGTCTCACTCGGTGAGAAAGAAGTTCAAGTGAATACCAATATGCCGCTTGCTCCAACCAAGCTGACTCGCTCCTACAGATCTGGTTCCAGAATCGACGTCAGAACGACCGCAGACGCTCGAAACCATTAGAGCCACACGAACTTGTTGCACACCTACGCAACAGCACGGCCAGCCCTTCTCTCGCCCAGAGAAGCTCATCCCCTAGTCCCGAAGACTCCACGCTTTCTCAGTCCCATGCAAACGCATCTCTTGCCCCTGCCGAATCCATCAACCGACCAGCTTCACGAGCGTCAAGCATTCATGACCTTCTCAACCCAACCCGTGTCGACGAGGTGAACCCCAAACACAGTACACAGGGAACATCGGACGAGCCTACACTCCCATCCAGCATTGAGTCAAATTCAACACCAGCCACCGAGAATGAGTCTGTGAATGGAGCCCAAGAGGACGCGTCAAAGGATGTTGACAGGCTGTCCGAGACTAGCAGCGGGCACGGGAGCGCAAGAAAGAGAAACCACGACGAGATGGCAGGTCTGAAGTCTCCCAGTTCCGACCTAAGGGGCGAGAGACCGACTGGAGAAACGGGTCGGTCGAAGGAGCCTCTTGCCAGAACGTCCAGTTACGTTCGGTTGGCCATGACTGTAGATGGTGCAGTCAAGGTCAGAACGAGACAGGAAGATACGCCGTCTCCTGAAAAACCTCGTCCTTCACCTTCAACAGCACAAATTAGAGCAAGCACACCGATGAGTCGCAGCAAAAGCCTTCTCAGCGTTGTGGATGTACACCGTGACGGCAGCCATGGAACAGGATCAAGAGCCGTGGGAGCAGGTTTTGGTCGGTCCCGTGACGCACGAACGTGGGAGTTCTACTGTGACAGCAAGACTAAGGACGCTCTTTCGAAACAGGCTGAAGCTGAGACCGCTGGATCTGCTGTCAGTGCCATCAACCTCATTCGGTCAAACAGCTTCAAGTCGCGCGCCCAAGCCCTCAGTCCCTCGCTGTCGAAGACTAATGCTCGTTTGACATCGTCCAAGGAAAAGAAACCCAGATTATCGCGAGCAAAGTCGTCATTGGGACGTCTGCAAGGCCTGAAACCCCCGGCAGAACCGGTTGATGAAGGAGACAAAGCTCATCAAGGCCAAGGCAGATCACCATCTGGTGATTCAGACAAGGAGAACTGGGCGCCTGGAACCAGACTGTCGGAGCATGCTCTGCGAAGGACCCAGCCCAGTGGGCGACAGCGACCGATCTTACAGGAGAATGAGGAGATGACGTTCCCGGACGCAAGCTCTTCACAAAAGAGACGTAATGAGGAAGCCGATCGCCGACTCTCGCCGACGAAGGAGAAGGCCAAAGGTGAAGAAATGGACTGCGTACAAGGCTTGCTATCGCTCAGTCAGGGTGCTTGGACGATGAAGTAAGCGAGAGAAAATGCGAGAGAAACAATTGACGGGGTTCAAATAGGAGAAACATGTAAGATCATCGAGGCCTGGTCAGTCAGCGACGAAGCACAAAATGCTTGGGAGTCATAGTATAAACTGAGCCTCGCGCGGACTGATAACAGCCAGTCCGGTGGAGAGGCGTATTCGACAAATGTACCACCGTTGCCATTGGATATGAATGCAAGATTCGATGTTGCCGAGCAGTATCTCGATGTCCTCGCCGCGATGGATCTACGTCACCTCGTGCTCGCTTGTGGTCACCTACAGTAGTTAGTGGTCACCCGTTGCCTGTGATGCTTGCGTGGCGACGGGCTGCCGCGATCCATCCCGCGCACGTGGGAGGCAGTGTCGAACAGCAGACACCATCACTACACTTGACAGCCACGTATTGATGACCCATCCTTCGCAGCGACCATTGATAGATCGGGACACTCCGTCCAGGGCATTGTTACGAGCAGATTGCTGAGTCTGTGCTGCACAACCTATCCCATTGGCTGAAGGGATAGGTACAGTCGCCGCGATCTCGGGGTTAATTAGGCTAAGAGACATCGAGGCAGTACTCCGTACGGGATACAGAGCACGGACAAGGGCAAGGGCAAGGGCCTTATCCTTCCCCTACGGACACCTCCGCGAGAGATCCAGGCCCGTCCGTCCGTCCATGTCTCGAATCTCCCTCGATCTAGCGAACAGTGCGCACCATGGGCCTGCTCAGCGTCCGACATCTTCCACCATACCGTCCTCGCCGATGCACCCCATCCGCCACGCCAGCACCATGGTCGCGAACAAAGCCCCTCACGTCGCGGTCGTCGGCGCCGGCTTTGCGGGGCTGCGTTGCGCCGACCTCCTGGCCCGCAGCGGCGTCAAGGTGACGCTCTTCGAAGCCCGCGACCGGATAGGCGGGCGGGTCCATCAGATCGAGTCGGCCGGTCATCTCGTCGACATGGGCCCCAACTGGATCCACGGCACCAAGGGTAACCCGATCATGCGTCTTGCCGAACAGACTGGCACGCTGATCATGGCGCCCGAGGAGGAGCGGCAAGCCCTCTTCGACACCGAGGGGACGAGACGGCCAGACTCGGAGGCGGTGGACCTGTCGGCCAAGATATGGGACCTGGTCGTCGACGCGTTCAAGTATTCCGACGAGAACTCGGCGCGCATCGACCCGGCCGTCAGTCTGTTCGAGTATTTCCGCGCGAAGATCGACGACGACTGCGACGAGGGCCTCGATCGGCGGAAACGAGACGATCTTCTCCGTGAAGCGCAGATGTGGGGGCCCTTTGTGGGCGACGCCATCGAGACGCAGAGTCTCAAGTTCTTCTTCCTCGAGGAGTGCATTGAGGGGGAGAACGTCTTCGTGGCGAGCACGTACCGCGACATCCTGAGGGAGGCGGGCCGCTCGGCGACAGGACATAGCGACAATGTCGAGCTGAGACTAGAGACGGAGATTGTGCATTTCAATTTGGATTCTGGTGTGGTCGCAAATGACGAGGGTAACGGTAACAACAACGGCAATGGTCACGGTGACGATAATGTCGATGATGATGTCGATCGTAATAATAACAACAACTCACACCACCACACCGTCACCCTCACAACGTCGCACCACCAGAAACACACCTTCGACGAAGTCATCATCACCTGTCCTCTGGGCTGGCTGAAACGAAACCACGAAAAGGCATTCACACCGTCCCTCCCCGACCGTCTCACCTCGGCCATCTCAAACATCAACTATGGCCGTCTGGAGAAGTTATACGTCACGTTCCCGCGCGCGTTCTGGCTCACGTCCAACGACGACCACGACGACCACGACGACGACATGTCCAGCTACCCCGTATTTACCCACTTCCACGACCCATCCTACATCCCCCACCCCCAGGACGAGGCGTGGAACCAGTCCGTCGTCTCGCTGGCCCATCTCCCGTCTCCGGCCGCGCACCCGACCTTGTTATTCTACATCTACGGGGCGTGCGGGACGCGGCTCGTCAATGCCACGGCAGACCTGCCTGTGGGGGGCGATGAATATAATCGCACGCTGGACGCGTTCGCCCGGCCCTTTTATTCCCGCCTGCCGAACTACGCGCCCAGCGACCCGTCCTGCTGCTGCACGCCGACCGCGTTTCTGATGACGAAGTGGCAGGCCGATCGGTTCGCGGGGAATGGATCGTACTGCAATTTCCAGGTGGGCCTGCAGCGCGGCGACGAGGATATCGAATGTATGCGTGACGCGGGCGGGCTGACGGGGCGGGGACTGTGGTTGGCCGGCGAACACACCGCGCCGTTTATCGCTTTGGGGACGACGACGGGCGCGTGGTGGAGTGGAGAGGCCGTTGCGCGGAGGGTATGTCGCAAATATGGTCTTGCGGTGGTTGAGGAGGGTGGCACAGTGGCAGTCGATCGAGTCAATGGAGTCGTCACCGGGCCAGAAGCTGGGAAGAAGGAATTAGATAAGAAGAGGATGGATGGTGCCAATTTGAGTGGATTGGCGATTTGATAATCAAGGGCGGGCTTCCCAGGGGCCTGAGGCCTGCTTCGAGGGAGTCGTCTCTGCTCATACGTGGACTGGCACTGGCACTGCACTGGCACCTAGCCAGGTGTGCTATATTAGAGTGCAGTCTCTCTCCTCAGTCATGGCGAGTGTCCCGGTACACACACACAGGCTTTCTGCTCGCTCCTGGCGAATACCATGTCCCCATGTCAACAAGGTCTCGTGCAAGCAGTCCAAGCAGTCCAAGCATTCAACCCATAGCCCCAATTCTCTGCTCCAAGGCGCAATGAACAATGAGCCTGCTGATTCTTTCACTGGTCGCCATGAGTTACACCTCCATATCATGGGCTTCCTTGTCGACCAGGCTCATCTTCTTGTCCGCCTGCTTGCCTTCCGTCTCCAACATTTTCTCGAGTTCTACGCACGAAGCCGTCAGCTTACCAGAGACCACGAAGAGGGAGAAGCAAGCAAGCAGCAAGTACTCACGCTCGGAGATCAAGTCGACCTTCTTGTCCTCGTTGAGTCCACTTCCCTTGCCCCTCCAGCGTCTCTCTGCAGCCTTCTCCAACCGCTTCTGGGTGCGGAAATCCTCATTGCGTCCGAATGTCTCCAGCTGCGCTGCGATTCCGTCCTTTCCCTTGCGTTGCGTGAAGTTATGCAGTCGATGGATGTGCACGGCCTTTGCCTTGTCTCGTGGCCCTCCCCCGGGTGCTCTCTTTGACTCCTGTTTGACCTGCTCTGCGTGTTTCGCTTGCTTTGCATGTCTCTTCTGGCTGCTGGCGCGCGGCTTCTTGACTCGATTTCCTGCTGTGTTCGACTTGAGGGTGACATTGTCCGGCTCGAGGGGGAAATTGTTCGGCTCGAGGTCGTTGACTCTCATGAGCTCTTCAACCTTTCTTGCCGTGTTGCGTGCAGCGGCGCGATGAGCACGCGCGTTAGGTTGACCCTTGGCGCCTGCCGCAACCTGGACCGCATGTTTCTCGCGGAGTTTGTCGATGATGGCTTGCAGATCGGTGGAAATACCAGCAGTCGCAACGTCCTCGTCGTCGGTATCATACACAGATTCACAAGTCGGCGCGGGCGGTGATCTGTCTGTTACCATGCGGAAAGCCACCTTCGCTGAAGTTGTTCGTGTCAGCGAGGATGCCACTGTGCTCGTCAGGTAAAGAGGTACCCTTCAACTCATCTGTAATCAGCTCTGAACCGACCTGAAGATCGCCTGCATTTTCGTAGTCTTCAGGAAGGGAGGCCACTCGCAGGTTGCTTAGAGCAAGTCCACGGTCTGGGAGATCGTTGATGATCAAGTTTTGGACAGCGTCAGGGGTAAGAAGGAGGCCATTCTCGACTGGAATCTCGAGTTCTCGCGTCGCCGTTATTTCCACCTTGATCCATGATACCTGAGGATGGTCGCCAGTCGATACGTCCGAGTTGTCGTCCATAGCTGCAACTTCTTTTTCAAGATCGGGTCGTATCGAGGGGGAAATAACCAAGGAGACAAGACTGGAGATTGACAGGACCGTGACTCGATCTGCGTGCCGGGGGCATGAAAGAAGATGCCAGTGGAAGAGGACGGAACAGTGCCCAGGCCGCGGGACTCAGGTGTGATGTTAACTGTGTGCAAGTCGCCGCGTCGATAGGTGAACGTTCGCGGTTTTCCGTGGCGATGTCATGGTATGAGGTGTGCGCCTTCTTCCTCACCTTCATGCCGGCATCAGAGAGCGCACTACCGCCTCAGACGCGCCCATCGCAATTACGGGCCGCGCTGTTGAGAAAGCGGCTCGCGGATTGAGTCTGATAACCGACTGTCACTGTCTGCACGGCTGGAGCCATGCTGCCGGATCTGGATCTCATTGTCGTGCCTTGCGAGTCCAGAGACAGGGCAAGTCCCTCAATTGGTCGTGTGGATGGAGGATTTTTGTTCATAATATATATATAGAATCCGATCGGTCGACGCCCACACTCCCTAGCTAGGTTTCAGCGGTAAGAGAGCCCGGTTCCGTCGACCAATTATGTGGATATGTATGTAGAAGATCATGGGCACTTTCTCAAGCGCGCAAATTCAATTATTCTCGTGGAAGCTTGTAAGCCATTTTCGTGGTGAAGTCCTGTGTGTAATTGTCCGCCTGAGCAATCTTGACAAATAACATGTAAAAAGAAGTTGAAAGGACCATCGATGACTCATACAGAATCAGGAAGGGAGAATCATGTGGCTTGTCAAGAGAGACAAAAATATAATATGTGGTTTGTCAAGAGAAAAAAAGTATAATTCTTGGTCACTACGAGGGCTGCAGGAATGTTAGATAATTGTCTCTGAGAGTACCGGTTTCGAACTTACTCGAACTCGCGACCTTGGCGTTACCCAGATGGACATTTGCATCCACTGATGTTATTAGCACCACGCTCTCTGGTCCGATGTTAGTGTGATGGTCAATGTTGGCATTGATCGATGCACTTACAACCAACTGAGCTAAGCGACCTTGTTTGGCTGATTTTGATTCCAAACCTAATTTTGCAATATATGTTATCCAAATTTGCGCCTCGTGGGAAAATGAGGGGAAGACGTGAAGTGGGGAGGCGTGACCCTGATTTCGTCCAAATAGCGGCGACAGCGTCATCTACAGTGACGCAGTGAGTTCAGCAGTCCACAGTTGGATGACCCTGACTTCCATTGTTCCAGTGACTATCATCCACCTATCATCATCATGGTCATAAGATCAGTCAAACATGAGCAACTCCAGTCGCAAAGCATCACGTCCTGCACATCATGCAAACAGCTCTGCGACAGCATTCGTCAACCCGTGGCCATCAGCTTCAGCTCCGACATGGGGAGAGTTGGCCCAGTCCTCGTTTCCATTAGGGCTGTACAAGGACGAACATCTCCGACATGAGAAGGCGCGGGAGCTGAAAGTTGTCAAACCAGACTGGGGAACGGCCAGCCTGAAAGACAGAAACATTGACAAAGCCACATCGGTCATTGGTACTTGGTTGGGTCATGCAAGTGCCCTCGTCGAGATACCGCCCATCGACAATATCGAACAAAAGAGCCTATGGCTCCTCTTTGATCCTGTCTTCTCCATGAGGGCAGGGCCAACAGTGAACAGTGGAGTCGCACGATTCAAGACGGCTCCTTGCCAAGTCGAGGATCTGCCTGGCTGTGATGCCGTCTTTATCTCCCACAATCACTACGACCACCTCGATGCGCCGTCTATTAGAGCAATCGAACAGAAATTCCCTCAAGCCAAGTACTTTGTCAGTCTGGGTATCAAGCAATGGATGTCTTCTATGGGAGTGCCAGTGGAACAGATCTGGGAAATGGACTGGTGGGAGAACCGGGAGTACTGCCCCGAAGACTTTGGCATCGACACACGGCCAGCCTCCACCAACCAAATAAACTTCAAATTCTCCTGCGTGCCTGCGCAACACAATTCCGCACGAAGTCCCATCGATCAAGGCCGAACACTGTGGTGTGGCTGGGTAGTGGAACGCTTCATACGGACACAAGACGAATCAAGTGCATCTAAAGCGACGAGAAAAGGCTTGATCTATCATGCTGGGGACACCGGGTATAGGAGAACATCTAGATCTGATGTTGTCTGTCCCGTCTTCCAAGAGATCGGGAAGAGGTTCGGAGCTTTCGATTTATCCTTCATCCCAATATGGCGGGGTGGTACGCTTGGATTCTTTTCTTCCTGGGGACTACGACTGTCACATCAGGATTTCCCTGCGGCTCACCATGCGTCTCCAGCAGATGCGATTGCGATCCATCTCGACGTGAGGTCGCGGAACACGATTGGAATCCACTTTGGTACGTTCGTTGGTTCCGAAAACGAATCTTATGAAGCTATGATAGAGTTCGCCCAGGCTTGTGATCGGCATTCTGTCGCAAGTCTGGACAGCATGGGAGATGACGAGTACGGTCGTGCCGGACTCCTGGACATTGGTGACAGCCTGGCCGTACCGACCCTGTGAATGACACGGGTGAATCGACGTCGTACGGAGAGGACCGTTTCTCCAATATCTCTAGGCAGAGTTCGATGATGCATGTTCCAATTAGGGCTGTTGAGCAGGACGTCAACGACTAGTCCAAACGAAAATGGTCAAACCATGCGGCCTCCTCTTCTCCACCGAGAAGGTAACGATATTGGGCAGAAGTGAGAACGAAAGGTGAAACACGCCCATGTACTCCTCCGTAGTGGGAGCAACCCCCAAAAAGCCGCATGCCTCTCTCTGAACCACACCGCTCAGCCTCACGCCTGACTCTGGCACTGCTCAAACCACCAATCCATCCTATGGCCCTCATCCCTAGTCCGCGATCTGACCAGGTTATCGACATGTTGACACCGTGTGTTTCTTCTCGTGCGCGGACTATCCAATCCCTCTAGTAGGCTTGGCATTCGAGACCGCCTGCCTGGCTGATAGATGTTCCGCTGGATGAGTTCAAATCCATGATCAGTGTCGCTGGAACTATCGACGATGGCAACGTGTGCATGATCTGAACATCCCTGGACCCCACCTGGCTCAGCCACCAAGCGCTTTCCAGCTACCGTCAGAGCGATCCGTGGTTCTCGAAATGAGGCTCCTCAATACTACCACCCATGACCTGACCAAGTTTCACGCCCAGATCCCTCCCTATGCCATTCTATCTCATACATGGGCTGATGACGAGGTTGCGTACATTGACCGTCAGTATCTCAAGGATGCCGCAGAGCTAAAGGCTTATCAGAAGCCATTTGGCTTCTACATCGAGGAAGCTAGACATGGCTTCGAATGGGTCTGGGTGGACACACTGTGCATCGACAAGACCGATTTCCACAGAGTTGACAGAAGCCATCAACTCCATGTTTCGCTGGTATCAAAACGCGGCAGTCTGTTACGTTTACCTTTCGGACTTCGTCGCGTCCGCAGACTCTGATTTCACCACCTCTGGGGGCCGCTCACGTTGGTTCGGCCGGGCTTGGACTTTGCAAGAGCTTCTCGCTCCCAAAAACATGGTGTTTTACGATTGTCACTGGAATGATATTGGCACCAAGGTATCCTTGGCCGCAACCATCGCAAGCATCACTGGGATTGATCGTAAGCTCCTGACCGGTGAAGCTCGACTCAACGAATACAGTGTTGCTCAGAAGATGACCTGGGCCTCGTTGAGACAGGCCACACGCATCGAAGACATGGCATACTCTCTGCTGGGCGTGTTTGGGGTGATATATTCCACTTCTGTATGGCGAAGGCTGGCGGGCTTTCAGGCGTCTGCAGGAAGAAATAATCAAGACCAACAATGATCAGTCCATTTTCGCGTGGAGGATAGGCGCCCTGTCGGACCAATCCTTATCTCGAGGCATCCTTGCCTCTCTGCCCAGTGACTTTAGAGGATCAGGAATGGTCGTTCGGGTACAAAGTCGCCACCCCATGCCTTCGGCGGCTTATGCTCTTGCAGACGAATGTCTCGCGGTCGACTTGCCGATATTTCAGGGCCTGGGGCAGGAGACGTTCCTCGGCGTCCTCTACTGCCACTTCATTGACTACCCCGACACGAGACTCGCGATACTTCTCCAGCAGGTGTCCTATTCCCCTCAAGACGTGCCAAACAGTACAAGTCAGACAGCGCCGATCTTCGGCTCCAAGGGATCGGACAAAAGGCTCCATTGCAGACGCGTAGCACAGGATACTCTGCAAGTCGTGCAAATGGAGGCGCTGGCGAAGTGGCCCTCCATGCCCTTGACAGTGAGTCCGGTCTGGCAATCACCGGAGGACCCATCAGCGCCGAAAACCCGATTCCCGGTGATTGACGTGTCAATAGAGCGGGAGATGGGCAAGTCGGGCTTTTTTCTGCTTCGGACAAGCACGCTCTTTACCGAGGACATGACGGACAGGCTGTTCAGCTACATATTCAGCAACAGCATCGCCGAGAGCATCGGTGAACAATTTATTCTGCGTGCTGATCCAGGGGTCTGAATCGCGCCAACACGGCTCCCCAACCAGCATCCAGATCAAGAGTGCTGCCGATGAAGCGGCACTGACCAACTGGGCTCTGGAGTCCGTGCAAGGCCCCTCTACAGACACGGAACTAGAGATAGGTGGTGGTGGTGGTGGTGGCTCCAAGAGGTGGCTTGTGCGAGCGCACGTGCGGCATGGTGTGAAGAAGAGGCGCAAGTATCAGGTTCTGGCTCTGTTCCTTAAGGTGTCGGTCCGAGAGTCGCGTACCTCGAGGCTGTGAGGGATGATTTAAATGAATTCAAGTGTACTGGGATTTTGAAACCGGGAGTGCGACCAGAACCAGAACCAGAACCGTAAGAGTGTCTGACCTACAAGATGTAGAATGCGGTAGGGCACCACGATACGTTTTCAATGTCTTATTGAGTCTATCTCTGCTTGAGAGCTCCGCTCTCCGCTATCGACTATCTCACAGCTGGTCCTGCCGTGGCAAGGACAGCACAAGGAAGGAACAGGGCAGGAACGGGACTGTCTGCCACATAGAATATGGACTAGATGAGGGATACGAAGAGACACTACTAACGCCGGCGGAATTAGAACCAGTAAAGTAAATTCCCTATGTCCGTACTCTCACTGCGTACGGTGGTATATCAGGATCGTGCGAGTGTATGTGTGACCGATCAGCTGTAGAATCAAGACTAGATACGGGATAAGAAGAGATACCGCCAGCGCCTAACAGAATCAGAACAAGTGAAGTAAATCCCCCTACTGCGTCTATAACAGGACGGAAATCGAGGTACCTAGTTACCTATTGTTGGAAGATAAGAAATGTTGTTGATAAAAAGACCTGACTACGCCGAGTACCGTAGCCGGCATTCAGACCATCCATCAGCGCTCTCGCTCTAGCTCGTCTAGCAGTTCTCTGCGAGGGAAAAGGGGGGGGGGCACACTCTCTCTTGACGAGGAAACACGACCGTGTTTGGTCGTAAGGTTTTATTCAGGATTAGGGAGGGAGGGATCTTGAGAAAATCCAGACAGCCTCCTCAGAACGCGGTTGATGCCGGTGGTTCACAGGACGTGGTCGATGCCGTCCGTTGGTGAGGAATGATATATATCAGTCCGAAACTGAACAGGCCTCAATGGCTCTTTTGCCAAAGGGCCTACGCAGGGTTCGAAGAAGTGATGTACGAAGGTGGCGGTGAGTGAGTGAGTGAGTGAATGTGATTATATTCTACGGCACAATGACCTACAGAGGGACACAAGAGTCGATATTGTTTACAAGTAAACAGCGTGGAAGTGTTGGCTACCTAGGTAGGTAGGTATCATTCTGTAACAGCGTCCGTACCAGGTACTCTTACTGCGGACGGTACTGTCTGTACCTATATTACCAAAACTCTGTAATCAACTCATCAAATATAGGATAACTACCTTGGCGACCACACACGAGACAACAAGGCGCCCAGACCACCACCAACACCACCACCAACAACGGAATCACACTAGGTACTATACATACTATACACTCGGCGCAGCGAGGCCCTTAGGGACCCGTACTCTTACTTCCTACGGTACGGGATATATCAGTATCCCCAAGACCGTGTGTAGACCTATCGTACTGGATGTAGGATATGGAACCACACGAGGGACAAGGAAGGAAAGACATACACGCACGCACGCACGCAATTTTACGACTCAAGTCGAGTTGAGTCACGTCGCGTCTCCCTAGACTTAGCCTCATGTACCTACGGCGGGCTCTGGGGCTGCGTGTTTTACGGCCATCCACGGCAGAATGAGAGACGGGTATACACTGTATTAGTTGTCACTGTGGTGGTCCTCGCGGCGGCCCTCGCGGTGGCACTGGGTCTGGCAAGATGGGCTACGACGGCATGGATCCCCCGTTCCAAGGAAGAAGAGTCTTTGGGCTGAGGCTAGCTGGGGCGATTTCCGGCTTTTAGGACCTTCAGGTCCACGCCCTGCTGCGTTGCATTGCATTCATGATATTACTGTACTGTGCACACGCCACTACTACTGTAGCAGTAGCGGAAGACCATGAGTCTCTCAAAAACGGGCCAAATGCTTTTTTGCAGCTGCGAAATCCAATTCCGCCTACCGTGTGCACAGCTCTTGATGCCAAGCCACGAGAAAGAAGCCCGCAGCGCGTTGTACCAATCATGGTGGTGGCGGTAAAACATACTGGGTAAAGGAGGATTGGTGTGGTCGTCCAGGCACATTTGCCACGAGCCCAGTAGAGGGTGGACCGAAAGACCACTAGCACTCGATACCATGACCGTGGCAATTGCAGACCACAGCCTCGACGAAGCCATCCGTAGCAACAGCCCTGCATGAAGCATTTCGCCAGATGTTGAGTCTAGGCAAGGTTCGATATTCCTTCATCCCAGATCCCCTCTTTCCACTCAGCAAGACACAAAATCCGCTTCAGCCAATAAGTAGGCGGGATAGACACTCTCAACCGTTCGGCGTTGTCCGTCACATGACCTAGCGCCAGTGTTAGTCAGCGAGCAGAACTTTCTTGCCATTGTCTTAGCGATCTGTGGTGGAGGCGACATCGGCCAGCGTCTCGCCTGAAGACTCACCAGGCAGTTGTCATCAATGACGACGGCGCCACCAGGATCCCCGAAGCCATGTCCTCCAACCACCTGCACTTGGCCTCTTTGAATAGCCAAGAGCATCTGCTCGAGCATACCCCCCTGCGATGGACACGACAAGTCAGATGTCAGCGATGCGTAGATTCGGGAATGTGACAAGCAACCTCTCAAATCATGTGCAGTCCGGACATGATCCAGACTCTGACCAACATATCTTCCACAGGACCTACCGTAACGTAGTTATCTCCCCCACTGCGTCGTCGTTCTACATCATTCCGACTGGTGATGTTGTAAATGCGCTGCATGGCTCGTCGACTCTTGAGCCCTCGCGAAGTACTTTCTTGGTTCTCTTCCTCATCCCCGCTGTCCTCGGCATCGCCGCTCCTTGTACGCCTTGCACTTCTTCGGCCTCCGAAGAGGGAGGAGTGGACCCTTCCACCCGGGTTGGCAACATCAATACCTTTTTCCGCGGCCGCGCGTTCTCGACTATCGCCGCCGGCCCCAAAAATCTTGACAGTGCTGTCGATCCCACTGCAAGCGATCATTGGTTCGTATGGATGTCCTTGCACCACGTTGACAACCTCACCATCCCCTTCCAGAATGTTGAGGATTTCGGAAGTCTTCCGGTCCCATATGAAGAAATGTCCGTCGTCCGAGCCACTGACAACATACTCGTCGTTCAAGCCATAGTAGTTGACGTCTTTGACCGTACGCGTGTTGCAGTGGCCCTTGTAGACTTTCGTATGTGACGAATAAGGAACGTGGAGGTTCAGCGCTGCGCGATTCCGAGAGCGCGCAAATCCCAAACGTCTTCGGAAGAGAATCCTTTCAGGAGCATCGTCTTCCTCTTCAGACTCCGTGGTTCTATCTTCAGAATCGTCGTCATCGTTATTGTCTTCGTGCGCATCCTCTTCGTCATTGTCATCTTCTCCAACATCCTCGACATGGACGGTAGGAGGTGTGCTGGTTTCAACCTGGGCTTGACTAGACCCTTCCGTGGTTCTGCGAGCTGCGGCTGGCGAGTCGCGTGAAGATTCTGCATGTGTACCGTCTCTGTTGGATGGATTGGATGGTGCATCGGAGGCAGCCATAGTTGTGACAAGATCAATTGCTTCCACGATCCGATCTTCTTCCTCTGGATCGATTTCTTCTTGTCCCTGTTCTTCGCCCGGCTCGGGGTGTGCTATCTGCAATCTTAATCCGCCAAAGGCACGATTGACGAAGTCGAAGGTGACACCTTCCGCGGCCTGCATGAGCAGAGAGCGGCCTACCTTGACTCCCCAGAATCTTGCCGCTGCTCCTTTGTCCATCACACGAACCGCCGTACCTGGGTCTGCAGGGTCGGTCCGTGTCTCAGACAATCCTTGTCTTGGTTCTAGCCGAATATTCGCAAGGGCCCTTGTAAAGGCCAACACGGCTGCTTTTTGACTTTGAAAGACTTGACGGGTCTCATCCCGCTCGAAACGGTTCGTGTCTATATCGACGATAGGTCTTTCTCCATCTGCAAGATTCAACAGATACGCTTCCAACTTGGGGACAAAATCATGCAGACTTTCGTCCTGATCGAGCGGGTATCGAGGGCTCTCAGAGCTTACATTAGAAGGCCGTTTGAATCCTTGGAGCACGGCGGATTGGCCGCCGCGCAACCAGAGCAGAATTGCCCTCAGGAAGTCATAGCAAAATTGGGACCCCTGGCGAATGTTCTTACCTTCGTGAGCAGCAGGCCTGATTTGGTCGAACTGTGTCAACCGGGCGTCTGGCGCGGTAGTGAGGCTTTGCACGCGGCCACCCAGGGTCTGCGCGAGGCAGCCAGCTGCTTGCACAAACCGCCAGCTGGCCTGCCGGTTTCTCCTCAGGGTGTTTTGCAGAATCACGTCTTGTTCACTGGGATTTACTGGATAGGCCCAGGTGCGGATAATCTCGTCCATTTGGGGAAGGAGAGAAGCACATTGGCCGAGTGCATTAGTGAAGGCCGATCCGTGAGGTGTCAGGTCCGAGGATCCCTCCATCGACGCCAAAGCCTCATCGCTCAATGCAGACGAAAAGTCGAACAAGGTCTTACGAAGCTGGACGAGTGACCGCGCCACTCGCTCACTGGATCTCTGAGCTTCGGAAAGCAAAAGGTCGTGAGTGGCCAAGGACTCGGCCGCTGCCTCAGATCCGTTCGAGGGAACAGAGATCAGCTCAGATTCTCCGTCAGCATATCTCGCCATTAGAGCGGTTTGACCTTCCTCCAGCTGGTCATCCGCAACCCTGCGTAGACGTCTGCTAGGCTTCGCTGAATCAGCAAGGCTGCTCGAAGAGGCATTTGCTTTGCCTCTCTTCCTCTTGCGGTCTGATCGGTGGCGGAGCCGATTGGTCTGGAATTCTTCATCTGCCTTAGCGTCTGCTTCCCTAGCATCAGGGGACTTGACAATATCAAAGCTGTAGATATGGTCTCCTGACCAAGAAGCTACCATCTCGTTCGGATTGGCATCACTAATCTTGCAAGCAGTGATGTGGCCATGCTCGTAAGCTCCCGATTTGCGCTTGTTGTTGGGAGCAAATCGTCGGACACACCGAGTGGCTTCGGCCATGGCCTCATCATCGGAAGTCCCCACGATGGGCTTCAATGACGCGGGAAGACCTCTCTCGGAGTCGAGGTCTCGACCAAGCATACGCCTGTCGTGCAAGAAGCAATGCAGGTGGGCGCCTCCAAGCGCAATGTACTGCGGCTGACTGGGCGCGCAGGAGATGCTGTTCAAGTCTAGTCCGTATTTTTTGTACGAGATCAGTGGAGGGGGCGTGTCGCCACTGTCATCGGCCATTCCTCCACCAAATCGAGAGCCACGGCCTCCGCGGGGAGCAGGATATGCTGACGAAGGTTGCCTCAGATCCCATTGGCGCACTTCACCATCCTCCGAGCAGGTCAGAAAGAGATAGGGGCTGGACTCGGTCACGATTCTCTTTGCCCGATCAGCATGGCTTCGGTACACCCGACAATTGGTATTGCCTTCGTTCAGCCATCTCGCATTTTGAAAGTATTTGTGAAACCTCCGACTCCTTGTGCTCGCCGAGAACGAATCGGCGGAGCCCGTCTGAGTGGCAGCGCCGCCATACTCCAGGTCAAAGACGCGGACTTCGGCATCGCCGGCGCAGGTGACGACGGTGCGGTCGCTCGAGTGGGGCATGAACTTGACCGAGAAGATGTTCGCCCGGTGCCCGGTGCTTATGCTCGTGTTCAATGTGAAGGTTCGGGCAGTGCCCGACGGATTGTAGTCCCAAATGTTGAGATGGGTGTCGTCTGAGCCTGAGGCGAGGAGGTTGCCACTGGACGACCAACTACCAGAGCGGGTATTAGCAGAACTTACGTGCGCAACGAGGGGAGCAAAGACAGGCCAACTGTACCTGAGGGCATTGACGCAGCCGGAGTGAGCCCCGAGCTCATTGACTATGTCCAGGTCTTGGACCCATTCCTTGTCGCCGTACAAAGTTTTGATTGACCGATGTCTCCTCGTTTCTCCCAGCGATCGCTTCAGTAGCTGCACATCGAACTTCTCGTTCATCTTGGGTGATAGCCGGGGGGCAAATAACTCCAGTAAAGAGAAGATAGAAATCGACACATGCACGACGCGCGGCCTTGTACGAGCGTCGACAACCTCGGTCCGTGGTGAGGACAAGGTGAGGTCGACCGCTGTCGGATTGAGTGATGTAGGGCAAGAGCTCGGACGAGGCTAAGTGAGGAGAAGCATGTGCCCGTGGCCGTGCTGGATTGCGGCAGCGCTCGGTCGATGGAGTGGCGATCCGGGCGTCCCAAAGCGCACCTGCTTGCGAGATTCGGCTGGAAAGGTTTTGTCGTCAAGCTGCCAGTTAGGGTTCGGAGGCAGGGAAAAGGGCGCGGTCAGAGGTCGGCGAGCGGGTTACGCCATGCTGAGTGATGAGGAACGCAGGAAGTGATGAGGGAAGAATGAGGGAAGGATGAGGAGCCACCCCCGCAGTCACCAGCAATCCCTGTCGGGTTGTCCATGTCAAATACGATGCGTTTGATTCCACCACTGGCATTACTGGGTACTTGCTTCTTGGTCATTCGATCTTCTTCCGGCATATCCTCCTTCCAGCTAATCGAAAATGGTATTGTGCAAAGACACCGGCTGTCTAACACCCTGGTCGGTGCTTGGGACCACAGGGATCTGATGTGCTCAATTACACTCGAGGAACCACGTCAGCGAGGCTGTTGATATCACCAGATATCGCCAATTATGCGTCTCCTAAATCAGGAGCCCGAAATCACCTAGACACACAGTCCTGCGCATATCACGCATTCCTTGCTACCTCGGTCAAGGTACTGATGGTACATGTCGCCTCCCGGCTGCTGTTGTGCCAAGTATACGATATACACAGGAGGTCCAGCGGAGATGCTGTCGCAAGTATTGCACAAAGTTCCCTTGTCCATGGAGAGCTGAGGCTTCAGCTAGCTTCCTCCACTCCTCCCTTCCCCCTCCTCTACGACCCTCGCCGCCTAGACGCCCGAAGCAACGATTTCGTTGGCTTTGCGCTCCATCCCTCGTGTGCCACCTGCAGGGCTGCTCTCTTCCCTGTAGGGAGGTGTGCACTGATGTGTGATACGGTTGCAGCATACTCCTGGCCTGCTGACGTAGGTAGCTCCAGCTGCTGAGCTTTGCTGCGGACCGGATAGGACCAGGACGATGCAATTGGACGGATCGCATTATCTGTCCATTGCTGCAGCGTCTCGATGGAGAAATTCTCTGTGATTGCGGTGCTCCGCTAAAAGGTGCTCATGGCACGTTGATGCTGGATTTGGTAGGGCAGCCAGGGTGGTAGTGAGTAGGCCGTTGGCCGAGAACGCCTCCTCGAGCCGTGTCAGCAGACTATCACGGTTCCAATTCGCTCCACCTAACTATCCTCGGTGCGTCGTTTCTTGCTGGCAAGGGCCTTCCGGACATTTTCCATGGTAGTGATCACATTCTCGATCTGTTCAGCCTCTCCTGCAAGCTCCTGGAGCATCAGCTCCAACTCGACACACCGGCGCCGGAGCCTGACAATCTCTTCTCTAAGAACCTCAACAGAGCCCGAAGTCAGAATCGGATCGTTTGCCACAGGGGTCGTGGAGCCAGACACCCTTCCGGCCTCGGGAAGCTTTTCCTTACCAGACTCGAGTTCCTCGATGCGTTTGTGCAGCGATGCGCGCTCCCGTTCCCATGCCTCTCGCTCCAATCGGAACCGCCGTGCGTCGTCCGCGCCCTTGAGCTGCAACTGAGATGACATGGCCACGATCTGCCTCCACTGCGCCCCGTCGGCCGAGGATTGCTGATTCACCTCGTCACGTGACCTCATGAGATCTTGGATCTGAGCTTCCATCGCTTCGACCTGTTGCTGTAACCGGATCTTGTCCTCGGTCAAGGTGTTGATTTCATGGTCCGAGACTCGGGACTTCTTGTCTAGGGCCGTGCAACGGATCTGCGACCTGGAGAACGCCGCCAGCAGCTGGTCATGCTCCCGCTGTAGCGTTTGTAATGCCAGGGTCTTGGTTGAGATTTGATGTTGCAGATCTTGCAGATGCGTCGTGTGGGCGGCTTGCGTCGCAGTAGGGGAATACTGCGTATACTCTGAGCTCCCCGTTCGCGGATACTGGACTCCGGGTGGTGAAGGAAGTGTGCGGGTGGACGGCTGTGACTGCATCGGCGACTGGATCGACCCATACACGGAGCTCGCCGAGGAAGGATGTGGCGACTGCCCAGACCCTGAGATGGCTTGATCATAAGCTGGATGCCGCTTCAACTCCTCGCCCTGGGCGAGGGGCGGAAGGCCTTGCTCAAACGGCCGAGGCATCTGAAGTGGCTGCTCGGGTTGCCTTCGTTGGTAATCATCAACTCGAGGAGTATCAGGCGGGAGTGATACTTTGCGGGGTTCATTTATAGATGTGGGAGCCGCCGACGATTGGCCATGGATGGAAAGTCTTCGTATCTCGTGTACAAACGGGGGCGGGACAACATCGGCCAGGGATGGTAAGCCCGGTTTGGTCATGGCTGCATTTGATTGTACGAGGCGACTGGTATTCCGGATTTCGTTGAGCGTCCATGTAAGAGACTGTTTGAGGCCCAGCTTAGTCACTTCTGCGCCGATAGACTTCCGTCCGGTCAGCATTTCCCGTTCCAACGGGGCGGCCTCGAGCTTACCTCGACAGGACTCTTCGGGCCTGTAGGGATGGTCAGAACTCGACCGACTTCAGCTCGGAGCTCCAGGAAACCTTGGACGAGCTCCAGCACCAGGGACTCTGTGTCTGAACAATTGCCGCATGTTCCGCGCCAGGATCTGTTCTGCGAGATGTCCTCTGGAGGCGGCCGAGGTGGCCGATGCTCGCCCGGATAAACATGTGGGCTGGCCTGGCGGCAAAAGCGAATGTCAGCAAGAGCACCTATTCTGCCAACGCCGCCACGGAGATCAGAGCAACCAGGGGACCACCGTCACATACGTGGTGGGGAACCATCCTCCTCTTCGACGATTCCACCGCTGTTTCTGGCTGTTCTGGTATATAGTCTAGCCGGGGGCGCTTGTCTGGGGGTTCTCCGAACTCGCCGCGCGGACTGGAGTGTCCCGAAAGCCAGAAGTTTGTGGCTGGTGGTGAATGACCAGATACCGGTCGCCGGTAAGACCCTTCCATCGGGAGGTCGCGTTTGCGCGGGGCGTTATCGAAGGACGGCGAGAGGGGGACTTCAGGCAGCGGGCGCCGAGGCTCAGGCGCACTGGTAACGCGGGAGAGGAGCAGGCCAGAAGCCATGGAGGGTTTCGACTTCACATCCTCTGATTCATCTGGAGAGTAAGATTCTCGTTCCATCACCTCCACCGACCGTCCTCCAGCTTCTGTTCCTTTTTCGACGGGGAGTGGCGTGTGCAAGGCCACATTGGAGGAGATGGCGGCCGAAAATGCAAACGCGCGTGGCAAGCCAGCGAAGAAGTGGCCCAATGGGTCTCGGATGAGGGCTGCTCCCCTTTGGTTTTCTGCGTGATTTATCGTTACGGACCGGCGCAGGAGGCGAATGTCTGGATATATTGCATGCTCGCGGAGTGCGATGGAGGCCTGTACCGAGAACAGAACATGCCTAAGCGGGCATGGAGCGTGTATAGCATGTATGTGTCTGGAGCGTGGCGTGCGACTAGGGAAGAAACAGGATGGGTCCCAATGCCAGGACAGGGCCGCGTCAATGGCGCGATCTCGATTGGTCGGTGGTGCGTCGGTGGCAGGGGGAAAAGAGGATCTGGAAGAGGGAAGAGGGCGATCGAGAAGGATTGGGGACGGCGGCCAGGATTGGATTGGGAGTCAGCGTGAGTCGGTAGGTGTTGCTAGGTGCTGGACCATGCTCGTAACAGATCAGAGATCGCCGTGGCTCCGTTCGGCGGGTGGGACGTAGCGTGCGTCGTGGTGGGCTAACAGTTTTCTGCAAAGCCTGGGAATATTTAAGCAGGATGGATACGAGGCATCGAATGAAGCTCGTACCCGCTGCAGCCAACGGCGGGGCAGAGGCCCTGGGCCCACGGGCATTTAGAGCCAGCCACGGCATGCAGTTGATTCTGCATTGCGCAGCCTGGTGTGCCTCGACCAGGATTGGGCTAGCAGTACTCCGTACTGTACATTCACCGTCACCGGATGGGGGCAAATGTTCGGACAGGCGGCCCCTACCCGCCTCGGTCAACCGTACCCAGTACGCTTGCTTGTTCCGGCTTGCCACTGCTGCACGTTCGGAATGCGATGCGAAGGCGGGTAATTGTGTCATTGGGGGGCACCGGCACGGACTGGAAGAACCTATCGGAGCCATCACGCTGCAACCTGCGTTGCAACTAACTGAACCAGGGAATTGCTAACTCCAGCAGTCTTGAAGACAGGGGACACCGAGATAACGTGATCCGGTTGATTAATTAAGGTATGTAGTCATGGCCATCAATTCGTCCGCGGCGTCCACGGCCAGAGGCTGCGTCCACACCTGCGAAGTTTCCCACGGTGAAAGTGTCTCGAGGCTAGAGCGAAAACTGAGGTGAGCTCTCGACTCGCTGACTCGCGTCTCATGCCTCGAGTCGCGTCCCGCTGCTGGTCAGATGCTAAAGAGCAGCAACCTCTGAGAGATCCATTCGCAGCCGTGCGCCTCTTACTCGGACATGATCCATTGCCACAGTTACCTTGCACCTAGCACGACATGCTCGACCCGGATTTGCTGTACGAGTAATTGCAGTAAGCTCGAGAAATCAAGCTTCAGTTTTCGATGACTACAAATCACCACTTTATTAGATAAGCCTCTGGCTATTCCCAATCAATGCCATGTGCCGCGAGCCCACACGGCCGTGCCAACCCTTCTTGACAGGTTGAGCACAAACGGTCAAGCCGTCACCCGACACTCCTTGACGAGACAACTCTAGCCGTACTAGGTCAGCACCATGAGCATTTACTGTTCTTGGCTCATTTATGTCATACGACTGAGAAGACCCAGACAACCCACCAGATAATCTCAATCACATCCTGCCAACCTTGGCGGAAATGTCTTTGGATTCTCATGTCATCAGACGTAGCCGGGTTCCGTCAGAGTATTTCGTATGAGCTTACCACGTGGTGCTAGCTTCTCACAAGGATATGACACCCAACTCTTTTGATCCTTGAGCCGTTGATGACCAATGGCTCACCACGGGCTTGCTGAGTATGGCAGGTATCTACCGAATACTTGCCGAGGTGTGTGCTACTAGACAAGTCGATCAAGTCGACCATACTTACGCATCTTCTCGTGCGAGACTGCCTCCGTAAGCCTAGCACGGAGGCAGATCTGCTACATAGACCATTGCAATGCCCATGGCCATCTGGTACTCTCAGCTGTCGCAACTTCTACGGTCGCTTTCGCCGCAGAGCCGGCATGATGAAGCGGAGTTGTGCTTGCTGGATCCAGGCTGCGAATCCTTATAGCCCGAAGCCGGTGTCAGTATGTGGCTCTAATTGAGCCTAAAGTAACATGTACGGGGCCCCATGACAAAGGAGTTCAAAGCTTCAGGAGCTCATCAGAGACACAGGGCGCGTATTATTCATCCAGGCCCTCCATCGATATGGCGGCGAAAGGCGGTCATCCGACGGAGCGCTTACACTCGCCTTGTATGGAACCCTAGTGCAGAGGAGAATCGCCATCAGCTTCTTGTACTGGGGCCTCTGTGTCCCGATGATCTGGAGTTGACTTAGCAATCGGTTTTTGGACCGCACAGTCCATCATCCTGCATTTGGACTTGGCCTCCACCGCCGCGCATGACTGGCGCAGATGTTCGTCCACTCCTGCTAATGGGCCAATTGCTCAGTCGGCTCCACCAAGCCGACGGCCTCCGGGTTGCCGAGAAAGTCGCATACTGGGTACATGCAGTGGTACATCTCCTTGACCTTCCTGATAACCGCAGCTGCGCTAGAAGTCACTCAGGCCCTTCCTTCGTCTTGGAGGTGACTACATCGTCTGTTATACTTGCCTGTCCGGGTGTCGGAATCGAGGTGTGCACTGAGATGACCTATCATTCCTCGATCAGAGCAGGTGTCAGAGCAGGGGTCTTCTGGTTAAATCTTTCGTTTGAGGTATCGGGCTGCCATTTCCCCCACGAGAATCCTTCAAGACCAGGGTGATCGTAACGACGGGAGGATCTATTTTTCGTTCGATGCGACGATGCTTGAGCATTGAGGGCAATCATCCATACCACGCACGGGTCAACACAACCCGGGCGAGATGATGTGGACCACGGCAGTGTACCCTTCTAAGCAACTCCATATGTGTTCCAAACGCCCCTCCTATTACTAGCCAGAGCTGCACTTGCGGAATGATGTAATTCTGCGTCTTGAAGAGCAGCTTCGACCGCGGTTCTAATCCACGCTTGTTCTTCTCGAACAATCAGGCCTTCTATGGACCTGCACATCGCAATCTCTCGTAGAATCTGTTCCGCAAGAATCGACTGCATTTTGATCAGCAGACCAAGTGAAGTGGACGCGGGCGGCAGCTGCAGATCAGTCCATAACGCCGCACAAGATTTGACTCGAGCTTCAACTGACGAAAATGAGGCCGACCACCCGTCAGTCAGAAAGGGATCGGGACGGACAAGACTGGGGCGGGGAAAGGATCCCGGGTCCTGGACATCGTCTCCATCGTGCGGGTCATCAGCGGCGCGGTACGACCTTCTAGAAGACGAATAGACGCACCACTCGTCAAAGATCTGCATAGCATCCTTGAGGGACCCATTTTCTTTGCTGACGTCCTGCAACACTTTCTGGCAATGTGCCAGAAGAAGTAATGTATCACATCCAGCATGCGTTAGAGCTGGAGTTTGTCGCTGCTTCCCGAGCCACTCGCTCACCGCAAGTGCGTTGACGGTGGATTGCCGATCACATTGCCTGGATTTGAGCAAACTCAGCTGCTTTGCCACATCGTCAAAACTTGCTCTGAACCGCGACTTGATTGACACCTCATAAGCCTGGAGAGCGGCCGATGACTTCTCCCGAACAATGGATAGTTGTAAGAGCTCGTCTTCAAGGTTTTCAATCTCCGCAGCAGAAACAACGCCGTCTGCGGATCCGGCACCAACAGCGATTTTGTTCGGAACCGAGGCCGAGGCCACGGGGACGGCGTTCGGTTTCTTTGGGCTATAGCGCTGCTGGTAAGTGCTGAAGTTTGGCCTCAAGAACGGCACCTGCTTCCCTTTCTCAGACGCAGACGACGACGCTTTGCCTGCCGTTGATGGCAATGCATGGGAAGACACCAAGTCACTTGCCTTGCGAGCCTCGTCCTGGGAATTCCGAGGCTCGGCAGTTCTCCTTGCCTTGCTCGTGGCACTCAAGGTCCTACTATGCGAGCTCAAGACCGGGGTCCTGACATTGGCCGTACCTTTGTTGCCTGTCCATTGCTGTGACCGAGAAGTTGCCGTGACAACTGCCAGTCCCGACGCGGCTGGAGCTTCCCGGGTCACGCTGCTGCTGGTGGCTGACAAGTGGTTTCTGGTAACGCCGTGGCCTGCATGTGCGTCTCCACGGATATTACTGACGGGAACCTTCGTTGCTGGGCCAGGATCATCGGGCTTCTGTTCAGTGACTGTTCGTGCAGATACTTTGCTTGTGGCGCGGGCATGTGCCGGTTCCCTTGTCAGCCTTGTCGGTTCTTTTGCACCTGTTGCTTCAGAGTGCGGCACGTTTCCGAGGCTCGTCGGTGTTGATGACGGGCCAGTTGCGGCAGAATTTGACTTGATTAGGGAGTGGGAGCGCACGGGGATGGGCATGTTGCATTAGTCATGGCGCTTGTCGGTGATTTGAGCGATTGTGCCTCATTCGGCGTTGCTGACGAACCGATGACTGTTGTAAAGATTGAGTGCGCCCTGTTATTAGTTTGCAAGGCAAGAAGCGTCGCAGGTGGCCGCAAGGGTTGAAAGGGGAGACACAGGCGAAGCCCGCGGAATACCTTCCCTTCTCGTTCGTGGCAGTGACAAGCAGGCAGCGCGTAAGGGCAGGTTTCCCGAGATGCCGTAAACTCTCCTATTGGACGATCTATGGTGACGACGTCCTCAGCTGGCAACAACTTGAATCCATCATCCATCCTCACGCTTCATTGTGCCGACTGTGTGTTGCCATCACTGCTGGACGTGAGGTATTCGCGGACGCTTCGTGGTTTCCTCGCAGTCCAGTTATAGTCGCTCTAGGAACTCAAGTCACTCAAGTCAGAGGCAATACTTCACACATATCACTCTCGTTGATCGAGAGCAGGCCACCTGTCAGGGGTGCGTGCTCATTGTGATGTATATACGTGTGTGTTTGAGTCCCGGAGCTATGGAACTGCCTAGGTATGAACGAATGGCACACACAGCCAAGCGGGGTGCTTCTTCCGCGACACCATCCAGTACTCGACCATCGGCGCTGTCTATCGGAGACATATGAGATGTCTCCGACGCCAGCAGCCTGTGGACAACGGCCGTCCGGCCCTCCGAATCTCTACTTATTGTGGTATTGTGATGACCTATTGCGTTGGAAACTTACTGTGTGTATGCTCCCACTTGGTCTTCTGGGCCTGTAGCAAGCTATCGTGTCCCATCACTGCGAGACAGAAGATTTCGCGACTTTCTGCCCGACTGCTCTCGTAATTTTAAAGCCAACATGGCACCGGGGAAGGATGATTCGATGAAAAAGCTGTACAACAACAAAGATTTCACCAAGACGTATGCTCAAGGTGCCGAAGTATTCACCGGCTGGTTCGCCGAACAGCTCGTCAAGGCTGCGAACCTCGATAGAGTCTCCGATGATGAGGAACTTATTGTCCTCGACCAAGCATGCGGCACAGGGATTGTTTCGCAGAAGCTAGCGGAGGGCCTGAGCGACACACAGAAAGTGAAGCTTCATCTCACATGCTCGGATTTCGCAGACTCGATGATCGAGTTCGTCGGTCCGCGCATCGAGACCTTGGGCGTTAAGAGTGCTGAAGCCGTCAAGGCCGACGCCCAGGACACCAAGCTACCAAGCGACAAATTCACACACGTCCTCCTCAATTTCGGCCCTATGGTCTTCTCGGACGGACAAGCTGGTTGCCGCGAACTGCTGCGTGTGCTCAAGCCAGGCGGCACCCTAGCCATGTCCTCGTGGAAACAAGTCGGCTGGATTGACGACGTCCAAGCCGCAATCGCCACTGACCCAGAGATCCCCGCTTTCCCTACCCATGACGAGTTTCGCAAGCTGATGAATACAGGGGGGGTGTGGGACCGGCCAGCATGGATCAAAGACACCGTCACGCAGGCTGGCTTCGTTGACGTGGACATCAAGGAAGTCCCTCACACGAGCGTGTTGGACACTGTCGAGGAGTTTGCGCGCATGATGGTTGGAATGGTGGGTCTCGTCCAGTCGAGGATCTGGACGCAAGAGCAGCGCGAGAAGTTCAAAGAACGGGCGGACGAAGCCGTCGTCTCGTACATGAGGCAGAAGTATCAAGAAGGGGAGATCAGGTGGGACTGGATCGCGTTTCTCACCACTGCCAGAAAACCTGCCTGAGATGGGAGGATCGAGATTTTTCGGCTCGACTCGACTGCTGGGGATCACGAGCGAGCGCGTGCCTTGCACGCTGGGAATATTCAGCCAGGACATTGCCGGTGGCCACCACATGCATATGCACGACAACACGAGTACTTTGTACACAGTTCTGTGGAAGATGTGCACAGCACGGACTTCTCACATCTGCATGACCGTCCTGCATGGCGCCACCTCTCACACACGTACACAATATTCCATCTCGGCCACTCTCGCTTTCCGCCTCATTCACACGATCCGAACAAAGCCCGAAACCGCCTCCTCGCCGGTCGTGAAACTAATCCCTCCCTGACTTTGTATCGTGTACTGCACGGCACCTACGTACGGATTCCATTAACCTATCCATGTATGTTCATGCGTATCCATAACATGCACGCACACCCATCCACGCATGCACGTCGCCTCCTCTACAGCCCCCAAGCCCTTCCTTAGTGACCTCCACATCAAGAAGGTAATTACCTCGGACTTGTAACTTCGCCCGAGAATCAAGCGCGACCACCCAACGACATAGTTACAGTACCCGGAACTTGCTCCTGCTTGTGGCACCTCGTCCATACGAGCACCACCAGCATCGCATCATGTTTGCTTTCGCGCGCTTGACATGGTCTGCACGGTCGCCATGAACTGCCCGGTCCGCAAGGCGAGCGAGTTAGTTCCTGGTCATCCGGACCAGCACCAGTCCTCGCTCCCCGTTGATAAACACTAGATCTCGTCCATGGTCGTTCGCAGGGCGGCAGGGCGGCAGGGCGGTCCCAAGAGTGGATAATCATGTATCACAGCAGATAAGTCTTGCGATACCTAGGCATACATGCTCGATCCTACCCATACTATTACTGTATCTGTCACGGTCTGTTTATACGGGTACCTACAGTACAGAGTCCTCGACGACGACATCTGGTCCAGAGAGTACCGTCACTACCGTCACTACCGTCACTACCGTCACTAGCAACGATCACTACCATCGCTACCGTCACTACCGTCACTGCTGCTCTCGTCTCATTCTGACAGATGCACGAAGAGAGAGATGAAAGGAGGTTTGGGAGAGTCTTCGTATTGCCAATAACGTGCCTACTGGGTACAGTACATGGCCCACTCACCCATCTATCTATCTAGGCAGACTACGCATTTCCATTTCCGTTTCCGTTTTCGGTTCCGTGTCCATTCCCATTTATCTTTCCATTTCGTTCCATTTCAATGCTTGAGACGCTTTGATGCTTCAATGCTCAAGTCCCGCGTTCACCACCCCGCCATTGGCGCCCTTCTCGCCAACGTCAAGCACGCCCAAACCCGTGGCGCTGCGCCGGAGCTTCCTCCGTCCGTATACTTCGGCGGCCCACTCGCTGAGCTGGAACATCCAACCCCCACCGACAATCACGCCGCTCATGACATTGACCAGCCGTACCAGCAGGCCCAGGAAACTGGCTCGACTCTCGCTCACGATCAGCAGGATCGGCTCAATGTCATACTTGAAGAATATCCCCGGCACGGTGTTCGAGGGGACCTCACGCGACTGCGACTGCGCGGCGTATTGGTTCGTGAAGATGGACTTGGCGTCGCGGCCTTGGTCGGGGTGGGGCACGTGGCGGACGATGCCGTCCTTGTCGCGGACCGTGTGGGGAGACATGTCGAGCGTGGGCGGCTGCGGCACCGCCGCGGGATCGAGACTGCCGCTTTTGGTCGCGACGCGCCGTTTGGTGAAGATCGTGGGCACGATGGAAAGGTAATACTGATAGCGCATGAAATGCACGGACGTAGTGTCGCTGGTCTTGTCCAGCGGGTTGAGCAGATTCGGGTAGTGCGGGCCGAAGGAGAGCTCGTTGATGTGATGTGAGAAGTTGAACAGGTTGTGGTCCAGATGCGTCTGCCTCCCGAACTCCATGTACCCGTGGCCGCGGGCCGTGATGTGGAAGTCGCCCTGGACTTTGTTTCCTTCGAGGGAGCCGTAGATGCGACAGCTGTCGACGGGTGTGCCGCGGGGGAGTTTGGGAGATTTCTGGAATTTCCGTTGCCTGTTCTCGCGCATGTGCCCTAGGACGTGGCCGACGTGCGAGTCTTCCTCCTCGGCTTTCTGTCGTTTCTTGTCCCCCTCGTGCAGACCCGAGTACATGCCGCCCTGCATCTTCCGCAGCCGGAAAAGCTTCCTGGGATCGAGCCAGAGTTCAAAGTTCGTGTCCTCCTTGGTCAGGAGGTCGCTGGCCATGATGCGATCCATCGCCGCGTCCTGAATGTTGACGTGGAGATCGTGACAGGCCATGGCGACCACGATGTCGAGGTTCAGTTGCAGTTCGTGGCCCACGCCACGTTCCACGCTGAAGTGGTGCGTTTCCGTGCCCGACCACCAGGTTCGGAGTTCCGAGAAGGTAAGGCAGAGGCAGAGGATCACGACGGCGATGGTCCATTGGCCGCCGCGGGTGGTGGTGGAGGTGTAGCGAGGTTTGGTTTTGGCTGCAGAGGCATTACGCGTTAGTGAGATCGGGCTTTGTTTGAGGAGGATGATTGAGGCCTCGGCCAGCCTGTCGCCTCTGTGGTCGCACGATACTGTGCCAGAATGCTGGAAGTCTCACGGGGATACTCACGAAATGCGTCGAACGTCCTGAGCCCCGACAAGCCTTTGTCGCCAAACGCCGACTCGTCCAGGCCATGATTCTGGAACGAGTCCATTTCCTCCGCACCAGCAGTTTAAGATTTTATGACGAGAGCCTTGACAGCTCGGTTCTTGAAGTCCGCGACATGTATAATAGTGTCGCCGACTGTATGTGAGCCTGGAACCGTGGGGAGGCCGTGAAGGCGTATGTGAGCGCAGGTGTAAGGGTGGGAAGCGAGGTGAGCCTCATTTCTGGCCAGATCTGAGGTTATGCAGGGTTCAGCCTTGTGTAGTTTGGGGGCGCTTCCGGCGCCAGGCGTTGATGTCCCCGACGAGGCTGTGGGCTGCATGTCAAGAGAGGGGTCGTGGAATCTGGATGGCGAGATGATGCAGGCGTCAAGTTCAAATGAGCGTGGGTATTCGTAATGCTGTTATTCCTCATGAGACCTCATGATTGTCATACTTTCTGTTTCGATGTCTCGTTCGCTATGCTATGCCATCAATGAATGCAAAATACAATGACTCTGTTTGCTTGTTGGGTATCATGGTTCAACAGTGCCTCTCCAATAGCCCGCTGGTTCACTCGGATGCATTTCTCGGGCAGGACTGTTTCGTGCCCTGACTCCATGCTGAATCGATATCTCGGAGGTCATGCGACCGTGTTGCCACCACCTCAGTACGCAGTTGTCCTGAACAACATGTGCTTCATGATCATTCTTCAATAGGTTCCAACGAGAAGTCCGCCCGTCTCTCCGCCCCGCATACAGACCATCGTTTTCTTTCCTTGTTGCTTCTTAGGTTGCTGCCACGGATCTCAAGCGAGCTCCTCCGTCGCGATTCACCGGGTTCGCCGTCTTCTCCTCTCAGCTTGGCTCCCTCTTCCTCAAGGATTGCCGCCTCCTCCGCATCAGGTGCGTCTTCAATTGTCTCCAGCGAACTGATCGACGGGGACCTTGATCGTAGTGATGTCGGCGTGCTGGGCATGCTGGAAGCAGAGCTCACAGAGTAGACCGGGTATGGCTCATAGCTGTACTTTTGGGCGCCGTATGATGGTGACGGTGAACTTCTCCCAGAGATGTTGGGGCTGACCGCTCTGGCATGCAGAGAGGGAGCACTCGCACTCTGGTGGAGTGGCTGCGCAGTCCGCCGCCGTGCTCTTGGAAATGTGTTGGAGAAAGAATATATCAGTGATGGCTGTGTCACATCTCCATCTGGCGTAAAGTCGAGCTCTTCATTTTCTGGGATATTTGGTTCCATCACCAGACCGCTCCATGCTGGTTTGCCAGGATACGGCTCTTCCATGGCCATCCCGAGAGGGCTCCGTCGTCTTCCTGAGTGTAGAGGTGATTCCGGTCTTCTGGGGGCACCATAAGGTGTGATGTATCGTCCGGAGGCGTCGACGCCGGGTGAAGAATGCGCTCGTTGCATCGGGGGAGCGGTTATCATGCTTCCAACTGATAGCGGCCTCATTCTTCTCTGGGGCGACGAAGCGCGGGGTCTCGAGGGTGTAGTGGTCTGTGAGAGATAGTGGCCGTACTTCGGAAGGGTCTCGGAATGCTTGGAGGGCGATGATCTGGGAGAAGGGGAAGGCGGTGTTCCGCACTCGTCGTCTCGCGGAGAAGGAGGGAGCTCAATATCTTCAGCCCGTATTTGAAGGGACGAAATCTGGGGTAGGTCTGAGAAGGTCTGGTCGTTAGAGCTAGCGGAGTCGCTCGACGGCGGGTTTGTCAGCGGCGGCATGATGGTGGTGCGGGAGAGGTAATCGAGGATATAATAGTCGTTATTCAGCTGAATAAGAGATCGAGAGGTAGCATAATCTTGGGCTGGAGCGTGGCTATGGTGCGTGAGTGGAGGGGCGAGCCAGCATTCCTGAAGAATGCTCCGTGAGATTCCCTCCTCGAACGAGGGCACGCTCGAAGCGGCCGCAGCCCGGTTACGATGAGCGGCTTCAGGAACGACCTAATACCCAGCAACTCTCGAGGCAGAGAAGCCTCCGAGGTTGCTGGTGGTGTTAAGTCCGGATGGCGAGTCGTTGACGGGTACACAAGAATGTAGAGTGTTAAGAAAGGAGTGAGCAGGGAAGGAGGAGGCTGTCACAGGTCAAAGTGCGGAGGTGGAGATGAGATTGTGCAGGGTGCGCGCCAAACAAAGTCAGGAGGTTCGAGATTCGGCGTGATGCGATTCCACTGGGGCTCCAACGGCGATAATGTCAGGGTCCGGCTTTAACCGGGCTTGGTGGTTCTCGGGGGTGTAGCCTCTCGAGGCTTTAACTAAACCTGGGCAACGATCGTTGCATCCCACTCGGCTTATTGGGTCGTGGTCGATGCCCTTGCGTTGACTTGTCCTACAGCCCTGTTCTTGAGTCCTCGCAGGATATCAGATTCAACTTATATCCCTCTGAGTCTGTTCAGCATTGTAAGCGCTGATGCGGGCTTTACGGAAATACTACGATTACCACGTGGCCAGTATGCTACCCTGAAGCTTTGCCTCCGATGAAACATAGGCATGACTTTCCGTTCAGCTGGCGCTTCCTCCTTCCACTTCGATCCTGTGGGCACAACTTGTCAGATCTGGACGTGTACCGTTCCCGCATGTTTGATGTGCGGGAGTCAATATTCTCTACGAGCAAATTTGTCATGTGCGGGAGCAGTGCTCCCTTCCAGTTTTCGCCCTCATTTGGGTATGAGCCAGCAGCCACGCCTGGACTTGGACACTATAATAAACCTTTGTCTAGAGCGACGATACGCTTGCTGTCATTTTGTCATAAGCGTTTGAGTTTGAGCAGCTTCCGATCTGGCCCCTTACCGGGCCTGGACCCGATACCTTGAGTGATCACGCCTCGACTCATTTTGACTCACTTCGACTCAATCCTTCATTTGTGCTACCGGCTGCAGTGTTGACGCCCTTCTGTCCGAGCCCACCTTCAACAGGTGCTGAGCGCGAATTTAGTAGCTTCTACTGGTCCACGTTGCAAATTGAATAGGCCATGGCTCGCAGACAAGGAGGATCGCTTTCAACTAGAGCGAGGCCTGGATGGGAGTCTCAGGGTTCTACGGGCACCGAGTGAGGATGAAGACTCTCGCGTCAATACGGTCAACACATCAGCACTTTTAAGTCGATGGAGCAACATTATGAAAAGATACTCCAAATCAATCCGTCAAAATTCAGATCGATCCTAATTTCCAGGCTCACATTTGCCTTGTTCTTCGTCCTGCCAGATTATCCCATCATAAACATTTGATACAATTCGTAATAGCGTCAATCGTTCAAGTTGCTGCAGGAGGAACCGCCTTCATTTGTTGAAGGATTTGGATACACTGAAACTCCGTTGGACTGGAGGACTCCGTGGTGATCATGCGATGGGACACAAGGTGGACTGCAGCCAGTCACCAGTTTGTTGTGAACCTGGCAGAGCACCGTCTCGTAGGGCGTCTTGGAGATGATGCTATCGATGGCTGGATCAAAAATTCCGCTCCTTCGCGTCCGTCGTAGCGGAAACAATGACTCGAAAGTTGATAGTTTCGTAATCCATGTCATCCTTCGGGATTCAAGGTGGCTTATATGCTAGCAGCTCGTGTCCATCGATAGGAACTTCAATTCCGTTTGAGGAAGATTCAGGTCATTTGGGGTATGAGGTCCGGAGAGCCGTCACGAAACATCCCTTCCATGGACAACAACATCCCGGTACAGCTCGCTGGATAGCTGTTTCACGACCAACACAGTCATGCTGATCACTTTCTCAGCGTTCAGGTTCGGAAAGCTCCTCAGCATTTTTGCAGGGCTCGGCTCGCCCAGCAATGCATCCTTCAGCAGCAGTAGCTGGGCGACCACGCAGATGACGTTCAGATGTGCTCCGAATGCGAACAGAAAATCCCACAGCTTCAGTACCTCGGGAAGAGGTGGTGTACATGCGCAGAGCGTCATCACAGAGGGGAAGGCGTAGATCTTGGCCGGCAAGCCCTTGTTGAGGAGGTGAGATGCGAGAGCAGGACTAATCTCAGCCAGGATCTTGTCGATGAGGTCGAGGCCTCGATGCACACCGGACATGGTTGGGGAGAGGTAAGTGGGGATATGCTCAGTTAGGAGGCGGGTCAAGATGGCGTAGGCTTGAGCTTCTGATCGCGAGGCGTACAGGAGCGGGGCGGAGAGTACATTGACACCTTGCAGGTAGGTCGACTGGGTATACTTCTGAGCAAAATCCGACGGTGGATTGGCGTTTTGCTCATCGTGTATCCGCCAGGCCGTGGCATTCAATAGCCGAGTTAGACTGGCATCGGTGACGCGTCGCTTGAAGAGTGTATCGGTCGCCAATGTGCGGAACACGTCGTTGGAGATCTTCTCGTACGCGGGACTGCGGCCTCGGTGGATGAGATTGAGGTATGTGTCTGTCGCCAGCGGGCCGATGTTCAACAATGTCAACCAGAGATATATCCGGTAGTCGGACATGCCTTCTTTCGTTGCACTAACGCCACTCGTCAGGATCGAATGTCGGAGCAACGACAAGGCGCTTGCGGCGGTTGTTCCAGGCGGGGGGCCGTCGCGCAGAGTCATTTCTAGGCTGGATTTGCGGGCGTGTGCGAGGATGTGGTTTGAGGATGGGTTGGAGAGGTTCGTAGGTTTGCGAGGCCGCAGCGCATACGGCGTCAGAGCATCACTATTCGCTCGCACACGGGGAGTGGAGGTAGTATTTGACATGTCGGCATTTGAGGCCGTACTGGGTTGAGGTTGATTGAGCTGCTCGCGTGAGGGCTTTGTTGAAATTCCAAACCGCGGGGGTCTCAGATTTGATGTTTGAATGCCCATGTTGCTGGTCGAAGACAGTTGATTGTGCGATTGGAGCCGGCGCAGACCGCGAGTCTTGTCGCTGGAGGTCAAATCACTCTTCTCAGGCGAGTCCGGTAATCGCACAGAGGCCGGGTCTGGAGGTGAAAGAAGGGCATTGCGGCTGGCGACTTTGTGAGGGGAGATGGATGTTGCAGTCATACTGCCGGACCTAGGCAAAGGCGGACAGCGGGCGGGAGGCAGAGCGATGCAGGCAAGGAAGAGCGCGTTGCGAAGTTGAAGTTCATGCGACTTGTGAATCAGGTCCAGCAACAACTCGGCAAGTTGGGTGTTGGAACCGTGAGTTTACCAGCCGCCGTTGGCTGGAAGACCCCGCTAAGCAACGCTGACGGTGGCTACCTTGACGCGAACCGACGCGTGATCCTGGCCACGGTCCACGGGCCAAGGGTCAAGGGAGAGAGATGCAGGCGACCCCGACCGACTGACAACAGCTTCACTAGGCCATGCGTGTACGTGTCGAGACGAGTGCCATGATCGTCGCTGGCACCAAAGTCCCTCCTTCGCTTAGATACACAGTTGATGACTTGCAGCACAAGCAATAGACAGAGCGATCAACGCTGCGGGCGGATGTCGCTGATAACCCAGCCATTCGCCTGCATAAGCGACGGTGATGGCGCGATACAGTACAGTAGATCCACGCCCGTCTCGGAGCTCCACGTACGACTCGGACAGGAAAACTCCACACCGCCAGCAAATCCGGCCTCATCCTCGCACCTTTTTACTGTGACGTTTCATCTGGACACAGGGCTATCTTGACATCGAATCTCATCTTCTCCAGCTATGAGACCTGGCCTCAGGTGCATCGGAGCAAAGCTGAAATACGACGTGGACAGCTGAGGATCCCAGGTGGAAAATTCCGAGTGGCACAGAAAATGGCTGGGCGTCGACCTTCCGAGACCAGTGCTCTTCTCAATGAGCATGGGATTGACGACTTCCGGAAATCTATCGACCAGGTCGACCAGAGGCTATATGGCACGGCCGCGGAGGAGGAGTCTTCACTGGTGAAGAGTCCTGAGCTTCAGACAACATGGAAGACAGAGACGGCCATTCTAGCACGATATTCCGGTCCTTTGATGCTGACCTACGTCCTGCAATACTCCTTCTCGCTCGTGACTGTCTTCGTCGCCGGGCGTCTGGGCACGAGAGAACTAGGAGCGGCGTCGCTAGCAACGATGACAGCGAACATCACAGGCCTTTGCATCTATGAAGGACTATCCACCAGCCTGGACACTTTGACCTCGCAGGCTTACGGAAATGGAAAGAAACAACTGGTGGGCCTCCATGTCCAGCGCATGTGCATATTAGTCTGTGTGGTCACGATCCCAATAGGGGCGGTCTGGATATGCTCTCCTTGGATCCTGTCAGCTATTGTGCCGGAGACGGACACGGCAATCCTAGCAGGCACTTTCATGCGCATCTATCTCCTTGGCGGTCCTGGCTGGGCCATTTTCGAGGCAGGCAAGCGACTTTGTCAAGCTCAAGGCGACTTCACCGCATCACTGGCCGTGGTATTGGTTTGCGCTCCTCTCAACATCCTTTGGAACTGGCTCCTGGTCTTTCGGTTCAACCTGGGCTTTGCAGGTGCCGCTTGGGCAGTCGTCATTTCCAACAACCTTCAACCCATAGTCCTGGCGTTCTATGTCGCTTTCATTGCCCCTACCAACCTTCAATGTTGGCCTGGATTAGATCTCCGTCGAGCGTGTCAGAACTGGGGTCCGATGGTCAAGTTGGCGATTCCAGGCGTGCTCATGACCTTTTCCGAGTGGTTTGCCTTCGACGTCCTCACGATTGCGGCAGGTTACCTCAGCGAGCCAGATCTTGCTGCACAGTCTGTCCTGATGACGGTCGTTGTTCTGATGTACCATATCCCCTTTCCAATCTCCATCGCAGCGTCAACGCGGTTCGGTAATCTGATCGGATACGGCGCTTTGGACGCGGCTCGGACAGCCTGGAAAACACACTACCTGATCTTCGTCTGCATCGGCATCTTTGATGTTACATTGCTGACATCCTGCCGCCACGTCATTGCGGACATTTTCACCACAGACCCTGCGGTCAAGTCCATCATCACAGTAGTCATGCCCATCACGGCGGCAGCCCAGTTCTTCGACGCACTACTGGCACTTTCGAATGCGCTTCTACGCGGGCTGGGGAGACAGAAAATCGGCGGTTGGGTCAATCTGGGCGTGTACTATCTCTTTGCACTTCCGTTGTCGTTCTTCTTGTGTTTTGGACCGCCTCGGATGGGTCTGAGCGGCATGTGGATCGGGCCCAGCACCGGCCTGGGTTGTGCTGCGGTCATCATGGCGACATATATGCGGCTCACTGACTGGCAAAGGGCTGTTGACGATGCTCGAGCGCGGGAGGAATAGACTGTGGGGACGATGATAGGTGCTTATTGTACCTAGATATGCGGTTATCATGCCTATCGCCTTCCTACTATTGACGCTGGTACCGTGTAAATGTTCTTTCCTCTGCGTCCCGGACGAGTTCTGATGGCATGGCTCAAATCGCTCAATGTTCCCCAGTCTCATGTGGGTATGTGATAGACGTCCACGGCAACAGTGCAAGTAATATCTGGGTCGACCGAGTATAATCTCACGAATCTGACACGACCGGTCCATCCTGCAGTCGCAGTGCGGCCGATAATCCTTTGTTTCGTGCCCCGGCATGATTCCGCGGTCAGCCGCATTCAACCGCTGCTTGCCGCAGCCGCGTCTCTTGATCTCATTCCGCCCACCGACAACGACTTGCGACTCGTCGATCCACTGCTCGACCACGTCTTGGACGAGGCATACCATCTCAGTCTTACCCAGTAAGGATACATCCTTGTCGCGGTATCTCCTACGTACATGTTTTTCGGGACCAGCGGTCGGTAAGTCTCATTGAAAGCTCGGGTCCACCCCGCCTCTCGTGCGTGAGATCAGATAACTTCTCTTCTATATATGCTTTGTCAATGCCTTCCGTCGAGCCCTTCTCGAGCCTGTCCCGTTGCTGTCTGCGGTCGCCCGTGTGAATTGACCCTCTCAGCTCCAAATCCTGCCTCTCAGACCATGGCCACCAACATCGACCTAGCGGAGTACCTCTTTCGGAGGATTCGTCAAGTCGGGGTTAAAGCTATCCATGGCGTTCCAGGAGACTACAATCTTACCGCTTTGGACTACATCGAACCAGCCGGTCTTGACTGGGTTGGGAATGCAAACGAGCTGAACGCCGGATATGCCGCGGACGGCTATGCCCGGATAAGAGGAGTATCAGCTCTAATCACTGCCTTTGGCGTCGGCGAACTCTCTGCTATCAATGCCGTTGCTGGTGCCTACAGTGAACGTGAGTGGCTCCGGCATGCTCCGGTTTCGACATGCGCTGACTTCGTCTGATAGTGGCGCCGGTCATTCATATTGTGGGCACTGTCCCAACCAACGTCCAGGACGCCGGGCTCTGCATGCATCATTCCCTGGGCAATGGCGACTTCCGGGTCTTCGCCGACATGTACGAAAAGATCACGGTAGCCCAGGCGAACCTGAGGGATGCAGCTACCGCCCCAGCGCAGATTGACAGGTGCCTCCGAGAATGTGTCATACAGAGCCGACCGGTGTACATTGAATTGCCTAGCAACATGGTCCGGGCCAAGGTCTCAGCAGCGCCGCTCAAGACACCCATTGATCTTTCCATCCCATTGAACGATGAAGGCTTCGAAGACACCGAGGTTGACTTGATCTTGAACAAGATGTACGCTTCTAGACAGCCTTTCATTGTCGTGGATGGCTGCACATCAAGGTACGGTGCTAGCGAGGAGGCGAATGAGTTAGTCCGAGTCACCGGATTTCCTACTTCGGCCACTCCTTTTGGCAAGGGCATTATCAACGAGGACTATCCCAACTTCTATGGGATTTACGCTGGCATTGCTGGTAACGAGGCATACATGCCCTGGGCTCAAGGTTGCGATTTCGTCCTCAAGTTGGGACCACTGGAGAGCGACGTCAATACATTTGGATTCAGCACCATTCCCGACCCCAAATCTTCAGTTGTATTTCACCGCGACCACGTGGAGATCGGAGGAATCAAGTACCAAAACCTCCACATAAAGTCTCTCCTACGCAGAATTCTTTCGAAGCTGGAAATAGCCAAGCTCCCTCAGTATAACCCTTACATTGATCTAGGCTCCCCTAGAGCCGAGCTGATGGCTCTGCCTCCGACCGGCAAGGATGACATTATCGACCAAGCCACTTTCTGGCGGCGGATCTCGACCTTCTTCCGGACAGGTGATATTGTCATGACCGAGACTGGCACAATAGCAATCGGAGCTCGAGATGTGGTTCTCCCTGCCCACACTACGCTTGTTTCTTCTTGCATATGGCTGTCCATTGGCTACATGCTACCAGCATGTCAAGGCGCTGCTCTAGCCCAGCGCGAAATGATTGCTGAAGGCTTGCGTCCGAACGGGCGCACCATCCTATTTGAGGGTGATGGCAGTCTCCAGATGACCGCGCAATCCATTAGCGACATAATCCGCAACCGACTTGACGTGACGATCCTGGTCATCAACAATGACGGATACGTGATCGAGAGATGGATCCACGGCATGAAGGCCGGCTACAATGACATCCAACCATGGAGATACCTCGAAGCACCAAACTACTTTGGTGCACCCAAAGATGACCCTGCCTACCCGGTGGTTACCAGGCGAGCTGAAACGTGGGGTCAGTTGAACGACATCTTGGCAGAGCCGGCATTCCAACAAGGTAAAGGATTGAATATTGTGGAGGTGATCATGGGCCGAGAGGACGCACCTGATGTGTTGAAGAGGCTGGTCCAGAGCACAAAGAGAAGGAATTCGGGCCCTGACACCACACCCGAACAGCACCAACCCTCGAGTACTGGAGAGAAGGCGATGAAGGTCGGCGGTTGATATGAGCCCACACTCTCATGAGTGATATTTTCGAGGCATTGAGTATTTGTCTATCCGTTTGGGTTGGCGGCGTCGGACGCAGAGCGCATCTCGAACTGAGAAGGACAAGCATGTAGAACGGTGTCCTGTCTCTTGGCGCAACAGGAGTGTCTAACATCAATGAAATAATCCTGAAGCGAATACATCTCTCCTTCTGCCTCAGCAGCTTGCGTCCCGCGACGTCCCCTCTTTGGTCTGGCTTCGGCGGTGGCTGCGCATTGTGCGGCCTGAACATTTCAGACGAGGCAAGCGTTCAACCTTAAAAGCGGCATTAGTTGTACACTTCGAGAAGGTCAAGGCGGCGCCCGTCCCCATGCCCCATCACTTGTGTCTCACCTGCCTCTCACTGATCCCTCACTGATCCCTCACTTCATCTTGTCTAATAAATCTGTGGTGAGCTCTTTGGCTCCCTCGCTTCTTCAAACGCTTTCCGAACTTTCCTCGAGCCCGTCGTCCGGCAGTTCACGTAACAAATCACGTCAATTCGCCAAATGTTTGACAGCCTCCGACACACATGACACTGCTTTGTCACAGATTGCGGGTAGGACCACCCTTGGGCCCCATTGATTCTAGCCGCGCTTTGGACTCCGCTGCGGCGTCACCAAGCGAGCTGAAGTACAAACTTTCTGCCTCTTCGGTTATCGGCTCGCTGGATAGGCTAGAGGCTGTTCGAGTCTCTGCTTCCATTATTGTTCCCGCGGCGTCTCTCATCCAAGCTGAGGTCTGCCGTCGGCCCCTTCACAAGCGCCTGTCAGGCGATTCCCGCCTCGATACCACAACTTATTCGGCCGATTTTGTCAATTGCCATCGTCTGCTGACCGCGAAATGGGCGTCATGTCCAAGATTCGCCGTCTCCATCTCTCCCCGTTGACCCCGAGATTGCGGATCGCACACCCTTTCTTTCTGCAAGCCAGCCAGCCATTTACGCCAATCTCAACCTCATCCTAAGCGAGTTTGTCCTGATGTGGGTTGATGTTGCAGCAACAGACTTAGGTCTTTGGATCTGTCCGACAGCAAGGGCCCGAATCTTTCGCATTATTGGTGAGTTGCCCTCTTCTCTCGTGTCCATGCGAGGTTATACAGGTCCCATTGCAAAACGATATGTAACGACTCGAGCATATATCTTCCACGATGCGCCCGCTATCCGACAGGTTGGTACGGCTCGTCGTTTTCCTCCCATCTTTCGTCTCAAGGCACGTGAGTGGCGCCCAAAGAAATGCCCTGAAACCAACCTCGCCCCAGCTTACTCATATGATGTTGCAATGGCCCCATTCCCTTTGAGGTCCGAAACCGTGAGGCATACTTCATACCATCTCGGGGTCTGCACAATACTCGTGGTCTGCCTCCTGTCTGTCCTTCTCGCCCTGTTCATTATTAAACGCCGCAGACGTCGAGTCAATATGCCGCACATTCAGCGACTAGCATCCTTTCCCACCATGGAAAAAAAGCACCTTGAAGGAGTCGTGTTTGGATCTGGAGACCCGATCGATCCTCTGGACCGTCAACTGCTGACCGAAATTTTGAACCCTTTGCTTGATGCCGGGCCAAGGAAGTCGAGCCTCATGACGAGTGGCTATCTGGCCGCGAAGGCCAAGTTGGAAAAGGCACAGACGTCAGCAAACGTTCTGGAGGCACATTCTCAAGTCGAGGTCTTGGAAATCGAACCCCAAGACATACAGCATCATAGTATCAATGAGCACCAGACGCCCCAATGGAGCCGCCGTTCCTCCCCAGGACCTCAGCATCAAGTCAACGCGTCAGTCCCCGACGCAAACTATGATGGGATGGAAACCTTGATGATGACCAGTTCACTCCACGTGGATTCGAAGCACGACGACACGCAGCACTTCTGCGATGACTACAACCCAATGATCAAGTGGAGGCGAAGAACTTTGATCTTCGAGACGATGCCTTGACCCTACGCTCCCTACACCAGCCCACATCTTTCTCCCGGCTGCCATTGAATCGCCTTACTGTGGAGGGCTAAGCATAGCGCGCGGGCGCCATGCTGCCACGACGCAAAATGCACCGCTGCTCGACCGTCCCTGTTTCAGGCTTAATGTGTACTCCGCTGGCGGACAGAGACGCCTACGACAGTCATACGGATAAGAAGCGAGATCCCAGATTCAGCAAGGTCGGTTCGGACCAAACAGGTGATGTCCCAACCGGTTGCAATATTTGACTCGCTATGAGCGCGGCCGCTTTCCCGAGACTCGCACTGAGACCAACGCACACTGGCAGTCCTATGGATGAAACAATTGAGCAGTATTCATTCGGAAGGAAAAGACAGCGGAGTCGCGCAGCAGGACCTATGGGAGCATATTCCGGTCGTGTCAGACGGACAGGGTGCATTCGTATCGACATCCCTCGTCGGAACACAAGCAGGAGAGACGACCGGAGCTAGCAATGGACGAGTACACCGGGGGTTGGACGGAGATGCTCAGCTGGACAGGGATCCCTGCCTCTGCACTCCACCGTGCGCTTTGACCACTGAGGACCGCGCCAGCATATATGCACGAGCTACCTATCTACAGTCCCTGTCTGTGAGACTACCACGCCCTAGCTATCCAATCTGCCTGCTCACATGTCTGTCTGTTCATTCATCTGTGTATCCCACGTATCTATGCATCTAGATGTGTAATGGCTTGAGCCGCGCGAGACCATGGTTAGAGGAAGGGCAATAGGTGGATGGATAGACACAACAGCAGGTGGCTTGACTATTTGGCTCGCGCGGACTCTGCACGCTGCACGCTTACACTGGGACACGGTGAACCTTTTTTAAATTCGTTTCCCCCATGTAAGTACTCATGCCTCGCACGAGATGCATGGGATGCCCCTCTTGCCCCTCCCTTCCCACTTGGCCTTTGCGTAAAGGTTGGCGCTTGATCTCTGATCGTGGCTCGTCATGACTCGTTTCTCATTCCTCTTCATCTCGGAAGACCCGGCCAATGACAAGAAAACGTTCACGAACGACCAAACCCAAACCATCCGCGCTTGGGCGCCTTTCGGTCGTCTTTCGTGTCCGTCTCCGACACTGGGCCGTTGGTGGTTCTCGGTCCGGCGTCATGCATCTGCACGTATTCTTTCGCGGGCTGGACGTCGTCCTCGGGTCCCTTCTGCCCGGGATATTTGATGTAGTTCCAGGCCAGGTCGAAGAACAAGGGCTTCACGGGCACGGGCCGTAGTTTGGGCGGATAGTTGACCAGGTTCGTGAGGTCGAGATTGGGGATATACTGGTTGTGGGAGAGGCGTTCTATCAACGGTGCGGGTTTTGGTGCCGTAGCTGGAGTTGTTGACGAGCCATCGGATGTGGCGTGGGACGATTTGAGTTCCGCGAGGGCGCGGTATCGAAGAACAAGTTTCCGTACGGTCGAGGCTGTGAGGTGCAGTTGTTTGGCTGAGATGTCTAGGTTAGGTGGCGTTGTATTGTCGGTGGTGGTGGTGAGGCTGGTGGACGCGCCGAGTTTGCTGGCAGCTGTGTCGGCCAGTTCGAGTGCCCGGGCGTATAGCGCTAGGGCATTGGGGATGTGGTCGCTAATCGCGTGTGAGCGGCCAACGGCAAGGCACTTCAACGCTCGGAAATATGCCCTCTTGGCGTCGAGCTCGTCCACGAAGGGAGCGTCTGCCATGACGCCGGGGAGTTCCTTGACGGCGTCAAGACTCTGCAGGATGGAGTCGTAGAGAGCCACTCGTTCTCGCAGTCTGGACATCTTTCGTCCGGTGCTTTCCCCCTTCGGTGCACGGGTTTTACCGTCCTTTCGCGGCTTCAATGGCTGTTTGGGCTTCTCATCCTCAAAAGCCAGACCGTCATCTGACGCACCACAGAGCACTCTATTCCGGCCGATACGCCATTCGATGACGGCGTAATTGACGGCTGTGCGAGTGATTTGCAATGATTGCATGCGCGCATCCCCGGTGTCAACGCCTTCGGCGACGAGCTCATCGATTGCGGTCTTCGTGGCATCCGCTGCGTCCTGACGGGCAGTGATGACCTCTTCATATGCGGTCGCAAAGTCTTTCGCGCTCAATGAGCCGTCTCGGAACGATTTGAATGATGAGGCCAAATCCTCTTCTTTCTCTTTGGACAACCCCAGTGCTTGGGAGATGTTGGCGTCTTCCAGCTTCACTTTGCGACTTCTCCAGGAGAGCGTGGATGGAATATCCTTGGGACCACCCTTAGTGGGCGCTGCTTCTGCTGCCGTCGAAAATGCTTGTGGATCGATCTGCTCAATTTCCTGCCTCACGCTCGTCTCTGATTGAGGAAAGTTCTCGATGACAATCTCGTTCAGGGCTTTTGTGCGGGGCATCTTCAACTGGTACGCCGCATAGCGGATGCTGGGGTCTACGATGCCCGACAGCAAATCCTTGTATGCGTCTATCTTTGCCGACCGTGCCAACGTCGAGTATATAACCTGAGTGACAGAGTAGTCCTGAATGCATGCTTGCCATCTTCCCTTCTCGAAGTCAAGGCCGCCTTTCAACATGGAAAGGTACGCACGTGCTTCCAGGTCATCCAGCACTTTCGCGCCGGTCGTGTTGCGGTCTTGGAGGATGTTGACCAAGTTATCCGCATGGGTAATTGCTCTTCGCAGTCGTGATGCAATCTGACGCTTCGTGGAGCCGGGCATAGGTTTCTGGGTGGTTTCGGGCGATTGTGCCGACTTCATGGCCATAGCAGATGCCCATGCTCGCTCAGAGCTGGCAAGGAGCAGCTGTACCCATCTTGCACGAGTCAGTGCTATTTCCACCTTACGAGGGCGTAACATACTCGGCATTTTTGGAGACATTTTCTGCCGTCACAGGAGCTTTTGGACTGTATTTTCTGCCTCGAGTTGCGGCACCGAGCCGACGTCGCAGATTCTGGATTTTGCGGGTTGCTTGGGCATGATAGGCATTGTAGTCGCCTCCAAGAAGAGCCTTGTCGCGCTCAGATATGAGCGAGCTGGTGATATTCATATTGGGAGCTCAGTCAACCCAGCCTTTGCTGTGGGAATATACAGAATATTCCGTTGGCGTTGACAGTTGAGTGTGAATGTGAATCTGAATGTGGGGCAAGCGCAGGGCCTTGGATCGCAGGCTCCTTAGAAAATGTACGAGTATTGCACATCGGCTTTGCTTCACCTTTCGCTCACCTGATCCTCGCCTTCGACTTACATCCACCTTTCTCTCGACTCTTTTTGTACAGTTGTGTCGCGCCCAGCCCGCTGCTCATGTCCCTCGAAATACAATAATTACACTTGCCGGCGTTTTCCTTTCCTGATCTATACTCTGGCTTCCGTCAACGCAATCGGGGCATGCTAGAGCGGACCGCGGCATGCATTGAGCCAGCATCTCAACTTTTCCTCCGACGCATTGAACCCCCTGTTCGGACGCGGCGCGCACTTGGTCCTTCGTTCTGGAGAAATGGAGGAAACCATTTGGACGTCCCTCACTGGTGGCCGCTATACCTCGAACGAATCCGAGCTTCACGCCACAATGGAGCCGGCCTCGAATCTTCATTGCTTTGCCCTCGACCGTCCCGACTAGTTACCCCCGACGAACACTCCTCCCAATACCGTTCTCAAGCTTTGAAACGTGATCGAAGTTCGAAAGCTCCCTCCTCAGCTTCATCACGATCCTATGTCAGGTCGAGCAGCTTTGCCCAAAATGCCAGCGCGGCTCTCATGGCTGAGAATGATGCGTTCTTGCAGACCGGCGGCTCTGTGTTGTCAGTCGCCGCGGCTCAAGATCCCTCTGGACCCAAAAATAATGATATGGTAACGGCGGGTACAAGAAATGAGATGGCAATGCCGTACTCCTCGAGCTGTTCCAGTCGGGCAGAGCAGCAGTTGCGCGAGATAATCGATGGAAATCGCGAGCCGAAGTCGACGCCAACGGGCGCAGCTCTCGATCGTGCTTGGATACTGTTCAACCAGATCCCAGACCAACGTGCACACGCCACCGGTGTCTTCCACCTTTTCGCGCAATCTGGCCGAAAACTGGATCAAACACGCGCTCTGGGTGCTTTCAGACTTATCGACGAGGAGAACAGAACAAGTCATGATTATGAGCGCGCGGTCCGAGTGGCTGTGCAAGTGGACAACTACCGCATTGCTCTTACTATCAACGACCGAGCCACACGTCGGAACCTGCACCAGGGTTGTAGTGTGTTCCTCTTACTTCATGCCGTCTCAAATCAACTTTGGAATACTGCCAACACGGTATGGAATACCTCTTTCAGACGGACCTCGTTTCGATTTAATCAAACATCACCGACTCGTGCTGCTCTTGTGCGGGAAGTAGGCAATTATCGCGACCTACCTTTGGCAATACACCAGTTGGGATCTAGACTGCGTGAACAGGCGCCGGTCATCATGCAACATTCGGGGACGTTGCAGACACTGTTCAACGAACTCCTGGCCGCTTTGGTCCGGAACGGACAGCTCATGAGCATTATCACGCCACAAGGGCTGCAAAATTTGTTTGACGTTTCATACGACCTACGCCGGGCGGTGCCCTCGCTCTACCTCAGCGCTATCGATACTATTAACAAATCTGCCATTCGGCCTGACAAAGGTCTCCTAGCTGATGCGGTGTACACCAATCTTCGATCAAGCTTTCCCGAAATTCCTCCAGGTCCCAGCACGTACGGTTCGCTTCTCTCCATCCATACCGAGCAAGGAGCATCCGCCCAGACGTATATTCATTACCTGAATGAATTCGCAACGTTCCATGGCGTGGCAGACACAAGGAGCTATCAAAAGGTACTATCAGCACTTGCTACTCAAGGCGACATTGACGGCGTGCAAGACGTGTTCCTACGCCTTTGTCAAGCCCATGGCCGTCCCACAGAACCTGCGTTCTATACGCCACTGTTGTACGTCTATGCACGGCTTGGTGATGTTGCAACCACAGAGCGAGAGTTCCAGACCATGAAACGTTATGGGGTCAAACCAACAGGGTATGCCTGGAACATCCTCATCTACGCCCACGCGAGGTCTTCCCAACCTGAGCACGCCTTAAGGGTCTTGAGTAGGATGCAGGCCGAAGGAGTAACGCCGGATGTGTACACCTTTACGACGTTGATAGGCGTCTTCGCAAGAAAAGGCGATACCAACGCTGTCCTCGATATCCTTGAGAAAGCCCAACAAAACCAAGTAAAGGGCTCATATGCTCTCATCACTGGTTTGGTACAATCATATTGTCTCAATGATCAAGCAGAAGCTGCAGAGAGGCTTGCAGCCGCAGCCACAACTGCTACTTTTCGAGGAAACCCTACCACAATGTGGAACTATCTACTGAGGCATTATGCTTTCCTTGCTGACTCCAAAAGTATGCTCCGCGTCCAGCAACAGATGACTGCACTCGGTGTGGATGCTGACGCCATGACCCATGCTGCCTTCATGACTGCTCTTGTGCTGCTCGGCAAGACCCGGGACGCTGTGCAAATACTAAGGACCCTGAACATGAGCCAAACTTTTGCTGCTACATCGTTTCATTATGCCATCATCCTCCATGGCTTTGCACAAGAAGGGGATAGGGATATGGCCAATGTCATCTATCAAGAACTGGTCGAGAGGTTTCCCCGTCTCGGGGCAAGTCCCCGTCTTGCCATGCTCCATCTACAAGCTGGCCGCAACCCCATTGAGAACGAGCGACCAAAGTTTGCCGCTCAATATCTGGAAGAGATTCTCTATGGACTTTCGACGGAAGAGCGAGCGAGTCGTCAACCGCAGCCCGGGCTCCGCCGCCGGCGCAGCGTCGAGGCCGTACCATCGCTCTATGTAGAGTACTTTGTCGACCTTCTCATGACGAAAGGCCAGGTTAAACGGGCGGAACAGCTTGTCCAGCGATTTGAAGCCCTGCATCAGTCATCCTACTTGCATTCAAGCAGCAGTACTTCCATGTCAATCCCGTTGCTGTGTGCGCGACTGTCAGTGCAGGCTGAAAAGCAAGCGTGGGATGATGTTGAGGCAATCTGGAGATCCATACTTGAGCGAGCCATTCAACTAGGACAACCCTCTCGGATACGCGAACAGAAACCATTACCTGAAATCACGGAGAACGGCAAGGCGCACACGCAGGAAACCCCAGCATCTCTGCCATTGCAGCCCGTGGGACTGCCGGAAGTTGGACTGGTCCCCAGCAACCAATTCACATTCGGCTCCATGATCCCAGAAAACTCATTGGATGCTTTTCCGTTGGACGAACCTGGTCTTGCAATTCTGTATTCGCAAAGACACCTGCTCGAGGCCCCTTTCAATCGCTACTTGAACACTTTGGCCGTGCGGCAGCTCCAAACTTCTGCTATAGCTCTTGTAGCTAAGATGGAAAAAGTAGGATTCGCATTGACCAGCAAGAACTGGAACATGTATATTCAGATCATGACGAGATCCGAAGACCCGGAACACTGGCTGCTGGCTTACAAACTTTTCGAGAGGAAGATGATCGCCCATACTCCACCATGGCCGGTCCTGCAGCGCGGCAAGTGGCTTCCGCCACAGGAATCAGAGGGTACACCTTCAGTCCCCATGCATCGCAAGGTGATAGAAAAGCGGGACCCTGGGCAGCTGATGCCGACTTATTACACTGCTGTCCATCTTGCAAGTGCCTTGCTCAAAGCCAACAGACTTGCAGCGGAGGGTGACAATACAATATACACGGCTATCTGGAAGAGAGCACCACTCACGTGCCGTTACATTCGTCGCATGCCTTATCTGAAGGACCGTATTCAAGGGCTCCTGCTACGCAACAGGAAGATGAGGATTCTACCACCTAGACGTCCTCGCCTCCACACAACTCCCGACCGTTCTGGAGTGCTGGGAAGCAGATCACCGGCAGACCATGTGCCCGTCACGGAGCTAGTTGGTCTGAATTCGGCACTCAAGATGGATGCCACTGACACCAAGTCAAATGCCGCAATTGCGAGAACCCGTGCCGTTCGCCGAGCCGAGCTTTACGAAGGACAGATCCCCAGAACTCAGGTCGGGCGAGGTGAGAAGCTAGGCTCGAAGAAGGAGGAGCAGTTCGAGCGCCGAGTCAGACACAAGGAAGAAAAGCTGCTGCGGACATTGCAGCGGATGCGCAGAGATGTCTTCCTCCCGCGGACTGTAAGCGACATGTATATCGGTCATCCAACAATTCCGTCGAGTGTAAACTTGGTTCGCACTGGGAGTCCCCGTCAAGCAAGGCAGGCTCTGTACGGTACAGAGCAACAGCGCTTGATCAAGGAAGCTCGGACAAGAAGGCTTCTCCGTGAGCAACGCAGAGCGGTATTGAGAAGAATCTTGCGCGGAAATATCCCGAAGGAAAGGACGGTCAGCAGGATCCAGGAACGTACAGATGCCTCGCCAGGACAGGCAACAGCCCGAATTGAATCAGACAGACCAGGGTAGACGGACAATGAGCACCGAAGCATTGTCCGACGAACCAAGAGTAAAGATTTGACCAACACCCACCGCGAGCTACCAACCAGACCGCTTTTCGAGAATCCAGTACCTACACCTTGCGAACGCATCAGTCTTCCCCCTACGCAGGACCGCTTTGGGCACGTGCTTATGAGCCGATGTGTTCATGAGAACTGGGCACTGCCGGCGCTTCTAGGAGTGCGATCTGTTGCTATGTTGGGCCCATGTAACATTTGTGTAGGATGTACGGAGTACAATACCAAACACTACCCAGGTAGCTTCGGCTTTAAGCTGTGGTACCGAGCTTTCTGTACAACACCACGCAATAATAGTCTAAGACCTGCTTCATATTGTTTTCGTTGCTTTGACGATGTTACGAAAGTCCAGCTCGAGTGTTGTGGCCCGAGGGCTGAGATATACCAACGGTTAGTCTGAAGGGCGAAGGACACGACCTGGTTCAGCTCTAAAGCGGTAAAGTGAATAGATATGTAATGACATTGAGACTTTACCTTTCCCGCGCTATTTTAGGTGGGATTCCCCGCCAAGACTCTGAGCATTACGGTAACATATGGCGCTGTAAGTTTTTGCTGGTTCACTTCCAACTTTGACCAGCCTGACTTACATTTCAACTCCATATTACCTGGTACCCAGCCCGACTACTTCGCGCAGCACTGTTTATGTACTCAGTCACTGGTTGACGAAGGGTCGGAGAGAATTGATCGAGCGTCGTTTGACTATCACTTGTTCTCCGATACCCTGGTACACAGTCCTCTCTCGACTACGAGCGAAAGCCTTGTTTTCTCGATGCCGGCACTGAGGTACCACTATGTTCATGCCCCTGAGGAAACGACGTTGCCACGGTAGACAAGGAGTCTCGGGTTCAGAAGGCAGCGCATCGACAGGCCGCGGGCGACCGATGAAACATGCGTCTCTGCTGAAACCACCTCGCAAGACTCAAACGCAGCGGGCCGAATTCATACACAGACGACTAAATGCAGAGGCGTCTACTCCCACGACCCATACGCTGTCCACATTGGAGTCTCTACCGGTCGAGGTTTTCGAGCAGATCTTCTTTCACTGCTTGGAGCTGAATCTCCCCAGGGCTTCGCCATATCTCGCTCGAGCTTTGTCACGACGCACGATCTACGCTGCTCTCGTATTGTTCGCCTACTATGAATCTGAATCAGCGCAAAGCCAAGTCGAGACTGAGCACTTCCTGCCTGCTGCGTATCGAAGAATCACTAAGGACGAACGCGTTCGGTTGCAAGAGGGTATTCTCCGCTGTCGATGGTTCACCTTGGAGTTGTTTGAGTCGTGCCTGCCAGCCCTAAGCCGGCTTGCAATGTTTGAATGTTGGCACCGTGAAAGACAGGTATTAGAGGCCAAGCTCGAGCAAGAATCGTGCCACACCGAAACTGCCGCCCGCTTTCCGGGACCGGCTTCTCATTTACCGGCATTAGACGCTAGGCTCGAGATGGAAAGCTATTACAAGGCGAGAAAGAGTTATTACGGTTTGAAGAGTGAAAACAGCGGACCCTATGGCACGAACACTGGCCAGGGATATCAAGCGGGGCTGACTCTCGAGGACATTTCAGAGACTGATATTGGGCCAGTGAACAGAGATGGGTATCTTCCCTTCATCGCGATACCTACCTCTCGGCATGAAGACGGAGAACCCGCTGGCCTCGAGGGCCGGAGTATACTCAGTGTACGTGCTCTCTCAGTCCCAATCTTGCGAGGTGCTCCATGGACAGACGCGAAAATCAAGTTGCTCCAATATTTTCGCCAGGGATTGCGCCATGAGCCCTTTGACCGGTCTCTCTTCATCTCTGCAAAGGCTTTGTTTGATGGCATGGCCAGTGCGATAGTGGAAGGGAACGAGACGGCTCTGCTGGTATTGCTGGAACTCCATGACACGGTTGTCAAGCGTCCAGCCCCGACCCGTAAGGAGATCGGATCCCATGGGGAGGTAATCACTCCTCCACTCAATGTCTTGCCGCTCAAGTTATTCCACCTTGTCTGCAGATTGGAGTCGTCGACGAGAATGATGTCTTTGCTTCTTCGGGGCGGCGTCGAAAGCATTCCTTACGACGACGAAGTAATCACGCGCTGGGCCATGCACACCAAAGCAAAGTCCTTGTCAGATGAAGAAGTCTCTATGGCACGATGGGTCTTGGGGTACATGGAAGATACCGGATTCACAAACTCCCAACCAGGTGACCGACCCTCACAAGCTCGAGGTTCAAAGCTTGTTTCGCATGTCTACCCGCGTCCAGACGGATTGACCTTCACCAGGGAGATCGGGTATATCTGCCTGGTCTTGCCAACGTCGTCTCTATGGACGATAAATCCGACAAATGCGCTTGGCGATGAATAACACTATGGCCACGAAAACTCAAGGCACAACAAACTGTGCGGCCAGTGCACGGTTCTGTCGAGAGACTCGAGCTGTCACGGCTAGAAAATGCTGGGACTATTATTGCTCACGGAATGCTGAGCAACAAGAGAGCAGAGGAATGGTGTATTGATTGATCCTGCCTGGATTGTCGATAGCTGCTTTCTTCCAGACTAGTGACTTGCGCTCCACTCCAGTCCACCATGGGCCTCCGGCCCGATCCAACCAGCAACTCATCTGTTCGGCTTCAATCTCTCATCCGTAACTAACCTGCCCAGAACGCTCCCTCGAGTGATTCAGGAAACCGAACATGGCGCCAAGCCGCCGTGTTGAGGATAAAAAGTTACGCACACGAACACGAAGACAGACTTCATCCGGCGTTGTAGGGTGCAGACCTTGCAGCTACGCCTGGACAAGCAGGTGACAGATGATAGGCCTGATTGAGCATGTCCTTGAAATAAAACTTACTTTGGTATCCAATCCCCGGGATGGAAGAGGAAACAAGACAACTGCGGGGTCGAAATGCTCGCATCAATGGTGGCATAAGAGAGATGGTCTTCCTCTGGCTCTCGCCTCGATTCCAGCTCCAATATCCCAGACGATATGTGTGGCAGGGTTTCGAATATGCCCGCCTTAGCCAGAAAGCTAACTTGCGCCTTGTATCCAACATCCGGACATATACCCCCTTTGTGTCAAAGAAGAGGCCCTGTCACGCCCGTCGAATCGCGGGAGACAGTGCGGGGTCAGTGTCTTGGCCTCGCCTCGCCAGGACCTTTAGTCTGTGATCTGAATCTCGCAGTTGACGCTGTGGTGCCTTGCGGTCAGTTGGCGGCAGCCCAGGGTTGACAGGTCACAGGTCACAGACCACACTGACAGCGATCGGTAATTCACTGCACGCTATTCCCCTAGCACCAGCGTTTGCGAGTCGACACACTAGGCACCCAGGCTCTATCGCACATCGTCTTGGGACTGCGTTGTGGTGCTTCGAACCCCGGAGAGGTATTAACTTCTGATCCGCGTTGGGATTCCGAGCGATCGGCCGATTAGCTTTGATCTCAATTCAATCTCAACCTTCAATGCGACCGCGACTAAGCCGGCAGACAGCAGCTGGCGCCGTTAACAGAGCACCGACCTAGTGAAAAAGTTGAAACCGGAAACAAGAGAGTTCTGCCGACCACGGTGTTTGGATGTCGACTGATCCCTGAGCAAGTGATTGCCACGGTCAAGTCGCTTAGTCGGGGATGAAGTGTTAACTCAGACGCCTCCAGCGTACGAACAAAGGAAGCGCTGGTCGGCTGGCTGGCTGCATTACATTTGGTTAACGATCCACTCACAATCAAGTACGGTCATTGTGCACGAAGCACAATCTACAACTCTGGTCCTCGGGCCCGTCATTCACGATGCTGCTTCTCGACCTTCCTAACGAAATATTGGCCCGAATCGTCATGTCCCACGACACTGCGAGTCCGTTCGATGTCGGGCTGCTGGAAAAGCCGAAATCGGCACTGGGCCCACGAGAGACCAACGATGGGATACGGCTGATGAGCGTTCCCGCAGGGTCGAACAGGCAGAACGCGCTGAAGAATCTCACCCTGACGTGCCGGTTAATTCGTGCGGTCGCGCTTCCCGTCCTCTTCAAGCACGCCGTCCTCCATCCACTACTGCTCAGCGACTTTCTGGCCTTCCTCAAGAAGCATAGCCTCTCGAACCATGTGATGAGCGTGGTGGTCCACGTGTCTGGGCACTATAATCATATCCACCCGGCGTGGTGGGCACGGCTGTTGAACGAAGTCCCAGCAACGCGCTTTAGCGTCGTTGCGCCGCCCGAGGTTTTCGCCGAGCTGGCCAACATCCATTCATGGAGCAACGACGCTTGGGCATTCGATATGCCGGTGCAAGTGCTCAGATTCGATCAGAGTCTAGAAGCCGCACGGACAAAGATCGACTACGATGACTTGCCGAACTTTCTGGTGGGGCGCCCGTGGGAGTGCATGGTGTACAACGAGGGGTCCAGCCTCTCTGCCTACACGACGTATGAATTCTTCCTGCGTCGGACGCCGTCGCTGCTGACGGCGCTCCACTTTAACAGTTCCGCGGCGGGGGACGCCCTGTTCGCAAACTTACTGCAGTTCGACTTCATCGCCATTTTCCCCTTCTACAACCATGTGGACGAGGTGTTGAAGTGCATTCGAAAGATGAAAAGACTGCGGAAGCTGTTCGTCAAGTTGTGCCCGGAACCTGGGAGTACCGCGTTTGATGACGAGATGGAAGTCGCGGGTGGAGCGCTGGACGTCCATGACCCCTGGAACGAGTGCGAGACATCCTGGATGCTGATCGCTCATACTGTCCTCTTCTTGACGGTCGAGGGCGAGCTCCACGAGCTTCACATGGACGACGTTAAGATTGAAGGTTTGAGACAGAATCTAGAAACGGCCCTTAATGATCGTCTCCACGAGCGGTGGCGGTATCGGGAACAAGGTTCCGGCATCTGGCGCAGGAGCCTTCGCGGAGGCCAGGGAGAAGCACGGGAAGCACGGGAAATGAATCCGGCCTGATCGCGGGCGCGTGCTTGGGCGTTGTGGGCGCAATGTGCAGATGGACAAGCTGACTGCTTTTGGGGAATGCATTTCTCCCCATGATGTCAGTGGCTGGCAGCGGCCATCGGTATTTGTATCGCGCCATCACAGATTTTGAGAGGAACCGAGATAAGCCACCCAGGGATCCTTCGTGCACTTTGTAAGCGAACCTCAAGAGGTTAAGTCGATTCCGTGACCGGACCTTGGTCTTTCTATCCGTACTCGCACTGTGTACGAGCAGGGTGTATGGCTGCGAAGATTCCTTTGGGCAGATCTCAGCGGAGCTACGGAGTATGCTGATAGCCAAGATGGAACGTACGGAGCGACCAGGGACCCCAGATCACTGATATGCGCTTTGCCCTCGATAGCGGCTTCGACTTGGGCATGGGTGCGACCATCGACAAGCCCGGAAATTTATCCCGCTCGATCCTCCCAGCGCCAAAGCGAGATCCAATCACCGATGCCCCGGGAGGAACAGTTTTCCGGGCTGTCTCTCAGCTGCATGGTGGGTGCATGGCGCCCCGCTGGGATGCAGCACCGCCTGGCGGGCGGTAGGCAGGCCGCGGCCATGGCCCCGATGGCCCAAACACACATCGACGCGGCATAGGGGATCGCAGATGACAGACACGCTGTGTTCCCTCTGGTCAGAATTTTGGAACTCGTCGTGGTGATTGGCAGCACGCTGTCATTTGCCCGCCTGGTCCACCTCCTGGACACGCGTGGGTGCTCTTGTTCGGCCTACCAGATGAATGTGGATGTACATCTCCGATGTCTCCTGGGCGAACTCTTGTTGCTCAGGCCTGCACGGGGGCCTTTGGATCCCATTCCCTGCTTTCCAGTTTTGCGGTTCTTGCTCGAACAGCCTCCCATGCCAATCCAGGTAAACGAAGCTCGATCTCATAAAGGAGTCTATCTTGAGTGCAGGACAACCTCGATCGACGTTGGTCAAAATCAGGTAATCGATTGTCGTTCAGTTCCCCCCTCTCAATCCAGATCAACGCCCGTCAGGCCGAGGTAGAAGGTTACGGGCGCAGCACCTCACTGGGCAGCCGCGCGATGGACACTCGCACATAGTGGAAACATGCCAGCGTCGTCCGAGATATGCCTTCACCTCCAAAGCCGCCTAGCACTCGGCCATTAAAGCCAGCCAAGGAAGCCCCAGCCGCAAAGTCACCGTCGGCGAAGAAAAAGTCCTCAAGCGTCAGAGTCTCGGCAGCCTGTGAGGCATGCAAGAAGCGAAAAACCAAGTGTTCAGGGGGACCGTCACCTTGCCAGCTTTGCGAAACGCTCGGGACTGACTGTATCATCGACCTGTCTCTCGACATGAGACGGAAAGCGGCGTTTCAGCGGACGATAGATGAATCGAGAAACTATCAGGATGCGCTGAATACTCTGCTCGATGCGATTCGGGAAGGGCCGTCGCAGCGACTTGAGGCTTTGTTCGACTACGTCAGGAGCGGTGCCACGAACCAGGAGATCACGGTCGCAGTGCAACACCAGCTGATCCATGCCGGGGATGAAGACGGAGATGAAACCATGTCATCACAGGCCGATGGCGTCGACTCGGTCCTGGAGGACATCAAACCTGGCAAAAGCCCAGCCGACATGTCCAGTTTCGGCTCCGATTCTGGCAGGGGCAGGCCGGCGTATCCAGGACCCATACCGATCTCGACACTGCTCTCCTCGTTGAAAAACTGTTCCGAATCTCAAGGAGAGGCGATCCTGCGACAATTCCTAGCGTTCAAGGCGGGAGGGAAACCCAGCCTGCCGAGTCAATTGGCCGATGGCAGAAGCCCTGGAGAGGTAACAGGCGCTGGTGTAAGTCCGCCGAGTGTAGCCGAACGTGCCATGTGGCACCCAGTCCTGCACGTACGATCGCAAAGCAGTCGTGCAGAACCGCGTCCACAGGTATAGCCTCCCTCATCTTCATTCCTGAAGAGAACGGTGATGGACTCTGCGCCCGGAATCCCATACAGCCAGCCTCGGGGAGTCTGACGCAGATCCTTTCCCTTCCTTCGCTTTACTACTTGCACACGGGATGACACGGCGACTGATGATCAGCAGTTCACGCACTTTGAGCCTCCGTCGAGACGGTTTTCCGAAGGAGGCCCACCTCCCAGCGACCATTCCCAAGCGCTCCACTCAGACTCGCCATCGCCGGCGACAGGCCTCTCGAGACAGAGCTCCCGATACCCAATGCTCAACACGGACATCTCGTTGAGTGCATTGACAGTCGCGTCATCACCAGCAACGCCGTATTTGGAGCTGGTCACCAACTTTCCAACCGGCCAAGTGCGACAGAACGAATGGGATCTGTGTGTGGCCCAGGAGGATCACGTCACGAGGCTCCGCATCCCCCGGCATCTCATCCTACCGCTCGTGGTACCTGACGACTCACCGATGAGCCGGACGTACACCGACTACCTGTTCGGGGCTCGACGCATGCTCGAAAGCGGCGTCCCGGCGTCCGACGTCCTGGGCCACTCGGACCGCGTCGCCGTCGACCTGTTCTTCCGCCCTCGCCGGGCGAACGACAAGTTCGACTGCGCTTCGTGGGCGTGCGAGGTCTCCCGGAGCTATGATACCGACGTCTTCGTCCGGTTGGCTACGGCTTGTTTGCTCACACATATGATGCGAGTGAGTTCGAGTCCCAGGATTCTCTCCACTCTCAACGCAGCTCATGTTTCCTACGCAGTGGCATTTAGTACCTACACAGGAGAATTATCAAAGAATCCCAGACATGATGAAGCCGACACCAACACAGTGCATGATCCCGCACATTGGTGCCATTGAGACGATACCCTTGTAGGTCTTGTCTCGCTCGCCGATCCACAATCCTTGGACGGACTTAAGACTGACTCGTACGGCAGACCTCCTGTGAGAGATGCGGCCATCAACAAACTTCGCGATTGGCTCACCCCGCTGATCGAGGCAGAATGGAGCGTCAATTGGCCTCATTCCGTCGAGATGGCCGTCGAGCGTGACTCATTGACGGGCGCCACGGTATTGACGCAACGATTCCACGAGCATGTGACCCGATACGACAACTGGAGTGTGGCGGGACGATTCCTGATTGCGTTCCCAGAGGTCGCCGGGCAGATCAGGCTACACGAGGACGGGTGATGGAAGCTCGTGAGCGTGGTGACACGCTCCTCCCTTGATTTTGTCCGAAATCCAAACATGTACTCGTACAAAGTACGCAGCGCCGGGCTTAGCCGTGCCTACAGAGTCCTGCGTGGGCTAAAGGTGTGCAGCACACGCGATACCAAGAGACTCGGCATGAAATTCGTCACGCGCCCCCCCACGGATGGATGTGGCGCGTGATAGAACGAACGGTGGCGAATACCACCAATGTGACCTACGAGTGCTCGTTGTATAGACATGGCTGCATACACCCAGGGAAATAGGACCAATCCACCAGATGATGGGAAATGGAAATACGTATGACAGGTGTGAAGGCAGGAGGCAGAGCAAACGAAGCAGAGGATGACACAGTTGAAAAGGATCCGGAAGTGGGGAGTGAAGCATGGGATGGAGTACACAGTACGGAGTTCTGTGAGCAAAACGAAGACACAGTAACAAGCGGGATGGTGTACTCCGTACGTACGATATGATCATGAGATCCCATTAGACATCGAGTCAAGTGAACCAGTCACCACGCTGGTACTTCCGCTGTGCTTGACGTAAAATGCCGTCCTCGAAACAGTCGAAGAACAGGATCCTGAAATAAAAATCCGCGTCTCTACGGAGTATCACAGGAGAGGGACACGTAGACGCCTACACGTGGTGACGTGGTCCTCACAAAGTTATTCCAACCTGACCAACGTGCCAACGCATCCTGGATCAACATTAATCCGTCCATTCCTCACGTGGTCGATACATCGTACTCGGAGTGGCTGGAGCGGCGCTTGATAGGGCGTGGAGCGCGGCATGTGCTTGTACCCTCGTAACTCGTACAGTGCGTGGCGTCTCTGCTCTCAGGCAGCCACGTAGCTACGCAAGGCGAAAAGCCTTGCCTTGCCTTGCCTAATTGCTTGTGATTGCATAGCCTTGGCTTGCCTTGCATTGCCTTGCGCGGCGCCCACATTGCCGCACCGCACAGAGACAGGCCTTGAACCTCGGCGCTTGAACCTCAGCGTCGTGGCGTCCTTGGCTCTACTATAGGTGCCGGCTGTCTCGTTCTTTTCCTTTTTCTCTTCGCCACGTCAATCGACTGGCTGATTGAATCGTGGCGGACGGACGACGCGCGGGTGCACGCGCGATTAAAAAATAAAAATAAAAACAAGGACAAGACGGATCGAAAGGAAACGAGTCGAATGGGGACGCAATGAGTGCGGCGCAGTGCATGTACGTAGTAGGGAGTACTCGTACTGTGTACACTGTACACCGTACACCGTACACGTAGTACCAGCGCGTTTCTAGCCGTGGTTACCTCTTGCCTCAATACGTTGGTGGGTGTGAGAAGTGAGAGAGTGGTGAGTGGTGAGTGGTGCCTCCTACTATACTATACTATACGGTGTCCTCGCGTGCAGCAGCAGCAGCGGCGGCGGCCGCAGGACTCGTAGCCGTCTGACTACTGTGTACTCCGTACAGTACGAGGTACCTGGTCCAGTAGGTACTTACCCAGTGCCTCTCTCGTTCAGAGTCAGCGTCGGAGCCAGTGTTAGAGTCAGAGTACCGTAGCTAGGCACCTACAGTAGGTACATAGATAGTCTGCAGTCCTCCGACGGAGCACGAGGTCAAACTGTACACAGTACCGTCAGATCTTCACTAACACTGACACTTATACACTTGTAGACACACTATGGGGTGCACGATACGCGGTCCTCGAAACTAGTGTTTACACTCGTACTACAAGTACGTGCCTTGGAGTGGTTTAGACGGAGTACAGAGTATTTAGTTACAGCAGGCTTAGGCTGAGGAGATTACCTAGATTAGGCTCCTGTACTCCGTACTTGTCCACAGTAGGCAATCGGCAGTACACAGGATGTTGCTTCTGCCTGCCTGCCTGCCTGCCTACTTAGGTGCCTAGTGTCGGACGTTGGATCTTGGATCTTGGATACATATCATATCTTGGATCTTACGCCTTGAGCTTCCGAAAGAACCCTCGTAATTCGTGTCATGCCCTCTGCGGCTGAGGGGGGGTGTAAAGATACAACAGTAAAGTACTGACTCACTTGACGGGTTGATCAGCAACGACAAGCCGGCGATGAGGTGGACCGGTAGGGGTACGGAGCAAGGTACTTTACAGCCACGGTCAGTCCTATGCCCAGGCCCAGTCATAGTTATAGTCATAGTCATCGATAATATCGTCTATGCTGAGTGAGGACTTGGACCCCGTCAAGAGCGCAGCGGAGGCCGGACTGTACTCGATCCGCATATGGACGTGGGAGATGTCTAATGTAACACTATAGAAACGTATAAGTTATGTAGAGATGTGAGCGCGCGGACACAGGCGCGGGCCAGTGAGCGCGCGCGTATATCGTGCTATCATCGAGCGTTACAGTATATATCCATCCCATGCCTTTCACATCCGTACCCATCCGCACACTCGTGCCTGCTCCGTACTGCTCCGAAACGCCAAATGACGGCAAGCAAAGGTTGGTGAAACCGATGGCAAAAGTGACATATCGATATCACAGTACTCCGTATACGGGTAATACTTGCTCCGCTACGCTACACTCCGCAGCGCTCCACAGGTATCATCATATGACTTGCATGTTCCATGTCCTCACCCAACGCCACTCCCAGGCATCCGGCTCTGCTGCTGCATGTGATAGATGGCCTGCGGTGGCAACGAGCGGAGCAAGTTCTGGAGGCGATGGATCTCGCTCGCTTGCCTGCGGATGAATTCTTCCTTTTGTCGGATCTCTTCCCGGAGGTGTTGGATTAATTGGGCGCTTTCGGCCGTTCCGACCATGGTGTTGTTGTCCCTGGTCTGTGCCACGTTGCTGCCTAATTGCTGCTGGTGCTGGTGCTGATGCTGATGCTTCTGTTGCTGCTGTCCCGGCACCTCTGTCGCGGTGGAGATCCTCCGGCGCTTCGGTGGCGGTTCTTCTGCGACTGCCGTGGCACCCGTCGCCGCTTCACCTGCGTCATGGTCCTGGTCGGACAGTTCCTCCAGGTGTCGACGCCGCTTGTGCTCTTCGAGGTTCTCCTTGCGGGTGAAGCCGGTGCCGGAGCTGCGGTTACAGTTTGGGAACGGACAGAACAAGGGCTGCTTGGTCGACAGGTGCATCTTGTGGACTTCGCGCTGGTGTCTGAGCAGGCCGCCCGAGTAGGTGAAGCCCGGGTTGAGCTCGCATCCGGACTCGCGACACTTGTACGGCCGCTCGTGCCGGTCCATGTGCTTGTTCCATTCGCAGACTCTCTTGAACGTCTGGTTCTTGCCGCGGCAGTTGACGTGGTCGCAGAACATTTGGCCGTGTTCGTCGCGCGGCGGCGACCTCGTGCGCCGGAATGCTCCCTGCACGACCTTGATCGGCGTCGTCTCGGCCAGCGCTAGGGACGGCGCAAGCTCGTCTGCCATGACGACCACGTGCGCCGGCTTGGTCTCGGGCGGGCTGGTGGATATGTATGCGGGATCGGTGTCGCTTGGAGGCGAGACGGGATAGCTATCCCTCATGATCATGTTGCCGACAGTACTGGAGTGGGCGATGTTCCTTGTGGTGGTGAGGACGACGCCGGCAGGTTGTCAAGCGGCCAACATAGCAGGAGGTACCGTGCTTGTGCCAGAGTGATAGTTATATGGAGACCAGACGGCATGCAAGATCGGTCGCCTGCAAGGCTGTGTACCATGATGATTCGAAGCGTCAAGTAATTAGGCACGCAGTAGGCTAATGTCCAGGCTAGACGCCGCGCAGGAGGGTATGTGGCCTTCCGATTAGCGACTATGAGCAGCGAGCGAGTCATGCGCCACAACAGGCAAACCAGGCCGAGGGACCGAGCATCCAGCACCCTCCTCGCAGCAACGGTTGGCGAAAGACGGGCACATATATGTCAGTGAATCAATCACAAGGGCCGCTTATCCATCAGCCGGGGTGTGGTGCCTGACTGACGTGGGAGCCTTGAGGACCCGGGAAGGGAGGGGGTTGTCAGGCCATTTGGGTCGCAACTTGTGCAAGTTGCATACGCCGCCCCCTCCCCGTTTTGGCTTCCACATGACGAGTGCGTACGAGAGGTGGTGCTCGAAACAGGAGCCTCAGTGGCCTCAGGATCCGCTGATGACTCACCTATTTTGGGTCCAGAAGCATCTGACCGTGCAATGACACCAGGGGGCACGGTGCGAGCAAAAGTTCCCCCCAGTCGTGGCGCCATATATCGTCCAACGTTGGTTCGGAAGTGCCAATTGCTTGTGACTTCGCACGGGAAGTACCAAGGCATACAACGCCGCGCACACTCTTCGCCACTAGAAAAAGCGCGTATTGGGTACCGAGGCGTGAGGAGTGCGTGGTAGACAATGGCAGGCTGCGAGCGAATCGAGGTCGGTGCCTCCGTCCGCATCGACCGCACATGCGATTGGTCCGGTGGCATGAAAGCCTATTCCGGTCGAAATGGAATATCATCTGTCAAGAAGCGGACATTACGCTCCGCCTTGTGCGTGCGAGGCGGGCAGGGATTGTCAGAGGCCCCTCCTGGGTTTTTCGAGAGACCCAATCGTAAGCTCGATATCGCGGACAGTCTTCCATCTCGGACGAGGGATGCGACTCTTATGCTAACGTGGGATCAGCTCGAGGCCACTCACCCTGCGCTGGATCTGGGAATGGGGGCGAACTTCGCACCCCGTAATGAGGCGCAGGCGGGCTGATCTGCCCGAGGGACCCGGCGAGCCCGTCAGCCGGTCCTTGGGAGCATATAAAGCGCATGACCCGAGCACCGGGCCACAAAAGCCCTCACGCGCTCGGCAATGTTTCATGATCAAGTTGTCATCGAGCATGGAGGAGACATATCGTGTGGTTGCACGGAGGGAGGAGGTCAAGATATCGAGCCGATCATGCACGTAGCCGGCCTTGCTTACAGCATAGCATGCACACTCTCCTTGTCTGACTTAGTCTGCATTTTTTGGGCGGACGCCACCTGCGTGGCTGATGCAGTATGGACGGCGGTGTCGATTGGACCACCTGGATTGAGATCATATATATGCTACAATGACTCCGTATCGCTGGTGCCGCTCTGCAAAGGACGAAATTTGATCCTCCTGGAAGCTGGAGCGTCTCCCCGGGTGATGTGGGAATCATGGCGTCCGTCTCCCTCGTCCAACGCTGTGAGACGGGTCTCGCTCTCTAAATATAGCCTTAGGCACGATTGCCTATTGCCTATCTCAACACGCACCGACGCAGTAGAACAGCAGTCACCCATTCCTGGAGGTAAGCAGTCTCATCCTGCTGTAGGACGTCTTACCTGCCGACGGTGTTTGTTTGCTTTTGCACAATATTTGGGCTGCGTTCGCTTCCATCAGGTCAGCACTTGACAACACCAGCTTTGCAAAAGGCCCTGAACTCTCTTGCTCCGTCTTGTCGCAGTCACCCTCTTGTGACGCTCCGGGAATCACCCAAGCCCAAGCGTTTGTCTCCACGTGCCCACTCGCAGCGGGCACAGCTAGGGCGGCTGTGTGCGCTGGCGGCAGCATGTTGTTGAGATAGCAGATCGCGAACCCGGCGATTGATTGCTCACGATGCGAACCTGAAAGCTGAGCTTTGTCAGTCGTTTTGAGGCACCGTCGCCCTGCCGGGAGCCCTGTTGGGGAAGAGGCTACGCAATGTGACGAGATCCAGTGAACAGGATATGACAGGATAGGTCACCCTCAACCCAGTACAGAGCGGTCCACACATTTGGGCTGCTTGGTCGACGTGGATTCCAGGACCAATCGGTGGCAACGAAGAAGGGTATCACAAAGAGCCCCAAAGGCTGCGTCAACGAGCTCGCCGTGCATGGGTAACCGCAAGGACAGTGCCGAAATGAAGCGACAAAAGCACTTGTGCCAGCAATGCGCGGGGCTTGCCACTCTGATAAATGATGAACTTCCGTCTACCGTCAGAGTGGCGCAGAGTCCTGGGCATCATGATGTTCTGAAGCTCTCTTGGTGCCCTCCTATCAGACTGCGCCACGCTTGCTGACGACAGCCCAGTCTTGCGCACTCAGATTTTGTGCCCACTTCCAATTTCGGAGACCGTGCAGAAGAACCAGAGACATTTATGGCTGGACACGACAGACGTGGCTGGTTGGGGGCTCCTGCCCTACGCCTTGCTTGATTGTATCACCGAAACAAGGCAAAACAACACACTCGTGCAGGCCAATCGAAGATGATCCATCACACCGACAGTCGAGTGCTGCAACACCGATACGGCGAATTCGGTACGGGTTGGGCATGAAGGACTACGCAGTGGTTTCCGGTTTCGAGGTTGTGGTGCTGTTACCAGCTCTTGTCATTCGCATGGGACTAATATTAAGTGCGCCTGAGTCGACCGAGTCTTGAAGAGAGGGCGACGAGGCAGCGGTGCCGTTGCAGTGTCGACATGACGGCTTCATTGCCGTGCAAACTATCGCTGGTCAGTGGCCAGCTGAGCCATTCAAGGTCTTCGGACTCCATCAGCTTGGCTAGGTGACTGGTCATGGGCCGCTTGAGTTCGAGGTCTCAATCACGGTTGTTGGCCTGCAGAGAATTATTGGAAGCCATGGTATTGAGCCTAGAAGGTCTGATAATTGGGATTCTCATTCAATCACGGGGCGCATGGACCCCAGCTGGGTGCGCTGGCCCGATACCATCACCAACCCGTACGGCGCTACGCAGATATGTATGCCAAGCACGTTAAGAATATCGAGGCCAAGTACGAATCGCGTCATACGCCAGTCATGATTTGCTGGACCCGGGGATACACATGCACCAGCCGTTCCCAGAACTCCGGATGGTCAGTCATGGCAACTTGTGGATCCCAAGCCATTGCGACGAAGATGGTGTCGATCCCTGAGCCGATGGGTGTGGTAAAGGTTTGACAGATCTGCAGTCCGACCAAGAAAGCAAATGCCATAATGACAGGCGTGAAGGTTCTGCTGTCGTTGTAGGCAGGTTGAGTGTACTCCAGGTACAGATAGGCCAAGAGTGCAGAGAGGTAGGCGACGAAAACCGATCCCATGGTCAGGACAGGACCCACAAGGCAGTCGTTCACCAACGCATCCACGCCGCGGTCTCTCATCATCGTCCACGTGTCTTTGGCCGCCGGGATGTATGCCTTTCCGTAAAGAGCGATGTGAGAGAATGCATATCTGTTGATGAATTGGACGAGCCAGTCCAAGATCCCAATGAAACAGCCAAGAATGCAGAACATGATCGTTCCGATGATGTTGCCTTCGGCAGCTTCCTGCTGTTGAGCGATGCTGCAGGCTTGCCGAAGCATGTTGATGAGAGCAACGATCAAGCTGCCGAAAGAGATGGAGCCGAAGGAGTAGGTCGTGGCTCGCCTGAGGGCTCCAGCTGTGGCACCTCGAGGAATGCCGCCTGGTTTACCTGCACAAAAGTACCAGGAACCGTAAACCCCGGCGATGGTCGTGTGAATTGTGTTCTTCATCCATTCCGAGATCCAGTACCCTGCAAATGTGACAAAGACCACCAGGCCGATGACTTTGCCGCTCGAGCACCCTGCTGCAGCGCACGACGGGTTGCTAGCGCTGCCAGAATTGCTGGGCATATATGAGGTGTATATGGCGACCAGGGTCACCGAGAACCAGGCGGCAAAGGCCACGCTAGCAAGTCCTCCGATGAAGCTGACCCAGAACACGTGGACTCTTTTCATTCTCGCAATATCCATTGCCTGTTGCAGCATGACCACGGCGAAGGGGATACGCGGGATCCAGCTGATGAAACAGATCACAGCAAAGACGGCGAAGATGGCGAAGACGATACCCGCTCCCCACAAACGCCGGTACAGGTAGTAGACAGCCGTTCCGATTGCCAAGGCGCAGTTCAGGATGCCGGTCAGCCATACGAATTGTTTAGTGAAGGCCCGGGCGGCCAGAAAATAAGCCCATGAGAAGACCAGCCCGACACATAGAACGAAAGCGAAGAGAACGATGGTATTGGTGTCCAAGGAGAAATCATTATTGCTTCCATAGATTCCTCCGCCGTTGAACGTGTGATACTTGGAGTATCGATAGAGGGTAAGGCCAGAGACGGCGACGAAACCGCAAAAGGTTGCGATAAGCTGTATTCAATTAGCGCCAGCACATTTAGATGTAAGTCTCAGCGTTCGCAGGCTCACCAGCAGCCCGGCCCACAGATCATTGAATTTAGGCTTTTGAATTTTGAAGGTCTCCTGGAAGCTCTGCTTGTCGTCTTGGGGTGGAACGAAATTCTGGCCGTAAGTAGGTGGCTGCACGCCGTGCTTGGCCTCATGGGGTTGATAGGGCTGCTGAGGTGGCGCGTAAGGCTGTCCATAGCCCTGCGGAGGTCCACTGGGAGGAGGATATTGTTGATAGCCCCCTTGCTGATATTGAGCTCCATCCATATTCTGGTTGTAGTAATCCGCTGCTTGACCTTGGTGAGCCATGGCTGCGACGGGCGTCGAGTCTCGATGGATGGTGCGCTGAGGGCGATCCCACGATATGAGTAAACAAATGGCAGCCCTTTACTAGTACAGGCGTCGAAGAGAAGCGCCGCTGTAAAACATGCGGTGGAAGAGAGATGCAGGAAAGAATTGAACGGCAAGAATCATGCGCGAAACTTGTTGCGCAACAATGATGTCGACATGAAGACAGCGCAATTTGGAAATTTGTATTTCGCGGGAAGGTTCAGCTTACCACGAACCTGCCCGACGCAGCAGAGACGCGCCCGAACCGGGGTGCGCAGGCTGATTATTGGGCACCTTCTTGGGCGCCCCCACCCGGACGACAGGGGCCAACCTCGCTAACGACGCCATCACCTTGAGCTTAAACCAGTCGCTTGCCGCGCCCATCCAGTTAAAGACCGCCGCGCATCGCCATGGCTGGGGCAGCCGAGCTCACCAAGATCGCCCGCTGTCAGACACCGCATCCACAGGTTCCTCTCGCACTCCATTTCGTCGGTTCGGGACTTTGCTCATCGGGTCAGACTGGCTTGATCACCACTTCGCTGTGGCTGTCGTCATGACCTCAACTGCCACCCTCCTCCGACGAGACAGCTTCGATCTTCGAGCCATGTGCATCCTCGCCGACAAGTGCTCCTCTGCACGAGAGCAGCTCCGGCCGTCGACTCCGAAGTTGTCCTGTCCGCGTGTCCGAACGCTGTGAAGATGGGGACGTCGAGGGCAGCAGAGGGTCTCTTGGTTGCCTTGCTGGCTGTCTGCTGTCTTCCAATATCGACATTCGCTCTCTGTCTCAATTATCTGTACCTGACCCTCTTCCGACGCAATCCGGTGCACCAACGACTCAGAAATGTGGCCGGCTTCAGGCCCAAGACCATTCTTATTACTGGAGTCAGCACGCCCCATGGATTGAAACTGGCAAGAGCTTTTCATTATACCGGTCACAGAGTTGTGGGTGCGGATTACGAGCCTGGGGCGCTCCCGCTTCATGTTCGGTTTTCGAATGCGTTGAGCCAATTCCACAGATTGCCAGGTGAGACGGTGGAGTGCCAGGAGGACGGATACGTGGCCCGTGTCGTGCACATGATCGAGCATGAGGATGCCGACCTGTGGATCAACTGCTCAAACAGCGCAATCCACGGCCTGGAGGCGCAGGCAAGAGATGCGGTCGAACAGCATACCAGGTGTCAATGCTTCGCGCTGCGGACGAAAAACATGCCCTACTTTGCCAGCCGAGAGGTATTTCTCAAGTACTTGGCCAGCCAGGGACTGCCTGTCCCCGAGTCATATCAAGTCACTTCACGAGCTGAGATACACAGAGTGCTAAGTAAAGCACGAGGAAGCCGCAGATACCTTCTCGAGAGCATGGACCAAAAGGGAGTCAATGCCAACACGGCCAGAACGATGCTTCCGAGCAGGACCATGAGTCAGACGTATGACGCCGTCGCCCGTATAACCATCGCCAACACTACGCCTTGGAAACTAGAACAGGACATCAACGGACTGGAAAGATATTCCACATTTGCGATTATTATCAAAGGGTCGGTCAGGGCTTTCGTCGCCAGTCGTTCGGTACGACCTGGCTGCTACCAAGCGTTGGATTCGAAGTCCGCTCTGCATCGTTCCATGTTAGGCTTCATTCACACGTTCGCACGCAAACAAGGCACCGAGTTCACCACTCATCTTGGCTTCGACTTCTGCGTCGATGAGCAAGCTTCCGAATCAGGCGTGTTCCAATCTATCCTGCCTATTCAAGTCTCCGTTGGCGCTAACGCCGCTACGCAGCTGTTCTACGGCATGGGTGGCTCAATCTCATTGGCGAGAGCCTATCTATCGCTCTTCGCCGCTGAGGAGGTCAACGCCAACGGAAGAATAACGAGGCCCACGCCAGCCATCATACAACAAGAACCGCTACCCGACGATGCAGCCATTCCCGATACGAGGATGCCTGGAATCTATGACTTCGGCCAGGATCTGCTCGACCTGTGCTTCGAGCCATTGCGGGACTTCTTGATGTTCAGGAGCAGTGTGATTGAGTTTACGAGACACATATTTGAGTTTCTCACCCACTTGATGCTCTGGGAAGAGAAAACATACGACTTCCAGGACCCTCTGCCCTTCTGGGTGGCTTACCAAGTGTATATTCCATTGCGCCTTATCAAAAGTTCCCTATTTTCAGACAACATCCGGTCCAGGTGATGGTTGAAGGCGCACCAATAACAGACCTTTTCTGGCATTGAGGATTTTCCGGCGACTTTGAAAGCGGAGCCATGGCATTGCCGGATGAACGGGCATACCATCTTCGTCTGCCGTGGTCAGACTCGGGATTCGAGTTATGCATCTAAATGACTGATTGGACAGTAGCAACTGCTGAACTATCCAGAGCGACCAATGACACATGTTCAGCTGTACATATCCAGGGTTGACCGATGTTGCACTGGGCGAGAGCGATGTTACCGGGAAAGGGTGTGGCTGTATGCTGCGCTGCCTTGCGAGTCCTGCCACCGGTGTCACAAGGCATCACGGAGTACGAGCTGTGGAAAGTCAAGAGCCGGCGATGGTGGACTGTCGACCTGCTTCGAGCCACGCCATCTGGGATCTCTACAGAGAGGGACAGTGTTGATGAGTGCTCAAGTGTGTCGCCGTGGGTTGCGAGTCATGCGACGGCTGGCTGAAGAAGCGCACTTTTACGTCAAATCCTCAGCGCCGCTGGGAGAGTCCGTCACTGCAAGGCGCACATGAGGTCGGGAGGGAAACTCTAGCCGTGCAGGTTACCCCTTTACACATTTTGCTCTTCCAAATTCTGAAAGGTAGTAAGTTTGACCAAAGCATATTCGGAACAGCCGCGCTGGAATGGGATTGAGGGCAGTCGTCCTCGTCCACATCCAGGCAAGCGTGGGGAAATCCATTTTGACCGCTGTCTTCTTTGGAGGCATCAACTCTAAACTGGAGAAGCCCTGGGTCTACGGAGGGTTGTGACTGGTGGCCATTGACTCATTGTGGTCCTCCTGCGTACGAATTGAGCGATACAGACAGACGAATGTACCCAGTAGCCATCTAGCGAGTTTGAGTGGAGACCTACCAGCCTGTGCATCTGCAGCTACTTATGCTCAACTCGTGTGACAGGCGAGGACGCTAAGACGTGAGGGTAGGGAGGGCGCAAACGGACCGTTCCAAGCTTCTTTCTTCTTCGCCGACCCAGTCGGGGAACGGAACCTCCGATGCGACGCAGGAACAAAAGGTCGTTGGGCGACAGAGGCATCCACAGCGCCCTTGCTTCCTCCAGCTGAAACCGGCAACCTGTGGATTACAATTGCCTGAACGGACTTCGTGGTATGTGGTGAGGGCGCTTGTGCCGGGTCCAGCTTGACATATTGTCAATGCCACCCGCGCCATAGCACGGCGTACCGGGGTACAGAACAGACTGCACACGGGCCAGTCGGGGTTCTCCTCCTCGTACTGAAGTGACCGACAAGCGAAAGCCATCTCGCATTGTGCATATGCCTTTGCCGAAACCAGCAAACTCGAGGCAGATCTCATGCTTCCAGTGCCAGAAGGGGCTACTGTTCGAGGGGATGTTGACTCAAAATCCGAACAAGGCCCAAGTCTAACCCCGGCTAAGGAGCGCCAGGAACCCCAGAAAACTCCCATCGGGGCCAGCGAGCCCACGTGTGGACTGCCCGCCTGCGAAGAGAGGTTGCCGAAGAGCCCGAGTCGGCTAAAAGCCTAACGCGCACTTGACCCGTCGAGAGGCTAGGGAGCTTTTAGGTAAGGCGACTACGAGTAAGCAACCAAGCCGCGGGGTACATCCTCTAACCTGTGACCCGCAGTCGATGGTGCAATCTTCATCTGGGCGACGTGCCAACGCCGAGAGGTTGTCATGAAGCCCGAGAAGAAGTGGCCTGTGCGGCGATCGTCTCTGACGAGTCCACAGTGTCTAGGCTTGCGCCCCTCGCGTCTGTGTGTTCCGGGGTCAATCGTGGGACCCCTGCATTTCTGTGAGGCTCACGACTTGGGAGACAATTGAGTCACTGGCACACAGTAGTGCTTGTTAGTCTCAGCTAAAGCGTGCAGCGGGTGTGGCCAACGGTTGGCCATTGAGATTGTCAAATGATCGGTTGAGACCAAGACAAAAGTGCCTCCCTTTCTGCGAAGAGGAGGACTGGAAGAACAACAATGGTAAAAAGGGGGGAAAGACTGATTTGGTTCTTAGCCTCACCAACCCTGGTGCACTGGATACTGGGTACCGCTGGAGTGACAGCTGGGCTTCCCGTCAGCTAGGTATCCCTACAACTTCCTCTTTCGTTCCCAGGAGGATACGGGAGCGTATCGAACCGTTTGAGGATTTGAGCAAGTAACGCGTATTACTGGAACGATACTCGACACACGAACTCCGGAGCCACTTCCGGAGCTGACAATTCTCTTGGTGATCAGATCGATCGAACGCGCCTGGATCCACTGCCGAACCTGGATATCACAAAGGGAAGTCACCCTCCTGCCCGATCCGACCTACAGTAGTCACTCAGTGGTCACCCAGCGGTACGTCCTGTGTACTGATGACGCATGGACTTCGCTTGGAGCGAGAACAAAGCCCGAATAGTGTACACTAAGCATCGGACCCCGAAATGATTAGTGCATTGCGGCACAACCACAGAAACCCATTTCCACACGCCTAGAATAATCTGTTTTGGACAAAGGGGGGATTGACAGGCAGGCGAGGCAGGCCGTTCCACACCCAAACTTTCGTCCCGAAATTCGTGCTCATCGATAGGTGATCCGGGCCTGCTGCATGGTTGACAGACTTGACGGCCGTGAGAAACGGGAGAAACGTGAACAATACGCACTGGGTTCGAGCTACCAGCAGACCAACCACCTGGGGACTCGTAACCCACGTTGTGGAGCTTTCAGAGATTATACTTTGTTCCATGTACGTACAGAGTCCGCAATGATATCATACGCCTATCGAATCTCTCCTCCATCCACCGTTGAAGCCATTGGCTCTGTAGCTCGTACGAGTGCCAGCACAGTACTGGTACTTTACCTAGACTCCCAATCAGAACCGAGAGTACTCATGCCATTGGGATCAAGGGACGCGTACGAGTAGTGTGCGAGCATACGAGCCGAACGTACAAAGTACTCCACCGGCAAGGGAGATGTGCAGTAGGTAACTCGTACCTATACTCGTACCTATACTCGGACCCCAGTGAATGCGGGCGGGACGCGGCGGATCTAGACCCAGATGCAGATTCAGATCTGACGATGTGATGAGATGAGATGAGATCAAGTGGATCGGCCGCTGGGATCAGACAAGACGACACCAGACGAGATAGCGAGTAAGGATCACCAACCAGCTCAGCTGGACTGAACTCATCACTTCACATCACATCGCGTCCCTTGTACTCGGACTCGGACTCGGACGACTACACCCGTCGCACCGTCTACTGTACGGAGTGCTCCGTACCTCATCCATTAATCTAGATCGTGCGATTTATGCAATGCGTGTCCACAGTGACTACGGTACGAGTACCTAGGTAGGCAGGTAGGTACTTGCACGCTCCACACACACACGCACGCAGGCACAGACGCAGACACACATCCTAGCACACACAGCACAGTAGCTGGTAGTCCGTACCCAGTACTTGCCTACCTACTTACAGTCACTATCTGCGAGCACGAATCCTGTACGGGTAGATCGCGGCGAGGGGTATATTGGCCCCCGTTATACCATCGGAGTAAGAATGTAATATATAGTCTGTAAAATGCAATGGAGAATATACAACAAGCAGCGAATACAAAATGAGTACGGAATACTCATGAGTATATACCTGCGGTGCCTCGTGTTGTGGAAGGGCTAATTACTATACGTAGGTACCTAGGTACCTTACGAGTACTGAGTTATGGTAGGCACGAGTACTCTGAACGGAGTAGCGAGTTCCATACTCCTTCCAGTGTACAGCTTGCGAAGGAACGAGCCGCAGCCCAGCACCATGGTATAAGGTAGACGACATACGGCATTGGCGAAAGGGCATCATCGGGAGAGATAGTCAGTGCTCATGAGAGTACTGCGTAATGGAGCCTCAAACTCACGCCGGGCCGCATTGGGTTATTCATCCTCGCAACAAGTCCCGATCCTGGTCCTGTCCTGGTTCTGATCCTGGTTCTGATCCTGGTCCTAGTCACTTCATGGTCCGGAAATGACTTCCATGAGCAAAGCGCGTCGAGCAGAGCACAGCAGAGCAACCGGCGATAGTGTACAGTACAGTAATGCAATTGATTGATGGGTGGACCCCCCAACCTTGAACCTTCCAGTGTTTGACTTTCATGCAGATGCGACATGGACGGACTCCCATGACTCCTTGTGGTAACTCGTCCCGGTACCGAGTACTGGGGCTGATACTGTACGAGTGCTGGTACTCCGTACTCCGTCCTGACACGCGGACACCGCCAAATTCAATCGAATCGGCCCGGCGCAAGATGGGGATGCTGATACGAGTACTCCGTACTGTACTCGTAGATCGATCAACTCTACGAGTAGTTACGGGCCGGATTCTCCATCTCCACATGGAAGGTGGTGCGATGTGATGTGACGAAACAGTTACATGGCCAGTACTCCGTACAGGTACAGGTGAAGACACAGACAGAGACAGGCAGAGACAGGCAGAGACAGACAGAGACGCCAGGCATGGAACTCTAGCCTCGTCGCTCAATGTCATTGGAGAGGTGTCCCAGGGCGGGGCGGAGATTGTTTCCGGACAGTCCAAGTACCGTAAGCAAAGATAAGGATGAGCGGGATCTGTGGAGGGATCACAGGAGATGAGGGCACCAAGACGGCACGGAAATCTAGGACACAATATTGTACACTGTATTGTCCAGGTGGTGGGTTGTGCGCACGGGTTGATTCTGCTGAGAATCCTGGCCCGTTCAATGTTTTCTTGATTTGTTCTTTTCTGTTCTGTTCTGTTCTGTCTTCTGAAGCCCCCCTTGGGGACCATGTGATAGATACTCCGTGCTGGATTCTGCTATGTGAACATAAGAAAATCGAGGAGAGTGCTGTGCTCCTGGTCGGACCCGTTCGTGTCCCCGCCGGCCCCGTAGATGTGAATGAGGTAAGTAGTAATAAGGAAAATGGAAGTGAAGGTCGTGGTTCCCATCGCCGTCCCTCCCTCATCTTCCCCGTTCTGTATCCAACGGTGAACCCC